AACTGCCTCGCGTATCCCATACCAGAGTCGAACTGAAGATGATCCAACGGTTCGTCGAAACGTAAATACGTAATTCTTGTCCTTCAAATGTGAGCGGGACACGCTGGGTTGAAATTCCTTAAATGGTAAAATGTCGCACTATTTCTCACTTTCACCCGCCAGTCCCTGAAGGCAATTACGTTCTAAGATCCTGCAACACCGAAGCGCTGAGGCATGATATGGACAAACTATTCTTCCCGTCCCTCAGAGACCGAGAGTGTAACCTTGTTTCATTCGTCTCACTCGGGAGGAAGACCTATACACGTCCTTCCTCGAGAAACACAGTCGTTAACAGAGCCCTTTTTCGTCTTGCATTACTTGTTTTAAAAGCCGACAGTGTCCATTTATTACTCTGTCTTCAGATTACACACATGCAGTCTAAGAAGGAGACTTGATTTGTGAAGGCAGTATTCAATCACACTGACGTGCAGCACGTGCCAGTCTCTAGCTCTGTCTGGACTTTCATAACACTTTGTCCAATGTATGGGTCCGGAAACATCAGACGTGATCTCCAGAAGACATGCACGGCCACGCATCATGTGGTATCTTTACTCCTCAGACACTGTTGCAATCGTCTTACGTACTCATCCTGACAATGACAAGATGTCCTTATCCAAAATCTCTCGCAAACATAAGAAAACAGGGCTTTAGGTGAAAGATGCTCCTTCGGACGACAGCAAGATGTGAGATGGTGCGGGATTTTCTGTCCTGTCTGGTCTAATCTCTCTGTGTCCCGCGTCCTTTTGCTTCAGGGTTCTTTATGCAATCTTCGGTTGAGTCTTGCCCGGAGAGTAACGATCGATACGACGTCAGCTAGAGATTTGCGAGATGAGACCCGCGTGTGCCAAGGAGGGCTGTGCGATGCACTTAAAGTAATTGACATCTTCAGCCGAGCCTGCCCTGAAATCACGCGACTTTATCATTAGTGTATATTGTAATACCACAGTTGAGACATAATGATGAAAATAAATTCTATACAACTTCTTGCAATAATTATTCTTGAAGTCTTAAGATCTTACAGAACCACCCCGAGTTTGTTATTACGAATGTATTGATCACGAACTTCGTCTTATTATTGACATTTTACTATCTATTGTCAACAATCTCGTCTTGCCGATATCCACATGCCTGTAATCGACCATATTCAGTTTGTCTACTCTCGATATAAACCAGAGATCTTAGATAAATTAGTTTCAGTTAACAAGTGATGGAAGCTCGATTTCCTTTGATACTTTGAATCCTTAAATATTTCCATTCATCTGCAATGGCAGATCAATTCAGTACTTTGTCTCAACGGATATTTGTATCGCTTTTAAATATTATGAACTGGGATGTATGGGAGAGCAGTTTTTATAAACTAAATGGGTTCCCCAGTATAAATAAGACATAAACAAATAAATAAATAAAATGGTGGTGTATGAATGCTGACAAGTGAACGGAAAGAGATCCAGATTCGTCCAACTGTCTTCCAAAGAAGAAGAGCTGATATTGGTTATGAAATTCAGGTATGGAATTTTATCACGGGATAATGTGGGAAGTTTGTTTTATCAACGTACGCTTACGAGACACCCAGATTTATTGGTAAATTATTCACGAGTGTGACATTGCAATGAAATTCATAAATTATAACATGCTGCGATAAAAACAAACAGCGGTACGGCCTACTGAAGAAAGAGGGACACGGGTTGACTGCGTCTATCAACAAACAAATGGTCTCAAAACACACTGGCAAGCACGAAAAACTAATGAGCAAACATGCCGAACAAAATGAGCAAACACAGTGGATTATATAAAACAAAAAAGGACATATATCACAAAGAAAAAAATTCTCTGCTGAATGTGCTGAGAGCAAAATGAACACGAACACCTTCAGCGTGACGTGAGGAAACGGCCAGGCAAAGTCATTTTACTACGATCTGGTGTGACCGAGTTAGGTTCGTTTGCTGTGCTAACGGGTTGTGAAACGGGCGGTCTGAAGTGTAATTGTCCGTGAAAATATGCGAGGGTCAGTTCTTTGCTCTCCGTGTCAGGAACTGGGAATTGCAGGACAATGAAGACGAGCGGTGGTGAGAAAAATAAAATGCTTCTAACATCACTGATATTGCACGACAGGGTGGGAGGGTTTGTCTTTAGAAGACGACCTGTTACTGGAGACCGAAACAGTAGATTCATTTGGACAGCAAGTTTGCAACTGGCCTTTTTAGATGCTCAATTCGTGATCAGGGTGAGAATGATGAAAACATCGGTGCAGGCAATGAATAGGCTCACGAATGAAAAGTGACGCTTTTTTAGAAACGATAAGGTTGAGATCATATGCTGAAATGATAAAGGAACAATCAACGGCGCCGTGGCTTAGTCGGTTAAAGCGCCTGTCTAGTAAACAGGAGATCCCCGGTTCGAATCCGGGCGGTGCCTGCATACATTTTCCCTTTCCTGATTATTTTAGGCGCATTATCCTATTTAGGGCTCTATTTCTAAATTATAACCGGCGCCTGGTTAGCTCAATCGGTAGGCTTTCAATCTTAGGGTCAGTGGGTTCGAGTCCCTTATCGGATGAAGTAAGGTTCAGTTCTCCTTCCTTTTATTTTATTCCCAATCCATTTATGCCAAAGTGGATTCCTTTTTACACCATTTTAAGTGTTTCATATATTTTTGCCTATCGTGGCGCCATGGCTTAGTAGGTTAAAGTTTCCTGAAAATATCTCATTTTCTTGTAATTTTTGCATTCAATTCAACTGTAATAGTTGCGCAGGAATCTTCAACCAGGAGAAAGCTTATACCTTCGATGGCTCCTAAAGCTGGTTGAGTATCAGACCCTGATCACAGTGCTTAATTTTCCCTTACTCCATGGGCATCAAATAGGCCTCTTCCTGTTTATTTTTCTGTATGGTTTGAATACAGAAACATCAATGGACTCGATTCCGGTATATAGGTTTTTATTTCCCCGGGAATGAGTTGTTCCTGCATGCAGAATTAGAGGAATTTGCAAAGTGGTCCCGAAATCGTTTGAATGGAAACCGTCGGCGGAAAGACACCTACCTTGGGTTAAATTTGGCGGAAGCCATCAATTTCCGCGGGCTTGCCATTGTAATTTCCTACGACGTTCCCAGAGCTGGAAAGTGCAAATATTCCACTATTGTTTTCGTTAAAACCGTTGCTCCTTTCTGAACCGGCTCACTGGCAATTCATTTGCACGGTTGGGTTGTAAAAGCGCGTAGGTCTTCCTCACAACAGCAGTTTATTCGCATCGCTATGGAAAATATTTCCCTGAATAAACACAACGTGTAAATCTCGGGCACGATCGCTGGGTCCATAGGTCGACGATTATAGCGCTGATGAACGGAGGAATAAATTGATATTTCATTTGATCAAAATGGTTAATAAAAACACTCCAAATCCGTCCTATGTAGTTAATGATAACCTATCCTGTCGCCTGCCATATCGGCAATTTCGTCTGGCTCAATACTCAATGAGGATTGGTACAAAGGCCGCCAAAATCAAGGCAACTAAACACAGTGAAACGAGGTTTTTTTTAGATCGTAAATATTAGCATTAAAACAAATAACTGAATGATGGAAATTGTATATCCTTCAGGTGTTTCTGTAAGAAGAGACTTGAAGTATTCCTTACAATCAAAATACGAATACTAATAGCAAATAAGACAAAATAATCGATAAATATTATTAATTCGCTCATAAATATTAATAGACATTTAGAAATAAAAAGTAGAAAATACAAATGACCCAAAGAATAAAAAAAATAACCATTAGCTTACGACCTATAGTTACTGTTAAGTCCAATTAAAATCCTACATCACCACAAAATACAAGCAATAAAAAACATGATGCTAAGCGACCTTGCTTTTCAATGACTGGCGATGGCGACACCAGACGTTTGAAATGTCTACTGAGGTGTTAATACAAATATATCATAGCGTAGTGTTCGACCTGGTATGTTGTAATCCGTGCAGACTTCAACGTCACATAATAACGGGTAGGCAATGTTCGCAACGGCGCTGTGGCTTAGTCGGTTAAAGCGCCTGTCTAGTAAACAGGAGATCCCCGGTTCGAATCCGGGCGGTGCCTTCGTGGTTTTTTGCCTTTACTTTGTTAACTGTCTGGCATATTATGGTACTTGGGCCTCTATTCCGAAACGATAACCAGAGCCCGGTTAGCTCAGTCGGTAGAGCATCAGACTTTTAATCTGAGGGTCAAGGGTTCGAGTCCCTTACTGGGCGATTTTTTTTGCTTTAAATTAAGCTTTGGAAACGAAATTTCCGTCACAAATAATACAACCAAACCACAACGGAAACAAGGCGCCGTGGCTTAGTCGGTTAGAGCGCCTGTCTAGTAAACAGGAAATCCCCGGTTCGAATCCGGACGGCGCCTTCGTTTCCAATTTTTTCGCAATGCAACTTGGGCCACAGGTAAAGTCTCGGTAAAGTACCCAGACGTTTAATCGACGGGTCCAGGGTTTTATTTGTTTCCTTTATTACAGCATTTCTATTTTTCCAATGTCAGAAAATTCCTTCAGTCCATAGGTTCCTTTTTACACCCTTATGTGTTTTCCTTTTCCACATCATGGCATCCAAGGCTTGACTGATTGGAGCGATTGTGAACAAGAGAAAACAGGTCGTGCATTGAGAGCCTCTGCAGCAGAAAAGTCATTGCCTCCTTCTTAGTTCGGCATTTTGTCTTTTTTAAATGATTATTTCAAGGATTGCGAATTCGACTCAAAGAGGACGACATCTCAAAGTGTGGGAAACTGACTATAGAAACATCACACAAGTGTTGAATACATATATACATACATTACAGGCTGGGTTGTGTTTCTGACATCAGTAAACAATACTGTGACAGGTGTACTCAAGGACAGCTCCATTGATCGCTTACAGAAAATCCATCAAGAAATCTATACACAGGATTTACGAATCCTCAACACGAACAATAAACAGAAACCCCGACTGCTGATAATACAAAAAGAAAAATGCGTCGATTATAATCCTTAATTCTGTGAAATTAAGCTCTGCTGTCTACCATAGACCGACTCTCGATCTTGGGAATTTAAAAAATTCCTCTGTGTGTGGTTTCTGCATTGTTGACTTCAATTAGACGTGCGCGAGTTACGTCTGAGGAGTAGGTTTCGTTGATCAGAATCTGACAAAGACCCGGCTTTCACTGACCTCCAATGCCATGGCCTCAACGCGTACGGCAATGACATGGATTATTATTGTGGCAGCCGTGGGATACTTCGAACCGTGCAAGGCGGAACACGACGTCGTGTCCAAATGGAGAAGGTATGCAGAGGGTAAATGACTCCTAACAACCACATATCAAAAAGGCTAAAAGTCTCCTGACCAAAGAACCAAACTACTAAGGCCGTGTCCAACACGGGTCTCCAGAGCTACGGCTAGATCTATTGTCTACGCGTCTCCAAGCATTTACAATGGAACGAGGACCTAGACCTACCTCTAGAGAAGAGATTCGGATGCAGCCTAAGTATGAGCAGAATTCTGAATAGAAGGTGATCATGAAGTGCCATTAAGCTTTTATGGAAAAAAATTACTTATATTTGGCTTCTCAAGGTATGGTGGGGACATGGCGGTGGCAGAATCGGCTTCTGTAATGGTGTTCTGTTCCTGCGATTTGATGGTTGGTCTCTGCAATATCACCATGGCAGGTTAGATTAAACAGAAACAGGATTCCTGTCTAATTTTGTTACAAGTTCTAGGCCTACTGTAGAACTTCAGTACACAGTAATGTAACAATCTGTGCGTACTCTTTAACATTGTGACAAGTTGCGAAAGTTTATTTCTTTAATTGTACTTTATAGGAAAAATTTGTTTAACTTATTAACATGCTGGATTTGACAGCTCAGTTTTTCCTGCAAGACGAGCCTGAATGTCACGCGATATGCGGGGGCAGGGTGGAATGCGCTTACTGCGCCGAGCAAGGATGCACGTGCTCCCGGGAAGACTTGGACACCTACCGCCTCTGTCAATCAGGAAACAGGTGAAGAACAAACAAACAAGCAAAGTCGATCCCTCGTCTTAAAACATACTAATTCATTCACGAATACTGACAGCCATCAATCAAATCCCACAGCAACCACACAGGCACGGTTCTGGAGCATTTTGGGCAAGACCCTTCGCACATGACGTCACCTTTAACTCTCGTCACTACGAATCCAATATTTTCCACCCTTTTATAATTATATAATTTTAATTGTGGCATTTTTGGGGGGTAGACACTTTGGGAGGGGCCCAAAAGCCCCCCTAGGCCCCCAACCGTAGAACCGCGCCGTTTCGAGGTTGGTGGCTACTGACTCGCTCAGGCACATCCAAGGCTACTGGAGCAAACCCCAAACACCTAACTATTTAGCCAGAGAATTAGCTGACTAACCGATCAACCAACAACCGAGGAGACTAACGATCAAAAACCTTGCCACATCATAAGAAGATCTTTATTTTGCTTGATAGGGCGAGGCTGTTCCAATGCACCAACTCCTGCGCCCGTGCTGATGTCGAGCCGATGTGCTCATGTGAAATAACGATCGTCAAGCATAACAAGTAAGATCCTACAGAGCAGCTCTATCATCATCGTAGGTTTGAAAATGAAGTTCAAAAGTGTGCAAATCACACCAAACCTTAAAATTCTGTTTTTCTCAGACTACATCAACGAAAGAAGGCAGATGAAATTTATGCCATAATTCACGAGAGCACGGGTATAGCCAGAATGTCTTTGGCTTTGCTTTGTTAGAAGTTTTCTGTTATTTTTTCTGTAGGTCTACACAGAAACCAGTGGACGATGTGCTGCCAGCAAACAAGGCATCATTTAACCACGGTTTATTCACGGGTCTAGCTGTCGGTGGATGCATTCTTCTCGTACTGGTTGTCATTGTGCTTGCGTTGATCATTATTGCTATCAGAAGAAGAACCAATAACAGATCGTAAGATCCGAGTTTTAGTTCAACTACTCCTAGCGACAAGAGAATGAATGATATATCAATTAATTGTGCTGACGTTTTAAGAACATCAAAAACCACAAACATGCTAGCGGCTCCAGCGTGTCCTGTTGAACGAGGGCGCTCTGTAATGAAACGTGGCGCTTTTATTCTTAAGGAAAACTTAACACCAGTGGTACCATTCATGTCGGCATAAAAATGACAGAATTTTTTAAATGTAAGTTCTTGTCACATTTTGAACCGGCATGACTACCTTAGCGTAAGGTAGGGTAATTTTCGAGGGCTCAAAGTCAAATATTCGAGTGGAGGTCAATTTTAGGGTTTTGTCATATTTGGGAAGATTAACCTATCTATTTACATGAACTTTCAACATTTTTTGCAGGATCAGATATTTACAAATAACATTTTCTCAGCAACTTTGATGATAGCATAATTCGTGCCTGGTAAGAAATGTTGAAACAATGTGGAAAACAATTTACATAAAGCTGCCAAAATAATGTCACATTGTCACCTTATACTTTTACCCAAAGTGTTCCATGTGCATACCACTGGAAAGCTCTCTTTCTGCTGAATTCAATTATACCAATATCTCAATTTTTCTAAATTCCGACTTTCGGCTCATTTTTTTGGTGACAGGTCACATTACCCGTTCAGTAATTTCATTCCCTCGTTTTCGTTTTTTCAAGGCCCATAGCAAGAACAAACACAAATTCATCAACGGCACCAATCACGTCTTCAGCCGATGGACTTAAAGGTGAGAGCATGTTGTCACTCTATTGTAACATCAAGCATCTATCAAAGACCTTAATAACTGCTTTTAACCTGAATTGTTTACCACGTCTCAAAAACTAATGGATGTTAAATTGTGTTCCCCTTTGGAGGTACATACAGATTTGGAGAAATATACATATTAATTTGTAATTTAATATAGCTCTACGGTTCCTGCACCGATATGATTTGGGAATTTGGGTTAATTGTCACGTCTTGTACTGACTGCAGGTTTTATACAGCGGTAAAAATGTTTCGATCACAATTTTAGGCGTCAACAATCCCACATACGAAGACGCCAGCACAACACTGCCTGGGACCACTAGACCTCCGTCTTCAACCTCGTACCTCTATCCATATGCCCCGCGCCTCACAGCCAACAGAAACATAAGTGTCTCCAACGGAAATAACGCCTCGACTAGTGCCTCACCTCAGCCTAGCGCCCAAGCGTTTCCCCTCTACCAAGAAATCCTACCACGAAACGGGGACCAACCGCCTACCTACGAGGACTCGGAGGGTTACACTCGGTACCGAGCACAGGCCCAGCCTGACACCAGAAGGGAACGCCAGCAGCCGGTGTACATGGAACTCGTGAGGCCAAGCGATCGTACTTCACGACCACCTGTGGACACTTACATGTATTAGGGTGAATGACTTGTATTCCATGGTCCATTTTTTTGCCAACTTAACAACCTCTCGCAGAATATTCTGCGAGACAGGATTTCTTGCAAGGCCTTCCTAGATACTTGTTATGCAACACCGCATGACAAATCATTACCAGAACAAAATCAAGGAAGAAATCATCACTGAATGGCGAAGAGCTCGCTAGAATAGTTATATTTCAGATGTAAGTGGCCAAACAAATCTATTAGGTCCCAGTGCTGAAGTAACCAGTAATTTCCTTCAACTCATACATACAGTTCGTATACCTTCAAGTAAATAGCAAAACGCAATACAGCAGGTTTATGAGCAAACACCTGCAATCCTTGCACTTCCCAGCCATTAACATTTGCCTCAAAATGTGGAGACAATCTTTTAAGTTGATTCGGTGAAATGAAACCTGCTACTTGGGTCTGAACATTACTTTTCAATCAGCAGAATGTACATGAAGTTGCTGGTATAAATTTGTTGATGTTAAACCTTGACAACTTACAGGTCAGTTTTGTGGCGCGAGTTCCGGCCAAAGCGTCCGTTACTCGACGAGGAGGCCGTGCGATGCACAACTACCCTTGGTATGTCTGCCCTCCCGCCCGCTGCCATCGCCGAGTGCGAATTTCGGGTGTGTCTTCGTTCCTTCTTAACCAATCTCAAGAGAATGGGGTGTGAGTTCGGAGTTGCCTCATTCCGCGGTTTGACCTCAAAATAGAAGGTCCAGTCGGCTTTTCTGATTGGAAGGATGGTGGTTTTCTCCATGGTGACGGGAGAAGATTTTTTTTAGAAATCGAAGCTACTCTGACTAAATGGTCAATGAAGACAAGTCTAAACCAATGCCACGGAAGTTCTAGACATTTTTCGGCTCACACATCTCTCTTCGTAGTTTTATTAAATAGCCGTCAGAAATCTTTCACTTATTGGAAACCAACATTTGAAGTCTCAAAAGTTGCCGATAATTGGTGTAGTTTGCGAATTTCCCGAAAAAGTGGACATAAAATAATAAAATGTTCAATCCTGTGAGATGAGACAGTTCGTCTCGAGTCCACTGAGTCTCCGCATCCTCGGTGCTCGATAGGCCGAAATTGAAGGTTTTCTCCTAACAGTCCAGCAGTTTTTGCAGCCAGTAAGCTTAGGTAACGAATGATGTGTTGTTTGAATGGCTCAGTCGTTTGATTCTGAATTGCAAAGTGCAGTGACAGGGGTTTCCACATTTGTACATCTGCTTCAGCTGCGAATGATAGCACATTCACACAATTTTTAATAACGTACACCCTGGTGACGAATTAGTAATTGTAAGCAGACAAAGAGAATAATTTCCGTGCGCGTGTAAGATGATTAAAGCCTTTGGCAATCACTTCCCTTGCTCTTATCAACGAAATTATAAACTGCACTTCTCTTGTTCAGTATATGATTTTTTTATAATTTTTAAGATTAAGTTTAAAATATTCCCCCATGGAAGTGTGTTTCATTAACGAAGGTAATGAAAATTGTTTTAAAATCCTATTTTAAATACTCATGTAAAGTAATTAATTTAAGTTCTCTATTACGGGGTAAAGGACTTTACTGTGATTACATTTGTCAGCACAACTGTATTTATAACAAAATATTCCGTATCGTATATCAATAAAATAATTTCTTTTAGTCAATTTTCCGGTGGTAAACATGACCTCTAAGCCTATGTAGATTTTGAATCGCAGGTGTATAAGTTAAACAAATACTTGTGAGCGATAAATGACGTGGATGCTTTCACCGACCAGGTATTCTTTGAGAAAATTGTGAAAGGACATCCAACCATGTAAACGAAGGTTAAGAACATAACGAGTTGTGTCGCGTAGAAGTTCAAGTACACAATGGTTCCAAAGAAAGGATCGAAGTTTACAAGAGCTGGTCAAAGTTAGTAATTCTTTCAAACCTGCTGACCGATTCGAACTCTTAACATGGTCAGAGCTGTATAAATTCAATCACAGAGTACATGTATCCCTGTTTGACCTTTAGCATCACAACAGCAATCTATAGGACAACTACTGTATGTATTACATTTCCCAGTAAATCTGATTAAACTTTTAAAACTTAAACGTGTGACTTTAAAGCTGAGATTACATCTCAGTTTTCCAGTAAAAAATAAGCTTAACAGATGCAGCAAATGTAATTGCTTTTGGCCTTTTGACCAATTGTTGAATTGGATACTTGCAGAGAGTGTAACTAAGCCTATCTATACATCATAGCCAAGGCTTGGTGTCTGCAACATTTTCCAATTGTAGACATTCCATCCATTCCAGCAGTTAACTGTTTCCGTGATAAGTTTCGATCAAGAACATTATTTTGCGCCCACCTCAACCAACTGACAAAATCATATAATGTACAGACAGGCCTGTGAAAAGTTTACTCCCGACCCTTAATACATCCAGGTTGCATCGACTTCTGAACAGCACATTCAACGCTTTAATTAACTAAATTATCACTCCGTATGTGTATCGGATTGAAAGTTATTTCACTAAACAAGGAACGACAAACTGGAATACACCACCACAAGAAATGGGCGCTAAGCTGATTTCTGCCAGCAACTTCTAACTTGTAGTTTACATGCAAGACCAAGCACTTTGGTCGCTGTAGTGGTCTGTTCGGCTCGAGAACCATGTTACAAATTAAACCTAACAATAACATTCCACCGTGACGTGTTAGGGTCGTTGACACTGGAATTCAATGTGTACTTTCACGGTTGGAGTGGAGAGCAACACAGCGCGAACTTCGGTGTAGAAAATACTCAAACACAAATACTTTGACAACATTGGTCCATTTTGTTCATTGACAGTTTGTCCTTTCACAAAGGCGCAAGCGAGTTACCTAGTGCACGCGTCCATTTTCTTCACTCTTATCAAAAACACAACGTGTAAAGCTTAAATACAAATTATATATCTCATGCGCCAATGACAATAGCAGACACATGCTCTTAGAACGAAACTTACTTGTTCAGGGCCCGCAGTTTCCGCCATTTTGACTCAGCGCTAGAACTTGACAACTTCTCCATCCGCGACAACTTTTACCCCGACACAAAAGGTGACGACGCAGAAATATGTCTCCCTTTGTTTGACAACAACACAACACCTGTGTTCTTTTCCTGGACAGTTTGGTCTTGTACTCCGACTCCCACAGCAGTCTGTTATCTTGACACACGGTACAGGTTGTGTGTTTTCCGTCCGAGAGCGCAAACTGGGCGACAGAGGTCAGTTTCAAAACAGGCGGCATAACCTCGTTGCCACAACAACGGCCGTGTAATAAATCTGGTTAATGGGTTTCTGTCCAATTCCTGTAAGATGTTTGCTTTCGAGTGTGTTTTGTAGGATCGATTGAACAAAGTTGGGGAATAATATAAGGAGTAAACTCACTCCCCTACATGCGCTACCGGTACTTTGTCTAAAAAGGATATGAAAATCCCTATACACGGGTATTGTTGAAAACAGTCAGGAACTGGCTTTCCGTATAGTTTCAACAACAAAATACAATGTTATGTAGGTTTTATCCTCAGATAGCAATTTCATTTCGTGAGAGCTGATAAACTTTATGAGTATATGTCCGTGTGCAGCCTGTGCAGTTCACTAGTCCACACAGCAAGCCAGTCTCGTTTACTCCTTGAAATCTTTATACCCAATGTAAATGAGGGGTAGTTTGCCCTTATCAATGCATATCGAATTTTATCACCATATCGCCACATGTTGACACGAATGGTGATCCTTGTGGTCGTATTTATTGTGGGCAGTACGTAAAATACGACACTGCATGCTTGACAACCAGGTAAGAGCCGACTCAACCTTTAAACTGAAAGTTTTGTTTCTCTCCTGATCATGCGTGAACAATAATTATGGTATAAGTGGCTCTTCAAAACGATGTTTGACTCGTAAAAATGACTCTGGTTTCATTCAAAGCAACGGTACATCACAACAACCATCGTATCTTTATGATTTTCTTAATTATTATAAATTTTTCAACCGTTTGGAAACGAGGTGTGAATAACATCAGTAAGTGTGGCATTATTTAACTTAACATAATCATTTCGGTAAATCGAAAAGTGGGAGACGGAAAACCCTTTTCAAAATTAATGAGCTATCAGAAAAGGTACTTACGTGCGAAACCTTCGTATTTCTGGACTTCTGACTATCAAACTAACCATGCTGATTAACTTTTGCTGTGATTTATCCATTTTTACGAGTGGTGTTGATACTTTCTCGTCCAGTGACTATCACCCCGTGTTTTTCAGCTCAAATAAGTATCAAATGAGCAGAAGATCTTTGCAGTTTACGTTTCTGTGCAGTCACCTCCAATTGTCTCTATTTCAAATGAGCAACCTGTTTTTCTTTGACGCCACACAGGCAGATTTCCTTTGTCCGAACAGCCACAACGTCAGTTCAAAAGTAATGTCAGTGTTTGTTAACGAAAGCTCTACAAAGGAAGCGTTTGCCAGTGTGTGCAGATATAATCACAAGCAAGAGAGTTACTTCGCAAGTGTAAACATTTCTGACAAACGGATAAACTAAATCATATATCCTCACTATAATGCAAGAAATCGTCAGACACTGCATGAGTATGCGCAAACTGAAGGATTACATTTGCAGCTCAGTCACCATGTATACATAAGCTCTACTTTCCTTTGTATCCTCTTTAAATTTACATACTTGGGTAAATGTCTCTTGGATTGAAGTGCTTTTTCGACGCCATGTTTAGAAAGTTAAACATTTCATGGAATCCTGCACTGATCGACAGATATATCCTGCTCAAGTTAAATAAGTTTACAGATGAGTAATTCCCCTCGACAGGATAACAGCAACGACTTTAGAAGTTCGGCAATAATTGTTCACCAATGACGTAAATTGACAAGAGTCGAACCTGAGACCCATCAGAAAAGAGGGAACCTACTATGCCCCCAGACGCTGGCAATTACACTAAATGATAGTGTTTACTCACTGAGTAAGTCTGTACCTGAACGGGTTTTAAAGCATGACAGGGCAATACTTCTTTCTGCCCGCGTTTGGCGTTGCTACCCAAGACGGCATCTGTGTCTGTGGGATTAAGTGCTATTCGAAATCGAAACAAACATTTTTAAAGTTGAGAGTAGCTTAAATACCTACTCTTCCAACTTACCTCTGTTTTTATTGACAAGACTCGATGACAAAACGAAGGTGAAGTACAGATACAAAGTACAAAAGTACAAAATATTCAGTTAAAGGAGTTGATTAATTACTGTTCAGTACTTTGAAACAGAATCATCTTGCCAGTGTGGCCATGGTAACCTTGCCCGTTTAACAGTTTTACTTGCGCGCCGAAAAATGACGCACTGCGTCTTGAATACATGGTTTGTAGATAGCGCGTAGAAGTCAAAACAAAATGCCATTTCCCCGAAAAAAATTACATGTACAAGAATTTGTATAGGCCCTAAGTCGAGGTTGAGAAATTGCAGTTGCTTATTTCATATTTTGAAACAACCAGACTCTGTCGACACTGGAAAAAAAGAGAACAATTTAACCCACTTTTTCTTTTCGGCCTACATCGAGGCGATGAAAATGTTTATGTGCAGTAACCACAGCTGCATGGAATCGTGTTCTTATAAATTATTGCACACGCTGAGTGGACTAGGCCTATACCCTGAACCACACTTTATTGAAAAAAAGACAACATCGGCTCACTATTTTGTTTGTTAAACGTAAACGAAACTTTAAAATACACATTTGCCTAGATGCCGAGTAGATTTGCATTATTTCCTGATTTTTATTTAGCGTCGGTTGCCAGGGGCAATTCTATGATCAAACTTTGGGTACTAGGATTTGTGTACTTACATCCCCTTCATGAAAATGGCCGTTGATCGTCTCCTATCTCGCCTTGCATACTTGGGGAAAGAAAACGACTGATTCATGTCCAAAACACGCAGAGAGAAAAGCTTGTTTGAACCGAGTCAAAAATGGAGAAAGCTCTTCTTAACTTTTCGATGCATCCATGTATAATCTTGCATGAATCTAGCTCTGAAGAAGTCGAAATACAGCTCCTGTCACGATTTACGGTGAACATCTTACTTCACGGGCCCGTTTCGCAGTTGATTTGGCCTGAACTGTTGACACACTTTGGTGAGCAGTTATTTGTTGGAGGTGTTTCGAGTACTTGTTAATACTTGTATGTATTGTTGGCGTGTTTCCTCCCCAACCGACGAGTAAAACAAACCTTGACAACCACTCTGAAAAAAGTAGGTGCGCCAACGGCTTAAGCATGAATCACGCTTTGAACCTTTGAAATCACGCAGCATACTTTTTCCCAAAGAGCCCACGCATAATTTCATTGAACACATAGAGCCACGAATTCAGAACCAGTGCAGAACACCAGAAGCAACCACAGAAAAAGGAGAGAAGTTGAAGAAGAGTGGCCTTAAGTTTCATCAACACTACTGGAGACGATGCTTCAGATTAAAAACGGCTATTTTTTTTTTTATTTTTATTTTTGATCAAACTTAGGCCTATAACTGTAGCTGGCAAGGTCGACACACTTGCATGACTACAATATATCCTGTATATGCAACGTTACCATTTTCAGAAATTAAATTTAATGAAAAAAGCGCCAAGTAAGGATGACGCCCTAAAAACATACAACTGTGTCAGTAACTTTGTCAACCAAATAATTCACTTCTTATTTTGACGATCATGCATGAGGAAGACGTGGCGCCTTTCCTTAAAACTAGCCCATAGTTAGAACTTGAACCAAATTTTTAAGGGTTCAAGGGCTTTTGAAAGTTTTACTCGCAATTATTCTGTCTTATCTCAGCTGTTGAAAACGTCAAATAACTAACTGTGTCTCTTTTATTACTTTTAATTATTTTACTTGATAATAAAAGGACAAAAAAGTTCCCATACATTAACAGTGAGTCAATCTGACAATTCGCTGGTGAACGGTACACCATAAAGAAAAGAACTTATACTAACACGTTACCAGCGAACAAAATAAAGCAAGATGGCGAACTCGGGAGAGCTTGAAATTCCACCCAAGCTAAAAGCTGTGCGACCGTACCTGTTACTAGCAAGAGATCATGACAAAAGGGACCCAGTGGTTGCCTTTTTTTGTAAGTATCACGGGGTGAAAAATATTTAGGTAATCCACGCTGGATCCTTGAAGAAGCAGCTGTTCATATTCGGCGTGAGTAAGCCTACGTACTAGGCGTCGCATCACTCAGCATGCTCAGTGTACATGTATGTAATGTAACTTGTAAGCTGTGGTAATGAGCCTCCCTCCGTCCTCCGTCGTGCGCATGATATGTTGGGCAACGGACTTCGAGAGTAGGCTTGGCATGCCTAGGCTAGTACTATAGGCTATACGGTATAGGCTAAGGCAATGGTCTTGTCTTGTGTCATGGGTAGGAATGATTGGATTGGTTGTTGATTTTGTAATTTTGTGTTGAAGGATTATGATTTTGAAGTGAATCTTTCTTAAAACTAACCAAGCCTATGACATTTGCTCATATATTAAATTAGCTCTACTGAGTGGAGGAGAGAGAGAGGAGCGGACATCGGACCCCACACTTCTGGATTTACAGGCTTTCGGATCATAGTGTTTAAGCATACTTTCTGTCAATCCTGGCCAGCTTGGAATGGGTTGTTCTTGTTATTTGTAATGTCCTTTTGTTTAGTCCATTGATTTTCATGTTTGTTGAATATTGTCTTACCAGTACCTGTTCTGAATGGCTGAATAAATAACAATAATAATAAGACTGTCCACACTCATCAGTGCAAATGGAAATGTTTGTTTTAAGTTTCCTCTAATTGCAAATTAAAAAGCATATAATATCAGGCAGTATTCACAAGGGCTACAGCTATTTACTATGGAACCTTGAAGATAAAAAAAAATTAAGCCACAAACACGGGAAGCCCCATTGGGATGTGACCATAGTTGCCCAGGGGAAAGGAGCAAACATACTCCTTGGCTAAGTGATTTTATCGGTTTAAGAATGCGCATATTCATTGCTTCAGTAAGTAATGAATGAATTCTGTTGTCTACACTGAGCTGGAGAAGGCAATTGAACTGGTTAGCCAGAAGACTGTCTAAAGTGCATCCTAACAATCAATATTACCTTGGAAACCAGACATAATATTGAAGCTTCCACGCTCTTTCCTGTTGAATTAGTATTTCTCACATTTACACAATTTGGATATTCATTAGTTGAATTGTATTCATGTCTTTAGTGATTAGAGAACGCTACGTTTTTGTGTTCAATTTTTTTTTTCAGGCAGGCATTATGCAATGGAAACAGCGCTGGCTCTGGACAAACAAGACAAGTCTCCCGACAATAAAATTTTTCTGTCAGGATTAATGGACAGGCTGGAAAAGGTGAAAAGACAAATTTCTCTATTTTATGAAGGTATATTTTAGGTCAGCCTGCCAGGCTCTTTTGGGAGTGATTCCAGTTTGAATTTGTTTCTTTCAGTCCAAGGAAGATCTCCGCTCTGATGAGATATTAAGCAATGAGTTGGCATCCCAAGCTCACGTCGAAACCTGTGCCTCGAAAATCTTTGTGTATGCAGACAATGAGGACCGAGCAGGCAGGTTCCACAAGTAAGAAAATTAGATCAGTTTCATGCATATATCTTGAATCTTGTCTCAGGATCACAGATGTGAATGTAAATTTCTCTTTTCTGTCTCGGTGATACTGAGTTCTTTACTAAAGTGATTAGCGATGAGTTCACTCATTACTTTGTTGAGGTTTTAGTTCTGCTTCTTTTCCTGGGATGCTTGCTGTCCAGTAGCTAGTGACTGATACAGATTAAACCATAAATTTCCTTACACAGAAGTTTGGAGGTTCATTGGATTGATCCTGACATTCTGTTGGTAGCACTGGTGTGAATTTCCCCAATTTTCTTACCACAGGGCAATGTTGAAGTCATTTTACAAGTCTGGTCTCCTGTTTGATGTTATGCAGACCTTTGGAGAACTATCAGAAGATGTAAGTTCACATACTCATTGTTGCAATCTAAGGGAAAGATGAAACACCTTACAATCCGCGTGTTCACAATACAGCACACCACCAAGAGTTTGCAGCAGACAGGCCACTTTTCAAGTTTATGGTCAATGTGCTGCCGCGATTTAATGCTCCTCGTAATTTGGGAATATTTGATTGATTGAGGCATTCACACAAAACCATCATTTTGACTACCTAACACCCATTCGCAATAAGCAAATTCGAATTGCCATCCAAGTTAAACAAACATTCGGAAAAAAAAAATTTCTGCATACGGCGCAGTTATCAAATAAGAGTTTGTCGACTATTTATCCCATAATGCACAGCGAAAAGGTTTCTCTACAACAACCTCTTGGTGGCTCACTGCATTGTTAATCACCTGTATCACATCATCATCTCTGTAACATTTAATGAGTGTTTTGTTTGGATTCTTCTTGTTTACCACTAACAGCTTCAGAAAACCAGGAAGTACGCCAAATGGAAAGTAACATACATTACCGGTTGTCAGAAACGAGGAGAGACACCGCATGCAGGACCGCTTGATGAAGAAGGCGAAGAGGGTGAGTTTGATGTCAACCAGTTTTGCTTTCGCATAGTAAGAGGTGTAAGTGGTTTGAATCTAATCCATAATTACCATGCGTTCAGTCTAGGAGAACGAACCTCCATGTCTGTAGTTCTGTCAACCTGTAATCAGAGGGTCGCAGGTTCAATCCAGGCTATTGGCCACAGTTTGTGTCCTTCAGCGTGCCGCTTTACTCTACCTGTCTCAGATATGCTCATAACTTGCAGTCAGAGGGTCACAGGTTCAAACCCAGCTATTGGCCACAGTGTGTGTCCTTCAGCATGCCACTTTACTCTACCTGTCTCAGATATGCTCATAACTTGCAGTCAGAGGGTCACAGGTTCAAATCCAGCTGCTTTACATGTGTTTTGTCTTTGAGCAAGGTACTTAACCCCAATCACTAGTCCCGACCAGATATTAACTGGGGCAGTATTTTTTGCAAAACTATCAACAGTTCTGGGTTTCAAAATCAATTAGGAGGCTTTCTTAAACTCTATTCGTTGCTTCTTTTTCAACAGGTGCCATGGCACCAGGCAACATTTCCTTCCCCGTTCCCCCTGCCGGGTCTTCAGGAGCCTCCTCCTTCCCTCCCCCTGCAGCCAGGCAACCTCCCCCAGGCCCCAGCACCCAGCAGCCTGACCCTGCCTACCCCCCTGTCAATCAGAACCTGATCCCCCCAGGGATGCATGCTCCGCCCACAACACCAGAGCAACCTGGGATGTACCAAGGGGGTATCCCTGGTCCCCAGCCTACGCCGCCCTCTATTGATGGCCAGACTTCAAACAAAGGTGAGTTGTCATGGAGGTACTGGCGCCATACATTCTTGGATTTCAATCATATACTTGATACATTTACTGTTGAGGGCATTTTTTTTTTATCACAGGAGAAATTCTGGACTTCCTTTTTTGTTTACTTATCCTGCTTGTCTGTTTCCATTAGAATCCATTACACCAAGACTAGTTGACATAAGTACACTGGAGAGAAAAACTGTACCGAAATACTTGCGAAGTTATCGTAATTCTTTTCAATTTGTTGACTAAGATATGCTGTGTACTCCTCAGTGAAAACTATGAACTTTCAGAAGATGCATAAATTTATAGAATCCACACTGTTACTCTGAATTTCTGCTTTGAAACTTCATTGTTTCCAGAATCTTTTCACAACTGTCACTTTACTTCCAGATTCTCTGTCGACATTAGTTTTCTCCTTCTCGTTTCAATGTTAGGATACCCGAAGTTGTCAACGGATGATTTCACCAAAGCCCAAAAGTACTGCAAGTATGCTGGCAGTTCACTGCAATATGACGATATCCCAACCGCAGTAGATTACCTAGAAAAAGCACTAAGGTTGCTGAAAACAGGCAAGGAATAGAAACTGAGGGGCTGACATCAAGGGGCGGATCATGGTAGTTCAAAAACCGAGGGGCTGACATCAAGGGGCGGATCATGGTAGTTCAAAAACCGAGGGGCTGACATCAAGGGGCGGATCATGGTAGTTCAAAAACCGAGGGGCTGACATCAAGGGGCAGATCATGGTAGTTCAAAGAAGGGGCAGTCGAATGACTAAATGTGTTCGCTTGAAATTAAGCTTCAGTTATTTTATTTTGGTCTATATTTTAAGCATTTTGAGGATGATTTCCCTTTACCCATTCCGAGATTCATTATCTGTCAGCATCAGAAACTGTTAATGAGCTTGCCAGGGGCTGTGATGTCAAGAATCCGGGTGTTAACCTTTGATCAGTAAATATGTAAGCATTGTACATTGAAACTGTACAGCTAGTATGGAGTCTGTTGATTAATTTTGTCATGAGCTAAACTTCTTGGAGCTACGCTCTGTGTAAAGTAGGAATAGATAACTTAGGAAATCAACCTGGTATAGCAAACATCATCCAACAGCCAGAATGGCATCTCAACGTGGGTCATGGAGTTTTGAGATTCAGACTTCTTTGCTTGTCCAGTTAATGGTCCCTGAACCAAGAGACAGAACTGAAGGTGGAATCAGAGTGAAGGTTTCAGAAATAGCCTTAGGGAAGAATTTTGGATAAATCCCGGCAGCTACACGTAGTTACAACTCAGTCTTGAAACGTGACAGCGTTTAAGATTTGTTGAATGGCACCAGAGAAAGAAATTGGTTTGAGATATTGATAAAGATGGTAAGTCTGATGGGATGATGGTGATAACGTCTGGGCATGTCATCAAGGACCTCTTGTTAACTAATGGTTGGTGTGTGATGTACCTAGCGCATGTTGTCAGGTCATTAGGCAGAAGGGGAGAAAAGGTGGCCACACGAAGGGCAAAGTAGCCCCCCAAAAAGTGAAAATGGTCCTTAAGTAGTGACATACTGTTTTCCTAGCATTTTTCTTATAACTGGTCCTCTCTGCGCTATGCTATTTAAATTGGTTTATGGCAACTAACGATGCAACCAACCTCGATGGGTTGGTTGCAAAGAGTTGACTAGACTAGTCCGACCATCGTCAACTAGCCTGCGTTTGATCAGAGTTTGTCAAACGTTGGTTAATTATTGTCCTTGATTGAACTTGCTCTCTGTGGCAGTAGTTCAATGATGGGATTGTGGCCAGATCCAATTACTTAGCTGTGTTTGGATATAAGAAGTGCATCTGTGTTAGCCTTGGCTAGCGGCTGCAGCTACTTCCCATAGACTTGTATGTTGTTGCCAGCCGTAGCCATGAAATTGGGAAATGGCTCATCATGGATATCACAAGGAATATTTATTTACTTAAATGTATGCATAGCAAATGACTGGAAAGTGATGTCTCACCGTATAACTAATGCACTATAATATAAATCCTCGGGCAGTTGTGAACTTGTAGAGAGTTGCACCTGTGCTCAGAATCCTCAGTGCATGTTAAAGACTTATTTATAAACGTACACTTCGTCTCACTGTATCCAATCGTGTTTGGTGAGATGTGCGGAGGGTCAGTGTGCCTTTGATGTTGTGTGAAAGAAAGAGAGTGTGGGGAGTTTGTTTACGAGTAAATTAAAAGAATGATGTAAAGGTGAAGTGCAGCCTGAAGAGCTATGTTTGTTGCACTCTGACAAAATGTTTGGCAACATCTTTGCAGCTTGTTTTTTTATGTGTTCAAATAAAAGTTATGTATATAGCTGTATGTACAGCTTGTTTGCCAGTCTCGCCTTCTCTTGTAGAGCAACACCCCTCAACTTTGAAAGCTGGTGGCACTTGTCAAAAAAAAAGGAAAGAGATCAGTTTTGTGGGAAAGAAAGTAAACTTTAAAGAAAATGACTAAATTTTCTTTGTTCTTTTTTCCAAATTTAGTAATGATATTTTGCAAGAAGTGATTAATTGTAAAATACAATCTGCATTAGGAAAAAAAAATAAAAAGGCACCGCCCGGATTCGAACCAGGGATCTCCTGTTTGCAAGACAGGTGTTCTAACCGACTTAGCCACGGCGCCTTGCGTCTGACTTGATTCTGTTATATTGATTATGATGACATTTTAGTTTCGTAAGGTTAGTTAATAGGAAAAGAAAAACCACTTTCTTCGCCCGATAAGGGACTCGAACCCTTGACCCTCAGATTAAAAGTCTGATGCTCTACCGACTGAGCTAACCGGGCTCCGGTTATCCTTTTGGAATAGAGACCTAAGTACCATAATATGCCCAAAAAAACCCAGAAAAGGTGGAAAAACCCACAAAGGCACCGCCCGGATTCGAACCAGGGATCTCCTGTTTACTAGACTGGCACTCTAACCAACTAACCACAGCGCCTTGTGTCTGACTTGATTCTGTTGTATTAGTTAAGTTGAGATTTTAGTTTCGTAAGGTTAGTTAAAAGGAAAAGAAAAACCCTTTTCTTCGCCCGATAAGGGACTCGAACCCTTGACCCTCAGATTAAAAGTCTGATGCTCTACCAACTGAGCTAACCGGGCTCTGGTTATCATTTTGGAATAGAGGCTGAAGTACCATAATATGCCAAAAAAAAAAAAAAACAGAAAAGGGGGAAAACTACAAAGGCACCGCCCGGATTCGAACCGGGGATCTCTTGTTTACTAGACAGGCACTCTAACCAACTAAGCCACAGCGCCTTGTGGCTAATTTGATTCTGTTGTATTAGTTATGTTTAGATTTTAGTTTCGTAAGGTTTGTTAAAAGGAAAAGAATTTTTTTCCTGCGCCCGATAAGGGACTCGAACCCTTGACCCTCAGATTAAAAGTCTGATGCTCTACCGACTGAGCTAACCGGGCTCTGGTTATCGTTTTGGAATAGAGGCCCAAGTACCATAATATGCCAAAAAAAAACAGAAAAGGGGGAAAACTACAAAGGCACCGCCCGGATTCGAACCAGGGATCTCCTGTTTACTAGACAGGCGCTCTAACCAACTAAGCCACAGCGCCTTGTGGCTGATTTGATCTGTCGTATTAGTTATGTTGAGATTTTAGTTTCGTAAGGTTAGTTAAAAGGAAAAGAATTTTTTTCCTTCGCCCGATAAGGGACTCGAACCCTTGACCCTCAGATTAAAAGTCTGATGCTCTACCGACTGAGCTAACCGGGCTCTGGTTATCGTTTTGGAATAGAGGCCGAAGTACCATAATATGCCAAAAAAAAAAAAAGAAAAGGGGAAAACCACGAAGGCACCGCCCGGATTCGAACCGGGGATCTCCTGTTTACTAGACAGGCGCTCTAACCAACTAAGCCACAGCGCCTTGCATCCGATTTGATTCTGTTATTTATTTATTGGTTAATTACCTGTACTTAAAATGAAAGCAAAATACATTTCTACAGTCTGAAGTTCTACCGACTGAGCTAACCGGGCTCAGGTCTTTTTTGGAATTGAGGCCTAAGTAGCACAATACATGTACGAAAAAAGTAAACAAAGGGGGAAAAATCGTTAAGGCACCGCCAGGATTCGAACCGGCGAACCTGTTTGCTACACAGGCGCTTTAGCCGACTAAGCACGGCGCCGCTTGCGCGTGAATTTTGTCGTTCATTGACATCTGGTTGTGATTTTAATCTTTTTTGTCTCCGATGTATCGCTCTTGTGCATCATCATAGTCATAACCACACCGCACCGATGTTACGATAAAGGAATTCGACAAGGGAATTGCCTTCCACACTTCACTGGTCTCGCTTCTCTCTGTTAACGTGACTTGGATACCAACCATTCAAATGGAATTCGATGCATTTATCCTCAATCTGTACATACGAAGCAAGATATGGGAGGAGAGCACCCCCCCCAACACACACACATGGACATACAGAGAGAAACACCCAAACACTTGTGTTGGTCATTGATCAGAATCTCAGAAATTCTTTACAGACATCTCGGGGGATGTGTTAGGTGAATAGTCTAGAGTGTGTATAGGGATTGCACATGTAAGGGGGGTACGCCTCCGTCCCATACCTTGCTGGTATCATCAAACTGTTCACCACTTCACTAACTCTAAAACTACTCGCAAGAGAAATTTCTGACAAGAAAACAAACAACCAGAAAGTCTACATTTTGCAGGCATTGTGAAATGAATGTCTCGTGCATTATTCATCGGGAGACGGGTGTCGTCTATTGTTGAACAAAAGCCTGGCACCTACTGAAACATGAATGAAGATTGGAAGGGTGCCGTTATTGTAAATGGGATAGCAGCACAATGGTAACCCGGGGAGAGCATCTCTCGCCCCCGGTCAATCATTTCGATCACTGCGCTGGTGGTGATACGGCGGTCCTTGTCAAAATTAGGAGGGTTGTTTGGACCGCAGTTTCGCTGTACGGTCCCTATTAATACGTGTATGCCGCGCAGACTTGTGAAGAGGGCATCTGTGATGAAAATTCTGTGGTGCCTTCAATAGCCCAGTGGTTAAGCAATGGTTTAGGAGCTGAGTCGCTGGGAGACGAGTGGTTTTCAGTCTGCGATAATGGCAACAGCCCAGGGTATGTCAGACCCTCAGTGCTTTGAAACAGCTACTCGTTGACGGCAAAATACTCGAACAGACCGCATAATTAAAAAGCAGCGTTTACCCTCGATTAGTTGAACACCGACGCAAACGAGTCAACAATGGCGGATGTTACGGAAGCTAAATCATCTCGCTGCCGACATACACACGACGATGGAGACAAGAGTTCGAGTCGAAGGACCGACCCTGTGAAGGGGACCAACACCCCTTCCCAGGCGAATTCCGTGGGGTCCATCGATTCAAAGAAGGGCATGGACTCTCAAGTCTCCTTGAAACACTCGCATGGTGACAGGAGGTCATCTGTCGCCTCAAAGGTAGCTTCCAGAGATTCTGTTAGTGAGGCCTCGGTACCAGAAAACCTCTCCACCGATGAGGTGTCGGAGAGAGCGTCACTTGAGGCTTCTGTAAGCAGGAGGTCCACGTCTGGGAATCTCCAAGAGCAAGCTTCTTCAGTGACTTACTCAACGGATTCAGACATCTCCCAATCTCCATCTGGACTGAGAGGAGCTGCGGATAACAGGAGCGCAAGAGGTGATTCTCTTTATTCCAGTCGGGTTGCATCTTTTAGTGAGGTGTCTGATAAATGCAGCATCAAGACCACAGTAAGACATGATGACACAGAAAGAGGTGACATTGAGAGAGGCAGTAGAACTTTCCTGGAACAAGATGCCAGTGAGGGTTACGAACCATCTGAGAATGAAGCCTACTCTGTGGATTTGGAGAACCGAGACGACGAGGTTACACAGGGGGACACCAATATGGCCGCCGTCTTCTCCTCCTTCATTCAGGCCATACGCGAGGAGACACAGCGCCTTGAAGATATCGAGAACCTTCGGAAATTCGAAAGCTCTCACGTCCGTGGAATGTTGGGCGAGCTGACGGAGACACTGAGGGACACCGAGGACCAGAGCCTGCGGCTTTTCGAGGGGATTGAGGCTATCCGTGACGCTGCACAAGGATTGAAGAAGACGCTCGAGGCACGGATGAACAGATCAACTAATGCTGAGGCTGAGGCGATGACGGAGGGACAAGAAACCACAGGTAAACTTAGCGGTCTTGAGACAACGGTATAAAACTTTCTTGATGATCTCATCTTTTGGGTAATGTGGGTTTGCAATGAGCGAATTTATGTTTCATAGGAGAACGCAACAATCCTTATTTTCAAACATAGAACTCGTTGTTATATCGCTGTCTGTGGCCCCGTGAAGAATTTATGACATAAAAATCAAGAAAGAGAAATTTCGAAGTCTTTATTTTAGATTTACTTTGACTCTTCCTGTCCCGGGAAATATAATGAATACAACAACCAAACCTGTAGGTAAGTTTGTTCTGGCGCGTTCATCTATTTAAACCCGATTGTTGAAATGCCCTCTGACCAAAAGAGGTAATAAAATGACCAGTAAATAGATTGAGAGGGGCACGCCTCTGAAAAGGGGAGGGCAAGGGTCGACATCCATTTGACCTCAGTTGTCGCTCCTGAATCAACCTTACTGAAAACTAAAGAATGTTTCCGGATCTCAAAGCCTCAAACAAAACAGGCACATTTAGAAGTGAGTCATGTTGGATCCACATCAAAATTTTGCTCTGGCCATGTCTATAGCAAGTCAACAGTCGGGCTGACTTCTCGTCGGGTAAACGGCTTACTGCAATATACATGAGCTAATCTAACAACGCGGCAAGGCAATACTCGGCATTAACGCGATACGATTGAGACGTTACCATGCAGGCACAAAACAGAGCAAATAGACTTCCCGGATTGTCATTGTGTTAATATCACCAATATCAACGCAGCCCTAGAATAAACGCTAAAAAAACACAAGGCAAGCCATTACGCGCGCATCATTTATTGCTGGGGCAAAGAACAGGCAAGGAGCAATTAGAAGAGAACATCCATCAACCCGAATTGGACTGCATTTGAGGAGCAATTGTGGATGGCTTGCCGGTGGGTTGTACTTTTTGGATCACTGCTTGATCACGAAGACATTTGTCCAAAGTCACGAGCAGCAGTAGAGACTGAACTTTGAAGTCGACGGCTCACGCCAAGGGACGAGATCACAAAAGCCGCGGCGAACCGTCACTCCAGGACTGTAACGCGCTGCTGCAAAAGCTCTGCCGTAGTCAGGTATACAAACTTAGAATTTAGTTCATGTCAAAACACGCAATTTTTTTACTTAACAAGTTGGGATCGTTGTTACACAAATTCAATCAAAAAGATTGTTAAAAGTTGTCCACGGTCATGATTCTCACATTTGACGATATCCTGAAGCTGTCTGCGTTATCAAAACAGCTACAAATAGTACATTTTACACATTTTCATTTGTTAATTACAAACATCCTTTAGTTGTCGTGCCTTTTAAATTAAGGAAACGGGAAAAATTCTGGAATAACTTAGGGAGTGGCTTAAACGTGTAAGGGGGGCCCACTCCAGAATCAATTTCCTCTTTTGGTTGTGTATATGGTCCTGGTATCAGTGACTTTGGAAGCTTTGGTTCATAAGAAACTGCAATTATTTAGACGTAACGGCTATTTCTTTCTGTAATTGGCATTATTGCCACGACGACCATTTTATGTTCTGAAGATACTGACATGTTACTTGTCAAGGCAATATTAGATATCGTTCTGCTTGTGTTTAGTCCACGCTGTCATGGTGACAGTATTTGTTTTTCGGCTCGGCTGTGCGATTTCTCATGCAAAATGTTCAGGATGTTGACTCTAGACGAAGCGTAGAATTATTAGCGCGCGCGAATTGACGTGTTGATCCCCTCAGAAAAGTCGAGTGTTTGGTGTCGATGTTTTGTTTTGGCCAGACGAAAAATTTTTGAAGTCTTTTAGGAAAATGCATGAGGCTTTAATTGCAGCCTGAAAATTATGAACATTTTTGGAATTGGTCCAAAATTTACATGTCGGCATGAATTTATTTAAATTTGGTCTAAAATTCTCGTGTCTTTGGAATCCGGTGATGTGCAGTTCTTTCCAAAAGGAAAGAAATGTTATGAGACTTTAAAAAGTTTAAAAGTGTTTCTAAAAAATGTGAACAGTTTAGGCAGAACAACACTGAACAATGACACTTCAGTTCCGTGTTATTCAAATCCAGGATACGGACGAGTGTGGATACGACCTATGTCCTCTCTTACTAGTGAATCTCACACCTTTGGCAATTCTCTGTTCATCATGCCGCAGTCAAAATATGTCAACATGTTTGATAGACACTTTTTGGAAGACTTCGATTTGAGGTTTGAGAATGTTGAACACTGCCAACAAATTAAACTGGGATTGTCTCCTCACGGACTATTTAATGGTCCGTGGTCTCATTTGCGTCTAAAATGCTGTCACTGTGGATAAAACATGGAAAAACACCAAGAATTTAGAATTTGATGTATTATGTTGATAAAGTAAGATTGAGTGGAACAAACTCGTCCTGATGAACCAGGCATTGGCAGTACAGCATGCGCAATAATAAAGAAACTGAATTTTTGTCGGCTCGTTAATTGTAAATTTCTGTTTGATGTATTTGGAGTCAGAAGAACCCTAGCTCTGTCGTACTGTGCGGATTGTGGAGTAACGTTGAAAAGCTTGTGTGCAAGATACTGCAGGCAAGATGGAGTCTACTCCACTTAGCTTGCTCAACAAAGAGTAATAGTGGCTTATAGTGAAACGAGGTTACCAGTTGAAATGTCAAATGATTTGCAATGTCTCTGGCTGGTTCTCAGCTGTTTTTGCTTGATGGGTGAAAATCACTAACCAGTTTTCTAATCTCTGTCAAAAATCGCCTTTTTTAACTTCAGATAATAAAAAGGCTCATTCCAGAGCGGTGGCCGCGGTCTCTGCTGCTAAGGCGTTATTGGCTGAGGTGGCATTGGACGTGACGGCAGCCACCAGGATGGCCGCAGAGGCGGAATCAGCCGCGGCGGAGGCAGCAGTCGCTGCAGAAAACGCCGCAGAAGAGATCGAGGAGATCGAAGAAAAGCTTGGGGAGGCAGAGACGGGAGCAGGCCTGGAAACAGATGAGGTAGAGGAAGAAGACATAACCGGTGATGAGGATGGCGAAAAGCAGGAAGACGATGATGAAGATAATGATGACGCAAGACAGTCAGAAGAGGATGCCTCCTCTAGACCTGAAGAAGATGCGAATGCAGTTCCAGATGAGGAATTACAGGCAAAGAGAGAAGACGAATACATAAACGGAGATCATAGAGACAAAGAGGAAGATGTTTTTGAAGAGGACACTGAAGGAACGGACGAGAGAAAAGTGGAGACGCCAAAACCTCCAGAATCGCCTAAGAGAAGAAAAAGCATCAAAGACAACGTGATGGAATGGCCCTACCACATGTAAACAAAAATGGATTCTAACAAGTGAAACTTGTATTTTATAATGTTTTGATTTCTTTCATGTGTTTGAAGGATAGTAATGTGCAAAACAATTTCGGGAAGTGTTTCTTTGAGGTCGTACTTATGCAAGTAAAACTTCGTTTTTATTTTGTCTTGAGTAGATTGAACCTTCCTGATCATGACTTCACCGATGACGAAATCGGCTGTATCCTTCGCTATAAGGAGGAGTACTTCACCACCTCGACTCCAGACTTCCGGTGCGTGGTCAACAATCACATGAGCGTGGACGCAGTGGGGGACAGCGAGGAGATGGTCAGCCACGTGGTGACCGTTGAGCATGTCGAGGACACATCGTCTAACGAGCTGGAAGCTCCCATCGCAGTGGCTGTCCCCTACGGTGTCAGCACTCGTATGATGAACACGAGGGAGTTTGCGGTGAAGTTTAAAGGTGGGAACGAGGACGAATGGAAGGTCATCCCCATGCTGACTACGGACAGTTCGTTTGCAGAGCACAAGGTTTGCTTTTTTTTCTTACCAGACGGCAACATTCTTAAATAAAAATCGATGGAGATTCAATGACGATGAAAACAAGTTGACGAAATGACTAATTTCAATGATAATGGAAAGGAAATGACAGAACCACAACGACAATCACAGTGACAATCAAAACGAAAACATCGTGCACATCTTTTCTGTCTTCTTCAGGGTCCCTTCGCCGAGGTTCGCACCACCCACTTAGGTTCCTTCGCCGTCATTGCTCGCCTGATCAAGGATAGACAGACGATCACCAAGAAGGGGGGCGTGGTCAAATCCTCGAGCGATCATCGAATGAACGTCACCTACCCTCCCGGAATGTGCAGCCTCATGAGTGTCACACTGCAGGTTAGGCATGTAATGTGCTCCACATGTTTTGTGATGAGTTTGCTCAAATACAGAACGCGCATGAGCAAAACCCCAAGGCAAAACGTTATGCCCTGCTATTTAGTCCAATGGCATGTCAAGGGATAACAAGTAACTGTCGACTTTCTTCACCAAAATAATTTACTGAAAAGATTCCTCGTTAACCTAACTACCCCAAATCCTCTGACTACAATACCACCCAAGGGATTTAAGGTTAATTTACCCAGCTGTCCAGAAATCTTGGCTCACTACTGGATAAATATGTCATTATGATATTTTAAGGTACAACCGGCAGAGCAGGCAGTGAGCGAACTCAGGGAACGCATGCGTCATTGTTCTGATCTCATCACTGCGAGTCCCATCATCACTCTTAGCCATTCCTCTGATAAACCCTTCGAGAAGCCCGTGACGGTCACCATCCCCTGCCCGCCCAACCCGCTCAAGCTCCCAGTACCGGGCGGCAATGCAAGCACCACCCAACATAAGCTGGCGGAGAGACAGGTCCCGCTGTCACCGGACGGAGCCGTGATCATACGGGGAACCAAAAGCAGTATCTTCGGCGGAGACCCGGCCGAAGACACGCTGCATTTGATGTACCGACAATCCAACTGGAGTTACTGGAACGAGTTTGAGAATGCCCAGTTTAAGCAAGTCCGCAAGGACCTGGTGTCAATGGAGCTGGACAAACCCGTGGACAAGTAAGAACCAGGAAACATCGTCAGATTGATTATATGGTCAATCGGTTGCTCTACAAATGCAAAGCAGATAACTCGGAAACTTCGTCTACGCATGCGTTATTGTAGCAATATAAAATTGTCAGTTTCTGTAAATAAAATATTGAAAGTTGGCAAACAACGAACTGAAGTAGGTCGATGTTGACACTACATATTAAATTGATTTAATAATTTTCAAATCAATTTTATCACCCAGACTTCTCATCCTTCGCATGACTTCCGACGGTCGCTATCCGGCCAAGAACGTAGCCCAGACCTTCGAGAAGGCCCTGCAGATCAAGTACGCCAGCATCATCCTGCATCACCGAGTCGACGACCCGCAGCGCGTGGTGGTCCAATGTGTGCCGGCCAGGCAGCTCGACAGCGCACTGAGACGGCTAAGCCAGGAAGGCTACGAAGGACCACCAGAGCCCAGCGCGGATGTGGCCATGACGGAAGGACAAGAGATTACGATGAAGTAGGTTACATTTCTGCTGCCAAACATCATGCCATCAACGACACACAGAGGGAATTGAATTATTAGGAATAAACTGAGTTTGTATAAGCCTACCTTGCTTGTCAACCAACTGAACCAAGTTTGATCCAAGATTGCTGTCCTTGCCGAAGCTGTCCCACATCCTTCAACTGTCACTTGCCGTTCGCTGATCATTGTTATTAGGTGTACAGTATTTTCCTGACGACTTTTCCCATCATCCTCAATAGGTTCAGCGGTAACATCAAGATCGTCGGCCGTGATCAGATCACGTTCACCTTCCACTCGCAGCGGAGGAACTTGGTGGAGTTCCTGGTCGAGGAAACCAACAAGTTTGGCAATCACAGCTCGGACGAGTACCGGGGAGTGGCCGGTTTTACGGCACGCCACGCATCACGCTCACGGACATGGAAGATCCCGAAGAGGTCGGTCAAAAAGCAGTACTTTAATTTCTCAAAAATGTGGCATTTTTCTTCCTTTTAAAAATATTTATTTCAGAGGCAAAGATAAGGAAGCCTCGTTACCTTTAGTTGTCCCTCAAAGTGTTGCCGACAGGAATTGAAAAGAGACTGCCCACATTAGAAGTGGAAAACAACGAATAAAAGACTATCCAACTTTGAATTTGAACCAAAACAATTTAAAATGATTGAAAACCCTCTCGGTTTCTCTGAAGGTTCTTCTCCGGGAAGCTGAGGCAAAGGCAGCTGAGAAGGAGAACAAGCGCTCGGGGACATCCATGCTGACCAAGGCTGAGAAGAAGAAACCCGAGGGGGTAGATGGGGCTGGACGGGACTACCAGAGCCTGCGGAAGGTAGAGCCGGACCTCATCTGTAAACTGTCGGTCTTGCTACCAAAGGTAAGCAATAGCTACAAGTCTCACATGTGCTCCTGTTCCTGCTGTTGCACTGACAGTGTATTATGCTGCTGACGGCAGTGCTTTGAATGGGAAGGTTGCTCTCCCCAAATGATGATGAGGATTCATGTTGCTGGTGCTGTGTGAATGGTTTGCAGCTGGTGACAGCGTTTAACTGGTGTCGCACTGTTGCTGCCGTAGCTACTGTGGTTATTCGATACAAATGGTGACGACCGTTGCAGTCGATGACGATTTTAATTAGATAGTTTGAGACAATGTTACTCCAATTAATGCTGCTTGCTGTTTTTCATGTGCTTTCTTTGTGTCAAGAGTTGGGGTTGTGTTTGATGTGTCTTTGTCTTGATTAATGTTCGTGACAACTCCAGAAACTTGGAATGAAAAGCGTATTTATTGGTCTTTTTCCAGGCTGAGCCAGAGCCTCCACTACCGCCGAGTCGGTACCGCGCTACCGCTATTGACGCGGGAGGTATGGTTTTCTTTTTTTTCTCATGATGTCAGGGACAGTGAACAGTCAAAACATGAAAGAACAGGGAGTACGGTTAACACAAATATGTCAGAGAAGTTCTGGCTGGTTTATTTTGAGTAATGAATTCCTCTTTTTGACGGGATTAACTTATGTTTGGCGGTCACGCAGGTGCGGCGAGTAACACCAATCTGCGATGGTTATCTTCTGAGTTGGGTAATGAGTGGGAATCCTTGGCTACCGTGCTAGGGATAAAGAGAAGCCGGCTACAGAGCATCAAGCGAAACAATCCAATCAAGGTGAGACTAGATGACTCGATCGGAATCAATTGTGACGAACAGGGAGCTTGTTTGAAACAATCCCACTAACAATTTCGACCAAGATGGCCATTATGGGTTGCGGACAGAAATGAGAATCGGTTTTGCAACATTACCTGACCGTCAAAGTGGTTGGCTCAAAATTTGTGAAAAGGGATTACAGATGAGGAACTCACACAATGAAGCTCTAAAAGATAACTTAATCAATGTTATGACAAAATCAAACCGTTGACCCGGACCTTGCCATCTAATGATCTAATAAGATTTTGTATTCTTGTGTTGGTAGTGGGCCCACTTGTTGCTCACTATCCAGCGATAAACAGCAGGTATTAAGTCTCGTGCGATGTGAGTACTGATATTGAGCTTTCTTGTGTTAACACAAAATTAATTTTCTCAACCAAAGGTAGAGCATCAGGTGTTCGACATGTTGGTCACATGGCGGAGCATGCTCCCTCGAGCCTACGACAAGGAGCGGAAGTTGTGCCGGGCCCTGGTGCGGTGTGGACGGTACGACCTCGCTGAGGAACTGAAGGAAAGAGACGTCGCGAACGCAGAGACCGATACAGCTCATAATAACAACGTGAACCTTCTTGATATGGATGAATATTAGAATGGAGGGTGAGAGATGTAATGATGGGGGGCCTGTCATCATGGACACATTCTCAAAGCGCATTTACAACTATTCAGTAGAACAGCGCCCCCAGTCGGTATAACAAGACCCGAGAGAAAGGTAGACTAGTTCCCAGTCTTTACATATCGCCCGTCAAGCAGCGGAAATCAAGAGTGTCATGTAGAGGTATCTCTCCAGGGTACGTTTTTCTTCCACGATACTTAGTAAACAAGAAAGCATGTTTTTAACAGCAGTGTGGATTTTGCAAATTTTATTTAGGAAAGCACTTTATCCAGTTTCTCCTCACACTAGTTTGCATCCATCTTCAAAATGAAGCTTCACCTAGTTGTCAACACCTTCAAAATTATTCATGTTACACTGTGGCCCTTGGGTCAAGCCCCTGTAATTCGACCTACGCACAGTCACTCACCAACCTAATACGCAACTGTGAGATTGTACCTAAACCTAAATCACTCAAAAATTTACTTTGTTGCAATGAAATACAAATTATGCACTTTCTTAACTTATATTTGTATAAATTAATTACACAATTCACAAACTTATCCAAGTTTTGATGGTAGAATTTTTATTTTGCATTTGTAATAAATTCTGTATATTAAAACCAAAACTTTTGGTTTGTACCTCACTTTTTAGGCTTTAAAAAACACTTGTTGCTGTGAAGCGTCACAAGGAATAATCAACTGACAATGACAGACATATCACACATAAACACTATAATTTTCCGTATCTGAAAAATCAATCTTTAATACTCACACTTTCAAAACAAATTAGAACATTTCCTTGTAACATTAGTTGGTCTGCTAGCAAGTCAAGCAGTCAGTTTTGTTATGTATTTATAATTAAACCAGGTGGACTTTTGTGAACTTCTCTAAAGGCATTTGGTTAAAAATGAAAGCATTCTGTTATTGAAACATTTGGGCCTTGGATGGAGAAAGCATCCATTACTTATAACTTTCACTTTTACAACAGAAAACTGAATTTGAATAAAATGTGTGATTTTTCAACACAACCATCCTTTGTAAACAGCCAATAAGCTTCATCTCTGGCCATTTAATGTGGTTCACTCCACTGCACACTATTCTTTGCATTTCTGAAACCGGAAATACTTTGAATGTTTAACTTGTCACTGTACAAATCTGCAGTTACAAATCCATCAAGGGGAAATGGAGGTTATGGTATCTTCTGTTACACCCACTGGATTTAGAAGAGCAAATGAAGGCAGTTATCCTCTCAGTAGTGCCCTGGGTTTTGTCCACTTGCCCTCTGCAAACATTCTTTTCTCATATTTCTGTAAACGACACCAGTAACAAAAGTTGGAAAGAGTCAGTCAGAAGAATAACGAAGTTGAAGGCTGTGAATACACTTGTCAAAATAACATGGCCATGGCTGGCAATGGCATATACGTCAATGAGAAAAGTAGGAGGCCATTGGCTAGCAGTTCCCATTGGGGAACATGTTATCAACAGTCACAGCCGAGTAAGTTGGACAGGACTCTACTCACCTTGTATCTGTCAAAGATGTAAATCAAGCCCAAAGGAGGTAGAAGTCCACAGAAAAAACCCACAAGAGAGGATTTGGGAGTAGCTTTGAAGAACTGGTAGGAGCTATGTCTGGCGTGGTTCCACCGGACTACAGCGGGATCCAGCTGAAGAACATGGGGACAGAAAAAAGGCCATGTTTGATTAGTAAATTAAAAACAAGGGCAAAGCTTTGGCAAGGGGAAAATACTGATGTGAAAGTCTTTTAAGAGAATGTCAAAATTGTTTAATTCATAAAAGTGTCTCAAGCCTTGCATAACATGACAAAATGTACGGTAAGCGGTGACAAAGACATTGGAAAGATTAATGCTGGAGTTGGTTGCTGTTAAAACAGTCATTTCTTTCAAATGTTCAAGTTACGGTTCAACTCTGCAAATTCACACTGTGAAGCAGTGTTAATTTTACCCTCCAAGTAAATTGTTTGTCGTGTTAGTTCATTTACATGCTATCGTGGTTGTTGCTACAGGCCTAGACTGTAGGCCTATTGTGATCACAGCCTGAAAATGTCATAGTATTATTAAGCAAACCAGTGGAAGGGTTTATCACAACACACACAGGCTTAAAGCATTTTCTCTCCTGGGTAAGATGTTCCATATACAGAGGTACACGAGACATCACTTATTTTACCGGGCTTGCAAAGCAGAAGTATGGTTTGTAAGCCATGAGAAAGTCATGAAAGTGATACTCCTGAAAGTCAAATCTAGTAGTGAAAATATTGAGGCATTTAGGCCTACTTGGGAAAACACTCATAGTCATAGTCACAGCCATATGCACAGGCAGACAGGGTGTCAATTCGTGTTTGTGTATTGAATTTTTTCCTTTTAGATGATTGTCCACGAAACAAAATGCTCATCTAAAAATATAACAAACACAGCTTATGTTGCCTAGGCTAGTAATTCTAGCCAATTCGAGTCCGTCACAAGTCCTTTCATTCACAATTTCAGTCACAAGCATGACAAGTGACAAGTCACGACAAGTCGGGTCAAAAGTCCCTTCACAAGGCCTGTCGTAAGGGTTAAAAACGACAAAGGAATGCTTTTGCAGCTCATTTGATCAGCTTTTGAATTGGCTTAAGACTCAATGACTTGTGATAGACTTGCAGAAACTTGTGATAGCCTCGAGTAGCTAGGCATACAACATTTCTTAGCCTGATCCTGTAGGCCTACCTGTGTACAGGCTGTAGTGTTGCACTTGCACTGTATTGCAAAAATCGAATTCGTAATCAGTGATTTGGGAAAGCATCAATCACAGGCTAAAAATGTATTAAAGAGTACCCCTGGCTATACTTACCACCATCCCCTTTGCCTTTGGATCATTAACTTTTCTCTGATAGTCTCTTCGAATCTCATTTCTCAGCGCAGCTCTCTCCTGCTCCGCTCTTCTGTTTTCGGCAGACATTCCGAATCCTTCGTCCGCCATTTTGAAATGAGATCTGAGCATATTTAATTACTCGCGAACGATCGTGATTTCGACATTCTTTTTCCAGAGGGGCAATAAATCAGATCGTTAATTTTTATTCAGTTCTCAGAGCTCTGTTTGAATTTTCAAACAGAAATGAAATTGCACTGCAATTACTACTTCTAAACTCAGCCAAGAGATTAAATTTTCAATTCATGCAGTGACTTTGTGTAATTTTTTTGTCTGTAACCTACCTCCATCAATAATATACGGAGATTTCACTAAAAACCCGTGTGAATTACAACAGCGAAGAGGTACACTAAATCGCACGTACCACAGGGATATAAATTTGACCGTTCAGGCCTGCACGGACAGCTTATGTACGGCAAAAGGACAAAGTTTCTTTTCTTCTTTTTTCTTTCTTTAAATAGAAATGACCTAAGGGCTTTTTAAAATCACACAACGCAAATGCCTTAATTTTCTTGGAGGCGCTGGCGCTGGCTGGCCGAGGCACGCCCTCCGTGACCACTATACCCGGGCCGCGCCGGCCTCCGCCAGCTTGCGTGGGTCCAGTCTACTTAATTACCGTAATTCGGCCTTTTTTTCGCTTTGTGAATAAAATTTTGAGAGAAAATGGACCTCAGTGTGGTTTACTCCTAGCTAATCTCGGCTAAAAGAATGGAAGGGGTGTCTGAAGGGATGGAACCTTTTAAATGCGTCAGCAAAACGCAGTTCACTGAATTGCGTTGTTTTGATCAACATTAGGGCCTACATTTAGGCCTACTCAAAATACATTAAATATTTTCCAAAAGAATTATTCAAAAAGCTCTTAGAAAAACCGGTTTTGCACTGTGGGGCATCCATTTAGGGGGGCTGAGGTGCAGACATAGGCGGCGGAACGAATTTCGAAGTGGGAGGGCAAAATGTTAGACCATGATCCGAGGCATCAACCATTCAGTCAGTTAAATAGGTCACGGTTGATCCACCAACTGAGCCCCACAGGACCTGCAAACAGTGTGGGGAGGGGCACTCAGGCACACTTCCCCGTTCCGCCGCCAGTGGGTACAGGCAGTCATTTGGAGAAGGTTTGCTAAAAGAAAATAATAAAATAGTTTCAAACAATGCAAAGATCTTTTTCCAAACTTCTTGAGCTTGAAATTTGAAAGTAAAGGGACCGGGGCAAAGATCCGATTCCAGTTGTGTACATGGTCTTGTAAAAAAAACAAAAGCAAAAACAAAAAACAATTCGGTCCCCACTTCTCACAGCTAACTCGGCGACTATCTTGAGTTAATTTCAGTTAGGACTTGAAGCCTTGCTCTACATTATCGTCGGATTTTATTACCTTAATGTGATATCCGTAGCGGATCCAGAGAAGATGACCAGCAAACCCCGCCCTCTTTTCCCATCATTCAAAGGGATAAATGCTCTCAAATATTATATTTACTACTTTTAGGGAGCTTAAGTAAATTTTAAGTGGAGCCCCGCTATACGGGCTCCCCTTGCAATTTTCTTGACCCCCCCCTTTTAAGTGACTGCTGAATCAATCACTGTTTAAATATTCTAGTTTGGTTTACGTTTTACAAAAAGAAAACCACCATTTTAAACTGGTAGACCCAAGGCAGTTCACCGTATGATGCGGCCGCGGGACCCACTTATCAAAAGTGATGCAGTTGCTGGAAAACTCAGTTACGGTGGGGTCTTTGAAACCGACCTTATTATGCGAGTGCACCATATGAAACAAAAGAATAGCCATTGTGCAAAGTATATGACGCACAATATTTGTTAGGAAACATAGTAAAAACACGATTTATCGGTGAGCGCTAAGTGGCCCCAACGGGCCGTGGCTGACGAGTCGCGGTGACACATCGTCACCATACCGCCGATGACTCAGCATGGATCATCGATACAGGGTGGTCTCTGTATGTCTCACAATCACTTGCTAGCATTTAGAAGGAAACGTTTTCATCATTTCTGTCTCCAATTTCAGTTCTATTTAATTTTTTTATGCTAAAGAAGTTCAAACCAACAGATATTTAGATAAGCCTACACTTCTTACAGAACACACTGTGCATGATGTTTCGCCCACGTGCGTGCGTCTGCTAGCCTCATAACCATTGGGACCGTTTAGTGAGCCGGACACATGCGTAGTAAACTGGTTTCGTCTGACATGTGAGAGGCCTCACAGGGTCAACCGTTAGAATTTTCTGCTGATTTCGACAGCATTCCGGTAAGTTTGTGAAGAAAGATTGACCCAAGGCGTTTGCTTTACATGGTAGATGCGGGTAAGGACAGTTGGAAAGGATTATCAAATTGCGATTAGTTGATTTTCTGTTTGTTTACACTTTGAATTCAGTTTGGGGGTTTGCTGTCAAAGTCGTTGCTGCGGTCTGCAAATGCATGTCGGCAGAAAACTAGAAAGAGGGCGTTCTTCATCACAGAAAAAACGTTCGCATTAACTCTCAGTCCTCCAATAGGTGAAGGATTGAGGAGGGTTTTAACTGCTAAATTGCAGTTAGTCACCCTTTTCCATGGAGTGTCAAGTGCAACCTATAATCTAACGACTGTTGCCCCTGGAAACGTCTACATCATATTCCCTAAATTTAAAATTTTATAGGACTAGGCCCCGTGCTATGGTGGTGGAGTTAGGACATCAAGTTGTAGGCCTACTGTTTAATGAGTACTGTGTTAGGGAGCTTGGTTTTTCTGCCATGCATAATCAGATGTCATGGATGATCATATCAAGAAAGTTTTCCATGACTGTATCATCATTATCATTGACCTAGCATGTCTAGCTTTACAGTCTGTGCCTTAAAATCAAATTGACCATATGGACTCTAGACTTGGGAAAATCAGTGGATTGGACATCACCAATAATATTGTTTTAATATTTTTCGTTACTCATGATTTTCTGTATGTCAGGAAGAGTTCCATATACAAATGTCAGTAATTCTTTCCTACAGTGACTAAATAGCCATCAGAAAGCAAAAACATGTCCAGAAAAGTTCAATTAGGGAGGGGAAAAACCACATTGTTTACTTAGAAAGCATTTTAAATTTTTCAGATCGGTCCCATAGGGTTTGTGAACAGGGTGTCAAGTGCTGTCAGTTTAATATGGAGCTCTTTCCTATTTGTCTTTGATGATGGTTCAGTTTTGGTCAACATGGGTGAAGTACAATGTATTTCTGTTTGAGTCACCTGTTTCGTTTCCCCAACTATTTCTACCGCACCCCCCGCCAACCTGCACCTCAATTCTCCCTCTTTCAGCCTTTTCACATCAATTTCACATCAATTTCATGGATTAACAGTAGAGCGTTAACATTAAATTATATTAATATCTCTTCACTGAAATAATTTCTAGTCGTGCAGTTTGATTTTGAATTGCCAGTTTTGTCATAGGTATTGATTCTTGACCCTTTTTAAGGCAGCGCATTTGTTTCAGTCTCGATAAAAGGGAGATCCTTGGAGACTCTTGAGACAGAAGACGACACAATGCCAGCCAACAAGCCTCCAAAGGCTCCAATTGGTAAGATATATTGAATTTTCGTCACAGACTTAAACAAAACAATCAGCAGACTCGTCAGTCAAAGGTTTTTATTTTATATGTCTACAGATATGTTACACTTGTAAAGTGACATGAATGCAGCCCTGTTGCCAGCTTCAGGCAGGGGGGCTGCACCAGCTGGGGCATATTACAAGAACGGTAGATAGTTTTGATGCTTATGGTTTTAGCCAATGGGAGGGGCTGATTGCTAAGGGGGGCTCGACCCATATGAATATATGCATGTTTGTTTATTTAAATTCAGTGATGTGTTTATATTAAATGCAGTGATGTTTCATAATTATTTTTCAACTTTTTTCCCTTTTGTTCTTTTGATACCAGAAACATTTACCTGGGATGAGTATTTAAAAGGTAAAGATGCTAACCCAGCTCCACAGTCCTGCTTTAAACAGGTAGGCTCTCGTTTCTCTCTCTCTTGTGAAATCAACACTGGATTCCCCATCGTGTCATAATCTAACATCACTACCAGTTACTGGGAATTCCCCATTATGATGCAATCCTTGGTGTTGCAATTACATGTGGCCTTGGCAGCATAATGCTTTTTCCCTCATAGCAACTGGTTGCTTCATTTTGGTTCTAGTTGTTTAGCATTAATTTTTTTTTGCTTTGCCCTTTTCTGAAAGAAAAAAAATGCACAAAATCTTGTGTGCACCTTGGGATTTTTAAAAGGTTTTTCCAGCTTTTAAGTTGCATGTATGGTCTGGTAAGTGTATCAAGCAAATGCCTATTGCAGTATCAGAAGTTGGAAACATTTTGGACGATAAATACTTACAGGCATTTGAGATGTCAGAAGTCGTGTCAATTCCAATTAAGATCTCTGTGACCATTCAAAGGGTAGGGGGATTGCATTAACAACATGAAAAATCAGGATTTAAATCGGAGTTTCCTTTTCATTACAGGCACCCATACCCCCACCAAATGAATTCACTGTTCATTCTAAGCTGGAGGCCTTGGATCCACGGAACATCACATCCACCTGCATCGCCACCGTGGTTGGTTTGCAAGGACCCAGGCTGAGACTGCGGCTAGACGGCAGCGACAACAAGAATGACTTCTGGCGCCTGGTGGACTCTGGTGATATCAAGCCCATCGGCTGGTGCGAGAAACATGGTGGGATGTTACAGCCTCCACTGGGTAAGAATCAGCCACAATTTTGATCTAAATCTAGACATAGACCTCTAGTTTCTTCTTTTTCCTCTCCCTAAAACCTATTTACTCTGTACACATTTTTTCTCACCTGGACTTTTGACTGAAAACAAATTCATATTTCAATAAAATCCAGGTAAAGACCCTTTAAAGACTTCTTACCTCTGCCTGAATTGTCTTACGTGCTAAACTTGAGTCAGTCACGTTGTTCCTCAATTGAAGTATGGCAGTTCATTTGAAATTTAGTATCCAATTCTCTGATATCCGACACCACGTTTTTTAGTTCTTCAGATTTCAGATCTCTTCCACCTAACCTCTGTAATACATGAGGCTTGATGTCAAAAATTTTGAAGTGTGCAGAATACGCAATTTACCTGTAGTTGACTGCTAGGATTTCAATTCTTATAGATTCAGACATTTCCTTTGGAAAAAATGTATGGTGACACATCTTTCAATGATCTGCAGGTGTTTAGGGTCTGCTCTTTTGACCTCACAGTGGTGGTTTTCCTTCTAGTGGATGCTAAAACTATGGATGGCCATCAGTACCAAAGTAAAAGAATCACACACAAAGTGTTACAAATCCCACATAGCTATTAGAACAACAGGTGATGTACTACTAAAAACTTAGTGAAAATACAACCCTCTTTAAAATGAATGGGACAAATGTCCATTTTAAACAAATTTGTGGTAAAGTTGACAACCAACCAAAACATGACATTTGTGCAAACTTTGGTTGCCCATACAAGAGAGTGGTCTGCAAGTTTCATTTTATCCTGACTGTGTCCAAAAACATTTCTTGCTCTGTTGCAAAAACACTTTTAAAACCCTTTTGATCCTTTTATCTAGGTTTCCGAATGAATGCATCATCGTGGCCTTTGTTCCTTTTGCGGACTCTAAACAACGCCAAGATTGCACCTGACTCAGCATTTAAAGAGGTGACATCTTATGGTTTCACCGTCATCAAAACTATTCTAATGCAGAATCCAACGTAACTAAAAAATAACAGTGACCCCCAACAATATAAACCAGTTTTGAAGTATACAAAATCATACAATTTCACACTTCTGCATTTCAAATTGAAAGGTTCCTTTTTCTCAAAGAAAGATATTTGAAGGCATGTTCATTCCTGATTGTGGGAAGTTCTGATAACCTTAAAGCTAAAGAAGTGACAAGGAATTCTGTTCCTCAACAGGAGCCGCCGACTCCATCGGAGAACAAATTCAAGGTGGGGATGAAGCTAGAAGCCATCGACCGTAAGAACCCCCATCTCATCTGTCCGGCCACCATTGGTGGGATCAAAGACAACATGGTCTTCATTTCCTTCGACGGTTGGAGGGGTGTCTTTGATTACTGGTGTGAATACGATTCCAGAGACATATTCCCTGTTGGCTGGGCTGCAAGAACTGGGCATTACTTGCAGCTCCCCGGAAACAAAGGTGAGCTCTCACAAACGGCATTTTTTTGAAAAAAACTTCACCAGATACTTTCAGCATTATGAAAAGTTTTTCATTACTGTACTGGAATTGTAATCATTGGATATCTTCTGATTCCTTCATTTAGGTGCAACATCAACCAAGGGCCGTAAGGCCAGCGCAGCCACCACCGTTTCTCAGCCCCGTAGTGCTACACCCTCCGCCCCTTCCCCTCCGGTTTCCCCAGTAACCATTGAATCCGGAGGTCACTCACCGAGCTATGATAACGAGCCTGATACAAGCAGCTCATCATCAGACGGCTCAGTGTGTGAGTCAGAAATTCCTTTCATTGCTGAAAGATTTCAGTGCTGTGCACCGAACCTCGTTCCAGCCACTGATTGTAAAAATTTATCCTTTGATTACCCACAGCCGTCTCCTTGTTCATCAACAACACGTGCGTGTCGGGTCCCTACCTGAGCCCCCACAAGGTACATCAGATGCCCAGTCTCATCGGTCCGGCGCCCATCGAGAGGGTCCTAGCAGAGACGCTACAGTTGTGCGTCAACTCAGCCGTCCAGCAGAAAGCTGTGTTTGCATTCCTGAAAGGAGACGAGGGTGGCACTGTCAACATCACAGGTACTACATTCCTTCCCTTGTAGGGCTTACAGTTTCGGCAGGAAGATTTCTTAACCCATACTCCCAGACTTGTAAATCTTCAGTCACAAGTCAGTCCACAAGTCATTTCCCAAGTCACTTCACAAGTCAGGGTGGAACTAAACAGATGAAAAGCAACAAAGGAATACCTTTGTCACAGTTCATTTAAATAACTTTTGAGTTGACTTGTGATTGAATGACGTGTGAATGACTTGTGGTGACTTGCAATGACTTGTGGCTGACTCAATTACAACTCTGCATGCTCTGAAGGAGCTTGCTCTCGTCTTCAAGTCGAACTTCATCCAGGGACTTGTCTATCCTCAGAAGTACAAGAGGAAGTAAATGCTGATCAGAAAAGTGTCTAAATGGAGTATTAAAGTTGAAGGGTATATCAGATAGGAACAGGCAACACACACGAGGGTCACTGTTGCCATCTTGGCGTTTCTTTGACCACATGACAGCTAACCCTTGGTTTAAACTTTTTTACAGCTCATTACGGTAGCCACACACATTCCGTTAGCCTACAGGCTCCCGAGACGACCTCGGCCTTCTGGGGACTGATAGACCAGCTGTGTGAGGACCTCTTGTGCTGTGGAAACTTCTTCAGCAACAAGCCGTTACAGGGACCTTGCAGTAACTGTGCTAAACAGGGTAACTCTCACATCCACTCGACGATTCCTGGGGTGTTCTTACGCCTCGATTCTTTCAAACCTACTACTGTGGAGGAACCCAAGAGCAGAATCCTTGCTGGTCGTTTTCAAGAGATACCTGCAACTTGCCCCTGTAGAGTAAAAGTCACTGGACTCAACCTCCCTCAGTCTCACAGAATCTTTCAAATCCTGTTGGAGTTTGAAGGATCTTAGAGGTTGATGATGAAATTATTCCTGGGCCTTCTTACCGCCTTGAGAATTCCACAAATCTTTTTAATCTTTTCTTCTTGTCTCCTGTCATTTTCTTATAACTTCCACGTTATAAGGGCACTTTTGCAAAACTCGTGTTTTACAAACAGAAGTTTTGCTGAAGTATCTGTAAAATTGTTTAGGTCTGTCAATCCAGCACTGAAAAATCTGAGTACATATCTGTAATTTTCTGTTAATTCAGATGACAGTGGTCACCAAGGTAGACACCGAAGCCACAGCGGAAGCACTCTCAAGCCCTCCACAGCTACCAAGAGAAGTCTGTCCACAGACTCGGCGACGTCAGATAGAGGGGACCTTAAAGTGCCTAGAAGAATCCGGACAGAAGGTTGGCAACCTGGACCCTGAAACTTGCAATAAACATGCCAGAAGCCAAGAATTTGTCGCGTTTTAACCGCAACTCTCCTTGCCAGATGAGTGTCTGGGACTAAAAGAGCTGTGGTCAAGCCTGTCATGAGGCCTGTCACAAGTAACATGATTAACAGTGTCTAAGAAGTACCGACGCCATCGTTTGTTTATCTTTTGATTTGGCTTAAGAAGCTTGGAGTTTTCATAAACTTGCAGGGACTTGTGACGCACTTGACTGCAGACCTAGGGACGAGATGTGTAGCAACAAATGGTGTGCTTCCAATTTTTAGCGCCATGCTATCCCTTCATCCACACATAAAATAAAATAGCCAACAACTGAGTTGCTTTCATTTTGTGTCAACAGCCGCGAGTTCCACGACGACCGTTTCTGAGGGGAGAGATGCACGCGAGAGCAAGCCCCCTGTTGGTCCGCCATCTCGAGATCCTACCAACTGGTCAGTAGAGGAGGTGATCAGATATGTGACGGACGCCGACCATACCATGTCAACACATGCTGACACCTTTAAGAAGCATGTGAGTAAGCACTGTCATGTCCTGTGAGACTTTGAAGGACTCGGCATTTCATTTCCTATTGTCCTTAAGGGCCTGGAGCTGAACCAATAGAGGGCGCTATTTTCTTAAGCTCCTTCGATCAGAACTGAGCTTTGCTGGTTCACGAATTACTAGGAAATGCATGCATTACAGTCACATCGCTACCAACAAAACACTCCCGACCAACAACCGACCCGGGGGGTTCCTCTGCTTGGGACGGATAACATAGCATTCTCCAAAAGACCAAGAGCAGGCACTTACCACAGATGGCAAACTTCAGCAAAGTCTACAGAGATAGAAGAGGATTGTTTTGTTTCTTTTATTCGCCCCAACAACCACTTGATATAATAGCTAAGTTGTTACCTCAAATATCACACCTGCTCCTTCAACAAAATTTAAGTTAGTCTTTACACTAGCTTTTAAAACGTCTCCACAACCTGTATGCTCCTTGACCCCACTCCAATCTAGGCAGATGGTCAGGGTGTGTCCATTTGGTAATAGTACCCAAGTGGTACATAGGCTCTCTATCCAAAGTTGTCCACATTCCAGGGATGTGTCTAAGATGTTTTAAGAAGCCTGCTTGGTAAAAATTCCTGAAGATTGATGATTAGTCTTATTACCTTAACCCCTAAGGATGTATGGAAAAAAATATAAAATCCAAATATGCAGCATTAATGTCTGTCTGGTTTGTATGAACTCAGCCGTGGTTTCTGTTTTTTTTTCCACACAGGAGATAGATGGGAAGGCCTTCCTGCTCCTTAACAGTGAGATGATGATGAAGTACATGTCGCTGAAGCTGGGACCGGCTCTCAAGCTCTGCAACCTGATTGAGAAACTCAAAACCAAGAAATTCTGATGGGGTCCGTTTCCATGCCGACAGGCAAGACAGGCAAAGCAATACTGGTGAGGAAACTTGTTTGTTTTATTCGTAATTCAGAATTCCGCTTGAAAAGTGTAAGAGTGTGTGACGGTGAGACTTCTGCCTCGTTGTCACGCTGTTGCTGAGCTGAAACTGTGGATTGACATACTGGAGTGATGACTACACAACAACCAAACTGGCCATTAACTGATTTGGCGAATGGTGGACATGCTGGACTCAAGTGAAGCTCTTGAATCGCATCTTGATTTTTTTTTTAAACACTGAAACTGTCATGGCTCGGCTATGTAAATGCCTCCCATATTTGAGCCCTCTCTTTGGACATTTCATCCCTTTTGAATTGACCTGAAGAAGGTTGAGTTTGCGTGTTTTTCAAAGGTCAAGATAAAGAGATCTACAATGCGGTGTAAGTTCTACGTACCGAATCAAGATAACTCATCCAAGATCTTACCCTCTTTGCTCATTCCAAAGTTTAATCATTCGCCGACTAGATGGATCAGCTCCAGCTTACCAGTGCATCCCTGAGGACAAAAAGTTACGAGTCTAAAATCAAGGCTTGTTGAAGTTTGGTGGTGCTTTGCCACTGGGCATGGGTAGCAGTATTGCCTATCGGCGATTTACTTTGTGCAGACTTTGATCCATGGTCGCTGAATTGATGTTTGTGTTGACAACAACCAATGATGTGTGCAGACAATATTTTTGTAACAGAATTTCAATTGAAGGATGAATTGTTGTTTGCCAAATCGTGATGACTTGAGAGTGTGGTTGCATTCACAATTGATGGTTGTTAAAATCAAAACAAAGCTTTTTGTTTTGATGTTTTTCTTGAAAATAATGTTTTAAAACAAAACAAGATAATATTATTTGGATGTTTAAAATTTGGTATTTGAGACTTTTTTCAAAAAGTCAGAGTAACGGGCTGTTCATTTTGTTCTTCAACTATGAATGCCTTTGTCCATTTTTAAAAGTATGGTATGTACAGATGACTTATTTCCTAACTTAACATGATCAACATGTTTTTCCTTTAGTGAATATTTCTGATCACCCTGTATGTTTTATGTGAAGATTGTGAATATAATTCAGACTTGTGGTTGTCATCATTTGATTAATTGTTACTTCCAAGTTTTATGAGCCTTCTGTTAACAGTGTTGTGTTACTTGTTCTGCAGAAGAGAGAGGTCTGAGGGAGTCGTATATGAACCAAAGTTCAGAAGTTTGCATTTGGCATCTGAGTTCCCTAGAATTGTACTTGGCGATGCTGCCTTGCCAATTAGAAATAGTTCTAACAATGCCATTGGAAAATGTGAAGCAGACACTTTCTTGTTTGACTGTCATGACGTTACTTTCATCACTGAGTTTAATTAAGATAAATGAAGATTGAATTGAAAACCCAGCAATTCTTTTGGCTGAATAAAGAAGATGACAAGAAACACAGGTACTCTTCAAAAATCAATTACCACCTTTCTTTAACATTCCATTTGTTCTTGCATGCGATTTGGTTCCAGAATGATGTATTGTGATCAGTGTTTTAACCCGGTGTACAACTGTTGACATGGTGTGGTCCATGGTGTTTTATCGCCCTAGGCAAAGCCACTGAAGCTTTTATTCTTTTCTACATAATGACAATTACTGATAGATATGTAGCATGTCCTGCATTAGGTTTTATTAATAGCAAGGTCTAAGAAGTTAATGTCACCCAACAGGTGTCATTCAGTGGTTTAGAAGTGTTTTTGGTCCCATCTGTTTGGCTCTAAGTAGACAGTACTCATTAAATGTACCCCCACGATATCCATTGTACACTGTGGTGTGATGCGGTACCAAGTACCTTGCCATAAACCCTGTGAGTTCTGAACTTTGCAGTTTGCCCTTTTGCAGTTTATCATGCAACCTAATGAGTTCTTGTTGAGTTATGGAATTATGAGGTTATGCAAATGTTAACAAAAGAATGCGATATTGTCCAGAATGTTGTATTGTTCAGGATGTCATATTTTTCACAATGTCATATTTTCCAGAATGTCACATTTTCCAGAATGTCATATTTTCCAGAATGTCGTATTCAGAATGTCTCATTGTTCAGAATTTTGTACTGTCATCACTGTTTTAGCTCCAAATTCCTTTGCTTTTTTCTTTTCCGATTTTTTTAATGGGTATACACTGTTCAGGGTTGCCCAGTCCAATATTTTGTTCCCTCTTCTAACCCCAAAGTTGGATACATTTAGAAATCTGTGCATACTGTAGATGATTTTTTTGGGTAGAAATCTCCACAAAGGTTTCTTGACTCCCAAACAGGCATAAAATGTAAAGAACTCTGGGGCTTTGTTTCGTGACAGGGTTTGACGTTGTAATGGTTGGCGCTCTGCTGTAAATCCTCCCTAAACCATAAGCCAAATTCAAGGTCGGGTTGACTTAGCCTGTTCAGGATATGACACGTTTATTTCCTGGATATCGCATGCAACTCAGAGGCATCATGTTGAAATTTGCTTCAATTACATGAACCTCTGACCGGAACCAGCCACTACATGTACCTGCTGCAGATTTCATTCCCAATTTATAAAGCGGACAACCTTTTGATTTTTTTAACGTCAGTTGACACTCACAGGTGTGATGAGGCATTTCATGTCCACAGCACAACCTTGACTCAGACATAACTCACCCTCTGCTGCCCCACTCCAAATACCTTTGACACTAACAGAGAAGACTAAAATGCCTTTTTTTCTCGGACAAAACTCACAACTTATCCACCTGAATTTTTTCGTCAGAAATCCAAAACTTCTTGTCTAATGTATTATGAAATCCGCATTGATGAAATGTTGAACCATGAAGCATGTAGCGATGTAACATAATACCATTCCTGCTATTTATCTTGTACAGTATTGTATTCAACATAACTCTTACGTTTTACTTGAACTTTGTAAATTCATTCAAAGGGTTCTCAGTGAGAGTGGATGTTATGTAAAACCATTTTTGTTTTGTATTTTTGCAGCAACACAAATTCAATGTTGTGGACAAACTTTTAACAGCAGAATGCAATGGCTTACATGTGCCAGATCAGATCCTGGATGTTTGAAGATTTGAATGTCACAGCCCTTTGTAAAACAGGACCTGTGGTTCAAGCTGATGGTGCGTTCGAGATGTTTAAAAATATTACTTGTCAAAAATTTGCCCGTCAAAAATTTGAGGATTGGAACAGATGCATTATTGGCTGACGCTGAGAGATTATGAACACCGCAAAATGTCGAATCAACATTCTCCAACTTAACCTTTTACCTCAACCCCCGGAAACAAGTCTGTCAATTCTTTGCAAGCAAGAAGGAAGACGCAGGTGTTTGAGTTTGGTAGACTTAATTAACCCTAACTCGTTAGGGTCTTTTTACTAGGGCACATCCTCCATCCTCCAAAATCCTCCAATTGCCCAACTTCAAAAACTGCATTCATGTTCAATCCTCCAAAATCCTCAGAGGATTTTGGAGGATTGAGGTGGGTTAATCCATAATGGTTGGTGATGACCAATGACCACCGTTGCAAATCATGCACGCACCACTCTCGGCAATTTTAACAATGCGTTGTTTTATTCAAATGCAATTTTATAAATGTTCATCTAAAGGTAAAGTGCGGTCACTGTAAAAACTGAACAGGTGATGTGCGACGAATGTTTTGCTTGCATGGTCTTTGTCATTTTTTTCCGGGGGGGAGCACTTATTAGCGGTAAAGTGACAATTCATTAACGGTGGTAGGGGGCCAATTCCAAGGTATTTTCGAGCGACAGACGGGAGAGAACATTCTCTTAAAATGGTTGAGAACTCCTCTGCCGAGGAGGACCTAAATTCGGTGATTTTTCCTTCTCAAGTTGATTACTTAATCGATATTTTTTGTGTGTACAAATGAATAATCGCTATATTTTTATATTGTTCATTGCATGATGTTTTGTGCTTGTAAGCTTATAATATAATTACAATTGACATTGTAAAGTTACTTTACACGTGAGGTTATACGCTTGATTTTGGGCAGTTCCGTGCGAAAGTAGAGGTCACACTCTATGACTTTGTTGGTATTTGTAATTCATCTATCAAAAGTTTTTTAATGCCCAGTGGAATTAAAGGTTACGGGATTACCTATTGTTTTCACTTGTTTGAAAATTTTCCAAAGAAAATTGCGGATAACAATGTAGTCAGTTATAGTAATGTCGAAGTTCACCGTCTCATGGAATTGCCCTTTAATCTTGCTACTGTTGCTAGCATCAAATTTTAAAAATATAACAATCCAGACCAGTGGCATGTTACTAACATTTCTCTTATAATGTGATCAGAATATTTAGAATTCACCCTGTGCCTCCATTAAAAGAATAACTTGTAAATTAAGAATAGCTTTTCTTTATTACATGATATCCAAAGAATGCTAAGAAATCACAGAGTAGGTCTTAGAGAAAAATATAAGTTTTCTTAGCCCCGTATCCAGACCTATAGGAATAGGTATTAGTAATTATTTCCTTCTCGTGTTATATGTACATTATTTGTTTTTAATTAGGTTATGTTTCTTAACGTCTTCTCTTCGGTTTCAAACCCTCTATGTTTTGTGTTCATCGCCCCAAGTTAAGTTGTGATGTTGAAAAGTATTGTATACAAACCTCCCGACTGTCAAAATGTTGTAAGTCATTTGTTATTATTTTGAACTTTAGAGAGGTAAACCAAACAACGGAGTGTGTGTTTTGAAAATAGCGTGAACTGAATAAGGGAATTATCAATGAATTTATGAATTTTTCTTTTTTTGCTTCTCTTTCCTATTCAACTATTCCATCTGTTGGGTGATTATGATGATAAATGTTGTCCTGAACACCTGTTCAGTAAATGCCGTCATTGATGCATGCTCATGAATATGTGTCCCTAGTCCCCAAAAGGTGCTTCGTGTAAATAAAAATAAAGCTTTATATGCGTTTCCATAGTACCTGTGAATTCTTGTCGAAACTTGTGCATAAATGGCCCATTCGTTCTGCGCACGAACCCATAGCTTGAATCGCGATGTCACTGCATTGCTTTGAGCTTTCATATGAGAGCAGAATGGCCTAAAAACTGCGGTTGAAAAATGGTCCTAAGTGCCCGAGAAAGTTGAGGGTTGCCACTTGAACAAAATGGCTGCAATCAGACTTAAGAAAAATCACTTTTTGGTGGATGACTTTTGTTTTGTGGGAATAATTAAAAATGTAATCGGTTAACCCACAAAAAAAATTGAAAAGAAATTGAAAGAATAGGGACTAGACGATAATTTCATTTGTGTTCCTGAAATCTCAGGGATGTTGGTATGCATGTTATTAATTGGGCCCCGAACAGTGTTGATTTTACACTGTTTTCAATGGGGTTTGAATGAGTGGACTGTACCCCGACACGGCATCTTTGCCTTGGTTGGCCTAGGATATGCTTGGGGAAATGCCTCAGATTTTGCAGTTTTTCACTTTAATAGCGATGCTGAAACATATTTCCGTCGATCCTCATACCAGATGTGAATGTTAATGAATAGAGGTTTTGACCACATTTTGCTGACATATTTTGAATTGAATTCAGGGGCGAGAGTCGTATCGGTTGTGAAAAACTGGTGACGTTGACGGGGGACAATGACGTTTCAAGTATTGTGCTGGGACGAATGGGACTTTGTTTTGCACATCTGCAAGTACCATTTCTCTATTTCACACACTACTGAAAGGAATGTTGATTTATATCGACCTTATGGGCTCGGAAAGAGAGAAACTTTTGAAGTCCTAATTTTATTCTCTGAAACTGATTAAGAGCAGAAAGTAAAAGCTGTGATGATTGAAGAGTTCTCACTAAAAGAAGTGAAAAATCCTGCGAAACCTGAGAGAAAACGACGTTGAAATCTGCCCTGTACATTACATTTTCAATGGCTGCTCACGCTTTTATGCCACTTTGGACAGTGTACGGGCATGCGTGCATAACGTGTTTACTTGAAAGCTTATTACGCAGACAATCGAATCACGCACGCAGCCTTTGTCGCGTCATAGACAGTGAAGCCGCGGTTGACTGGTCTCGCCGCCGCCTCACATAGCATCATTATGTACATGTACATGAACCGGTTTTGTGTCTGAAGAAAGACCGGTCTATACTGAATTTGTAATCATTTTTTCATCTCAAAGAAGTTTTGTGTTGGATACGGGATGGAATCATGGGCTGAATCATAGATTTGACTTGATGTCAGTGGAGGGGACTTTCTTGATTTCATGGTTACGGGAAAAATACTTTCTGTTGGCCTTAACTAGTTCCGTGGTGACGGTAGTCAACATCGTGCTCACGAGCATCGTGATTTAATCATTGGACGCCTCCTGCCGGCACGGTACGTATATTGCATCATCGCGCCGATCAGCTGTGCAGGTGACGGCAGCTGTAACTCTGAACGACGCGCGGGCTGCAGTAGACCTAGGTCTACGTCGAGACCTTCACGTCGCAGCACAACCAAGATCAACTCAGTGATTCCGTGATCTCCGTAGTCTCCAGAAACACTCCCAAGCAGACAAGGACAAAGTCGATAGGCCGGCACGTCGGATTTGGTTACGGGGGAATAATTGGTTATTTTTACTGCCGTGCTGTAAAATTTCCGTGCATCGGAGGGTGAATTCTCGGCAGGCGGGGAGAAATCAGTGTGTGTCGAGACAAGGCCGCAACCCCCAACAGTGAATAGTATAGTTTGTGCATTGGCCCGCGTGTCACACAGCGGAGTATACCGTAAGTTGCGACCCTACACTGACTGCACGGTGGGTGGACCAACTATAATAGAGTGGGATCGTGTCCAGCTACACTTCCAGGTCCATAAACTCTCATCTGACGAGCTACATTTGATGAAACGTCAAAGACCAAACTCTAAGCCTTGCGTGTGGCCTAACGACTCGAGTGTGCCCAGATGAAGGCTTTTGACAATCAACTGTCAACATCAGCTGATCGGTGTGTGCCCCACCTTATCTTCGAGTTGATTGTTTGTTCAAGTTCCACTCTGGTAGAGTTTAGGCACGTATTCTTTACCATATCACAAGTACAACGGTATGACAACTGGATGGACTTGTACATGTAGTCAGTTTTTGCATTGAGCTCTGTCTTCATTGGTACGAGAGACGCGAGAGGGATAGTTTTTGGCCTACGGTGTCAAATCAATTTCACAGTCCACAGCCGTCGACCTGTAACGCCGCGTTAGTCATCGCAATGCCCTGTATGATATTTCAGCCCAGAGATAATGATGGTTTTGATGTTACGCAATGGACTGATGAGAGGCACATGAGGAAATACTGACTTGGATGTCGATATAACGTGTACATGTGTGGGCAGATGACTGCCCTGACCTAACCCGTATCGAACATCATTGCCTCTAGCCGTCGCAGCACAATTAAAATCCCCTCTGTCAGACTGTCAAAGCAGAAGAGACACGTTTTGTTCCAGGAGTGTCCTTTGGCAGGGTACTGTGTCTCACCCGTAAGTCACATCGCCCTGTTGGTATTCTATACAGACTGGTTCTTCAGGCTCTTCAATGCATAGGAGGGTATTTGCATGGGCCGTGAGGAAGTTTCTCAAATCTTCAGGCTAGTCTGTGGTGGTCATCAACGGCTTTGAAGAGGGAAGTTAGTTTGAAAGCAGGGATTTCATCCAGACCAGTCCATCTCTCGGATTAGCGTGTCATCAAAATAATACACAAGGTCCGTTAATGTCTTGCTGATACTAGTCGGCTCATAGACCTACATCGTTCGTTATTGGCAAGTGACACTGCAGCGACATCCTTCCACCAACATCTTCTTTGGAAGACCAAATCTCCAGTCACCATGGGCAGGATGGGTCGCTTCAAGCGGAGCAGCAGTGGAGGGATAGAGGTGGATATGGACAAGTTAAAGCAACGGCGCGCCAGCGCCTTCATCGTCCCCCAGGATGGGGGGTGGGGCTGGGTCGTCTGCCTGGCCTCGCTTTGGACGAACGGCACAATCTTTGGTATCATCAACTCCTTTGGGGTCATGTACGAGCGGATCTACAACGAAGTGGATGGAGCTGACAACTTCAAGACATGTAAGACAAACTGTAGCTGCAATTTGTTTTTCGTTAACATAAAGTTTCTGTAACTTTTCGGTCTTTTCTCCAATGTATGAAAACTCTTCTACATTCCTTTTTTGTAAATTGCATTGTACAGTGCACTTTTTAAACAACTAAAATTATACATGCGTTACAGAACAACTGAGTGTTCTATTGCCATGTCGTCACCCAGGGAAGACAGAGTTCAGTGCATAGGTTTTCTTTTCAAATCGTGAACCCGGAATACACTAATATGTCTAGGAAAGGGATTCTGCTTATTGCTATACGGACATAAACAACATTGAGAATCAGCAACGAAGAGAAAATTTAGTCCAAGAAAGTCTACAAAAATGCTGGGGTTTTTGTGTACAAACCAATGTAACACTGATGAGGCTTTCTTCCTGGGATGACATTACAGTTTTGCTCATGATTATGGAATATTCATGAGCATAAAAAACAAAAAGGCAGTGAAAACCCTTTGAAATAGTGATACAAAGTTGGAAGTAGAGTTAACTGAGACATAAAGGTGCATTTTGAAGGTTGATTTTTAAAAAGTTAATTGTAGCTATACCCATCAATTTATGCCAGTCTGCGATTCATTATCAATACCCGTTAATCATGCTTACTGTCTTCATTATTAGATCTTCATCGATATTCGTGGGCGATGCATGACTTACCTTTTTACGTGATGTTGCATTCCAATTGTCCAATACTTTATGTACGAGTTCGCAGCGCTACTTAATATTCCCGTGATTCACTGTTAAGTCCAACATAATTTGCAATAACTTGTCTGAAATTTCTAAGCGCTGAATGCAACATTTTCCTGCACCTATTCTGATTTTTTTAAGAAGCTGAGACCAATAAATTGCTTCAGAAAACGCGATGGGCCTTTTCGTATTCTTAACACCAAAATGCCAATCGTATTAACCAGCACAACGATAGGTTAGTTGAATTTTTTTGCATAGAATGCATTAAAAAATGATCTTACTGGTAGTCTACGGATTCCATAATGCTCTCGTAAATTTCAACGGTTGAATAAGTGCGACAGGTGTTTACCAGCATTTTTTCATTTTGACGTTCAAGGTTTGTGAGCTTGTTTGTGACTGTATTACGGTGTATTAAAGTCATTCAGCAAACCTATCTCTTTTGCAAATTTCATAATTGGCAAAAGAGATAGGTTTGCTGAATGGTAGGATCTGATTTTTTAGCTTGTTTTTAATCAGTAGCAAAATGCAAAGATTACTATCATGCGAGCACATCATCTTGCGTGATGGAAGAGCACAATTTGTTTTGTACGAAGTGAAATGAGTAGTGTCATCTTACATTTTTGGGGCACCGAATTCGGTGTGATGTGCTTTTTCTTGCACAATGTGACAGTTTCGATAGGTGGTTCCCGAAACAGTTGTTACACAAATCTGAGTGACGGACGGCAGTTTACTTCCCAGAGCAAAAATCTCAGCTTCCTTCGAATTCCTGACTTTAACAAAAACCACACTGTCTGGGGAAAAAATGTCACCCTTGCTCTTGTTTGTTTTTCTTAAAAGCAAAGGTTTCACGCTTTCGCCCATGCGAAAGAAACTGTTTTGCTCTGCTCGCAAAACGAACGAACAATTGTTATCTAGCTTTTTCTTCAGGCTTCAATTGCCTTGTAATTACATGTTTGTTACCGGGGGGGAGTGGCAGTAGCCGTGAGATAGTGATATAAATATGAACCCTTATCTCGACTCGCCGATTACCTATCGGGAGTGTCCGGCTATTGTTCCTCGGGATGACGTGGTGGTTGTTATATCAGATGAAGTGTCTCTGTGGTTGTACAAATACAGAGAAAGACCCGTGGAATCATTTATGCCGTCTATAGTATTTCAGTTTTCTCACAGCTTACATTAAAGCAGTTTATGGTGTGCTTTCAAGAAGCGGAATTAAATACAAACTCATTGAAAAAATTATCATTCACTTGCAAGTTTTCTTGGAGCGCAACCAAGTTAAGAAATTAAGAACTGATTGAAGCGGAACGCGATAATGAAGACCTTAAATTTGATTTCTTGCGTTTGGGGTGACAATGGAAAAAGCGACGAATGTTTGAGAAGAGTGAATAACTTAAACAAATAATAAAGTACAAAGTTGAATGCACTTGCAAGGTCAAAGTGATGGATGATCGGTACACAATGTTCACAGTGCGACAACCACCGAGCATGCTCAGTAATGGCTCAACCCGAAAAGAGCCGGATTATAACTGCCTCCCTCCCCCACCGAACTCACTTGTAACATGTCCGATCATTTTTGAAACATAATACGTGTAAAGGCACTCATTATGATGATCAATCTGATAAAGGGTTTTGATGTCACTTGAAGTTCACAGACTCACGCGTGTCGCCCTGATGCAGTGCTCTGAGCACGCAATGGAAAAAGCATGCATTATTTGCATTTTCGACTGACTTGTCTCGAAAAATGCGCGTTGCGCGAGAACGGCATGTCCGATATTTACGAACTTGGTGTCAAAAATGACGCCTTCTGAAAAAATGAACAGCAACGACGTTTGAAACAATGTTGAGGCATGGAGGAAGGCCTCCATGGTTGAGGCGGCGGGGGCAAGAGTCCATACCCTGTTGCGAATTGTCCTCAATCCTCCAAGGGTCTCAGGGTCATTTAGGCCTGTTAGGGTTAAGCCATGACTTAGCATACAGTACACTGCATTGTCAACACTATTTGTCGCAGTCTATTTGGCGTTATAACGCTTGATTACACCGAGTTAGCCAGGTCAAATGGCAGAATCGGTTTTCCCTTACTACCAGGTTCAATCACAAACAATGATCCTGCTGCTTAGCATACAATAACGACGTGTATTCATACAGTGAGCTCGGACCATGGTGGAATTCATTCGCTGCGTAACGTCATTGATAATGATAACAGGCCCAGTACAGTTAGCACCTGCTTAAAAACCTTTATGCACGCATGCGCATAGCGCTAGCATTAAACGGATGTGAACGCCAACACTGTTTCCGGTGGGAAGGAAGCGTAAAAAACCTTAATCATTCAATACCCGAGTCTCATTTGATTTAACAGCTTAAGCTTTCGTCCCAATTTTTTTACAAAACATTTGTGAATTAGGAACAAATGGAGTAAAGATGCACCATTGAAATTCTCCAGAAAGTAATTAAACGTCCAAAATCAATACTCGACAAGATTTCTTAAAATGCACGTTCAGTGAACTGAATTTTCTGGAATGGTAGCTATAGACACCGATTGAGAAATAGGTTATTGGAACTGACATTTCATCGTTCAAAGTGATAAATTCAACATAATATATCTTGAATTGTTATCAGTTGTGCATGACCCGAACAATTGAAAAGAAAAACGAGATCGCTTATTCAACTTTTGCGAAAGATTGAACACTATTTTAACATGATAGAGCGATGAACTTGTGATTTGTACCTAGTACAGGAAATTGGTGAGACAAAGTCCGAAGTGCAAGAGGAATTAATGTAATGAATAATTTAAACACTGAGATCGAGCAACAACCATTTGTCCACCACTGGTCGATGTTGCCGGGTACCCAAGATTTATATCGTGCAGGGGTTACCAGGGAAAATTCGACCAGTGGTCGACAAAATGATCGTCACTCGGACTTGCTAAAACTAATCTTTCGCTGGTTCCCGGTGATTATATTATTCATTGCAGCCCACGCACTTATTGTTTTTTTTTTTGGTGTCAACTTTGACTGCAATAAAACTTGTCTTTAGTACACCACATTTTTTGTATACACACTTTTTCCAGCTTTTTTTTACTTTTGTTTTGTTTTGTTTTTGTTGTTCTTCATATGCAAACTATTAGGCAGTCTTTTTACCTTAAATGTGTATGTATTGAAAGTGCTCTTCATTACACAAAGTTGTCTATGCTTTTCTGGACAAGTGAGGGCGTTCTTGCTGTGATTCATTGAATGAAGATATTTTCAAATTTTTTTATAAAGCATTCCTGTTCATATTGTGAGCCCAGAATTAATTTACTGAAAAACATTTCTTAGAAAGGTTTGATCGCTGGTGTACCGCTGCAGCACGCCGTGTACTTAACAACAATGAATCACCAAATATAAATTTTCCATCTAAACAAACTTCTATAGATCCTTTGTCTCATCGTGCAAATTTTGCTAAAAAGCAATGTTTATAGATTAGGAACAGAATAAAAATGAGGCCCTGCCGTTGCAGAATAAATGACAAAATAACAATGTCTTTATGATTGGTTGGTTTATTTGTAGCTTGGGCAGCTTCGCTTTGCTCTGGTCTCACCTTCATGCTGTCACCCGTCTCCAGCATAATCACTGATCGTATTGGCTGCAGGGCCGCTGGCATCGTTGGTGGAACTCTTGCCCTGGGAGGAATGATCGCAAGTTCCTTTGTCAAGCGAATCGAGTTGCTCTATCTTACCTATGGGGTCATGGTTGGATGTGGGTTCTCAATCGCCTACACGCCGTCCCTAGTTATTCTGGGCCGGTACTTTCGGAGGAGAATCGGCTTGGCCAATGGCATCGTGACTTTTGGTAGCGGCGTCTTCACCATCGTCTTACCGCTCGGCTTGAAATCGACGCTGGAGATCATCGGACTGGCCAACACGCTGCGTGTGCTGGCGGGTCTCTGTTGCATGATGACGCTGGGAGCGGTCGTCTTTCGCCCCGTGCCTCTGCCGGCCAACTTCGACATGAAGTTGCTAGAAAGTCTTGCTGAATCGGCACCTCACGGCAAGCCCGCCCTCAAGAACTTGTTTGGCCTGCTGGACTTATTAGACCTGCGCGTCTGGAAGAAGAGAAACTACCGGATATGGGCCATTGGAGTACCCGTCGCAGTCTTAGGCTACTTCGTTCCATTTGTTCATTTGGTAAGCGTTTGTAATAATTAATTAATTAAGGCCTGTATTTCAGACAGACACTAAAACGAAAAGGACCGAAAAGATAAACCCGCAAACCTTAAAGTCAGTAAAGAGCGAGATTGTTCAATATTTACATGTTTGTTTCAACATTTACTTCTGAAAAGTAAATAAAGTTGAAGAGTGTCAACCATTTTCAGGGTGCTGATAACCCCACCTACCGGGATCTGCTGTTTTCCTGGGAACCAAATATGCAGTGCTGCTAAGGACACCAAGCTACTAATCACAAAAGTGCAGACAGCTGTTTGGCACATTGCTAAGATGGAAAAGTTGTTCAGTAAACTTTACTGGTCGGACGATTTTTGAAACTGGACTTCGATCTGTGCCTGAAACTCTACTGATTGAATTTACGGGCGATTCACAATAGTGCGCCTCCATGAGTTTGGAAAGGGTCGACAGATGTCGCACTTTGTGAATGGCCAACATTTTGCAAATTCTTGGGGGCGCACTTTTGTGATTCACCCGAGTATCTCTTGTTGGATGAAGGAACATGGCATGAAACTGAGGAAAGAACAGGTCTCCCGACCAGGAATACAATGTCCATTCATTACATTGACAGGCACTGGCGTACATCTGCACCAGGGGGACAGAGGTTTAAACTGAAAACAAATCCCAGCCGTGGAAATTAGGGGGGGGATGCTGGACACTGCATGACGCTAGGGGGTACTGTTCATACGAAAACATAAAAAAATGTACATGTACTTACACCCTTTAACCTTAGATCAAAACGGCGTATTTGAAGCTGTTTTATTTTTGCCAGTACCATCGAAAACATTTTGGTTGTTGGGAAGTTAAAAAAAATACCTCGAATCCGCGTTTTTCTCATAACGAAAATGTGAGGTGGAGGTGATCCAATAGCCCACTTTACCCCAGGTCAAAAGTGAGGGATACCATAACCCACACCCACAGATGTGTGTGCCCGCATCCGACCCCTTGATGTACGCCCCTGTTGACAAAGACCGCGATGTTGACATTTGCATTTGAATTCAAGAGATGGGTCATTTGACAGTGACTTATTCCCCGATTTACTGTTCTGTAACTTCACATTATTTTCACATTGTGATTTTTTATTTTTTGACTCAATATTCATCAATTGGTAATTTTTTTTCTTTCGTCATAAGGTTAAATACGTCAGTAATATGAACCTAGGAGGTAATCCAGCCATCCTAATCACTTGTATCGGGGCCACCTCAGGTCTTGCAAGGCTCATCTTCGGTAGAATCATCGACTCGCCTAAGGTCAATCGCATCTACCTGCAGCAGATCGCTTTCTTGGTCATCGGGGTCACGTCCACCCTCCTCCCTGTGGTGCGAAACTTCTACGCACTCTGCGTCATGATGTCCTTTATGGGCATCTTCGACGGGGTGTTTGTGCTGCTGATTGGGCCCATCGCTCACGACGTGGCCGGCACTGCGGACGCCTCGCGAGCTCTTGGTTTCCTTTTCTTTATGATGTCATTTCCGATGACGGCGGGACCGCCTATTGCAGGTCAGTATAATGTTTAAAAGTAGGTTGTAACCGCAACTGGAGATGATGATAGAAACAATGTCTTTCTGTGAAAAATTAAACTATTTGGTCTTTCTTTGGGCTATATGGGGCGCATTACGCATACATCACAAAGCAGCCATTTTTGAGGATCTTGGGGTAGAGTGCCCTCGCGAGCTCAAGGTCTGCTGCAGTTTCCACGAGAAATCCGTTTTCTCTTCAAAAATCTCGGATCAGGTGCGTCATTATTACCAAGAAGCGTTTATTAACTTCTCTCTTCTTATTTTATCACTATAAACCAAGGTTTTATCTACGATAAGCTACAAGACTACACATTAGCCTTCCTCCTTGCTGGGGCACCACCTATCATTGGAGCCTGCATCCTCTTCTTCGTCAGGCCGGGGGATCACGACGATGACAACGACATCAACAACGACGGACATGGCAGCACAGCGGACGACATGGAGCAGTCCCGGAACCTACTCAATGGCAGCTCCGACTCTGAAGAGTCCTGGCAGACCTCCCCATATGCAAGGCGGAAATTCCTGGAGCTGCGAAACGGTCGGAGTCTGCCCCCTACCAGCGCAAAGCCCGCCTCTAACTTGTCCCCTAGACCGATTCTGAGCACAGCTAGGACTAACGGCATCCCACGGAATGTTTCTGCACCGGCGATGCTCGGCTTGGAGTGTCCCACGCCGGTAGAGGATGCCTTGGAGACACCACCGGTCATGAACGGTATTCTTCCCCGGTCCGGCCGACGGGTCACATACGGCGATGTCGTCTATCACGGAGAGATATCAGAGCTTCGGCCGTTGCCACACAGAGATAGACTGTTTATTGAAGAGTGGATTTCCGTCGTTTAAAGAAGGATTTGCTTTTCATTTTGTGGAATAATGCCCCGGATTTGATGTTCTGGAGAGTAAAACTAGTGAAGATTTTAGGGGACCATCGAGCAAGTTACTTTGTTTTTAAGCCGTGATACGGTAAAGTCTGTATCAAGATAAACCTTGTATTGTTACTGCAGATCATGCTTTTGCATGTTGGACGTTTTTAACAATAACTGTAGAAACCTAATCCTGAATATTCATAAAATAATTAGTAAATATTTTATTAGATGTTACGTGCGTTTGAGCTTTCAGAAATCCTCCAAATGTTCCAATAACCAAAAGTCAATAAGTGTTTTCAATGCGTGTTACGTTACAACACATGAAAGGGGGAATGAATGGTTTTACAGTCAATTAAACTCGAGCCCGAGTTAATTATTTTTTCGAATTAAGGCTAGAATATCTCATCTAGAAATGAATCCATCAAGGTGAAAAGACGCTGAATATGAACCACAATTTCAAAGACGATTCAAGAAACTTAGACTTTCGTGTATATTTCTGAAATAACTTATGTCGATAACGGTGCTGGATGATATGAACTTGTGTGTGATTTGGGAATAATTATATAATAATATTTTTATTTATCTTTACTTTGCAAAATGCACGGATGTCACGAGTTAAAGCGGGTGCCGGAAATTCTTGCTGGTAACTCGTGGCTAAGTTTCATTCTCCATTATTTCTCCATTATTATTATATAAAACATATAGAGGTGTCGAAATTGAAAATATCAAACCCAAGTCTTGTACATAATATGACTGAAAATTTTATTCTTTTGGTTAATACGGCCGTTTCACAATAGTGCGCCACCCAGAGTTTGCAACACGTTGGCCAATCATAACGCGGGAAATTTGTCGACCCTTTCCCGGTAACGCGCATTGGGTCGACAAATTTCGAGCATTGTGATTGATCAACGCGTTGCAAACTCTTGGTGGGGCACTATTGTGAAACGGCCGTATTGCAATAAGTTTTTTTTTCTGCTGTACATTGTATAAACTTTGTGCAGTTGAAATGCAAGAATTTAATGAAAATATCGATAATTTATCATAGTGCTTGGGGATCATAAACCCGCACATCTTATTGCCAAAATTTTGATTTTTGTGGTAACACACGAGGATTAATGTACACAACATGAATGTGTCAGATATAAACACATATGTTGTTAAATATTAAATAAAATTCGATACCATTGCAAGTGTAATCTCAAATACGACTGGTTTTTATGGCCTTCTTGTCACGCGCACGGTGTTAGAAGCCAGACTGGCATTGTGCGACAGTTGTGAAAATATTTTCAACAGTGCTTATTCGTTTAAATGAATCTCAATCCGAATGAACCAGACCTAGTTTTTATGGGTTTGAAACGCAGGCGACCAAGAATAGTGAAATTCGAAGCATACATGTCGTCCCCAACGGTTTCTGACTACCCTTCAGTCGAATGAATTTCAAGGAATGGTAGTTTGAACCGCCCTCAAGGTCAGGTTTAAAGTACAGAGTAAGCAAGAGAATAACGGAAGGACCAGAAGCCAGTCTAGAAAGAGGCCTCGCACGTACCTCGCTACAGAGGGCGCTAATATTAGCTTGACGACGTCATCGAGATATTTGCATAGCATAGTTGGTTGTGAATGGAAACAGGCAACATGGACATCAAATTTCTTGCAAGCATTTCTTAAAAACGGTCAAATTTGACGCGACAGCAATGGATTTATGCGTGTTTTACTCGCGAGGGTTTAAGCCTAATATACATGGACCATGCTGGTGATGAAGACAGCACACATCTGTCGTTGGATTGGTAGAAATTCAAGATGCTGACAGGAACGTATTCGTATCCTTTTTGACAGGTTTGACGTGACTTGAGTTTAAAACATAGGCCCAAGCGTAATCAGTAGGCCAAGACTAAATTGTGAAATTGTTAACTGGTTAGTACTGGTAACTAATAAAATGGAAATTATTGAAAGATTTTACCATCTGCAGTGTTTTATTAAGCAATTATTCATAGTTTCGAGTCAGCGGAAATGCGGTGTAAAAAATACAACTCACTCTCATGTCATGATGTGGTGTTCATGATACATGTTAACTTATAATTAGCATCCTGTTCGTATGGTGATTACGTATTCCAAACAATTTACTTAACAAGTTGGCGGTGATGCCCTCTTTCACATATGAAAGAAAAGAGTGAAGGGCTTTGGTTTTTGAGGGAAATTATAGGGTAAAACGGTGGCATAAATGATGTAAGGAAGAGCTGTGAATGAAGACGAATTAGTGCAAGTAGTCTGGTTCCTTGAACATGAAGTTTCTCTTATGAAATTCAGTACATCCACAATGGCTGGTTCGGGTAACCAGACATGATTACAAAATGGTTTGATGCGGTCGTCTTTTGGTGAACTCGGGTAAAAAAAATTCTGGTTTTCTTGCTTAAATATTGTCAAAATTTACCTAAACTAGGCAACTAAGATTAAGGAATGGATCCTCAAGGTATGCATGTCAGTTACTTTGACAAAGTGGACTTTGTTTTCCTTACTTTAGGGACAGGGTGCTTAAGGTAATTAACACCTTAATTTCAACATTTGTTCCAAATTCATTAAATACCTAAATATTTATTAAGTTTTGTAATAGAAATTTGTTACTCTTCAAGGAAAGTGGAGAGATTCTTTCTCGGACATCTGTTGACCCAATTTGTGCGCACCCAGTCTCATCTTGACTTGTAAAAAATTCCAAACGTTTGTTTTCTAACTAAACACTTGAATATTTTCCCCGCTAAGTTTGACTTAAAAAAATTGAGGATGCTATCACTTTCTGATGGCATATTTGTCGCTGCAGAGAAAAACTTAGTGATATCCATGTCGAGAATACTCCCACAAAGAATTCCGCATACGGATGCCACTAATGTTTCCCTGAAGATACCTGTTACTATTAGCCATCTGAAAGTAATAACATGACTTCAGAAGTCAATTTTAGCCAAGAATATATCGAGGTATATACTAAGAATTTTTCAGACCAGTCTTATCGAGTTTATTAAGCGGCATCCGTATACATGGAACTCTTTCCCTTCCCCCTTCAGGTTCTAGAAGCATCTGATACTTGAAGGGGTGTGAGAATTCAGCTTTTTAGCTGGTTTCAGGTGTTTTGTTTAGGTGTTGCCCCTGAATTTCAGCTTTTTTGTACATCTGGTCTGTACAAAAGTATGGGAAATACAGTTCGGGTTTTTGCCCCCTTTTGAAGTGGCCACTCACACCCCTGTACTTGTGCTTACAAACTTATGAGGAGTCATTGTATTTGTGTCTCAGACACCGGTAATATAATTAGAATATCCTAAACTATGCGTAAGGCCGGAATTCCGTTGCTTAGTACTTAGTTCCTTATATTGTAGCCTTTGTATTATTTTGAGTCTTTTCAGTGTCATTGTTTGTTTGTTATTTACATGTTTTTTATCAGTTCTTAACTTAGAGGTGGCTTTGTTGTGACAATTTTCCTTTCAAAACATTGTGACTATGACTTGAAAACAACTGAAATTAACTGAAACTGATGGCATAATATTCTAGATCAACGTAGCAAATCTACCATAAAGAATTTCTTTGCAAAATGGGTGCCTCACTCTTTTATAAATGAACAAAGACTTGGCTGTAACTGCTTCAAACCTTAAAAACTGCTGTCAAGATGAACATGTACGATGTGGCATGAGTTAGTTTAAATGTATCCTCGTGTGGATCATTTCACTTTCACCAAGGTTACCAAGGCAACAAGATGGAATAATGTCTGCACGTCACACTTACAGTGGTGAAGTGTAACTGCCCTGCTTCAAACATTTTTTTTCACACTGGTTGCCAAGGTAACAGATCAGACTTGTCATACATGTCCTTGTAGGGAGAATCACCATGGTGATATTGAGTGGTTCATACTTTATTCAGACCAGAAATAGCAGAATGGGTTTTATGATAATAGTGTCATAAACGATTCTTTTTCCGTCATAGATTAAAATATAAATTGTTCTACTGGTACATGACTTGCTCAGCAAAGCACAAAGCCTAAAGTGAAAAAATTCATCGTATTTTTTGGGGGGGGGAGGTCTTTGTTGTCATTCACAGATCCTACTCCTACACTTTACAGGCACAAATTGTGTACATCCATTTCATTCAGAAAACTGAGTTTGCAGGAACAAATGACGATCATGTATAAAGATGTATAAGATGTTCTAATATGCTCCAGGGATGTACTCAGGTTGTACAAATGTAATGACATTAGACTAGATTTTCATTCTGATTTCATATCTTGCTGAATCTCACAGCAATGAAGGTATGTTCATTTTGTCCACCATACATGTAAATGCCATTGCATGCTGGGTTCTGTATGTATTGCTGGACATTACCACGTTACTTAGTTCATTGGTCAGTGCTTGCGTTATTGATAAAATATTATGCCAACCAAATGGCCTAAACAGGTATTTTCTCCTGCCGGTGCATTGCATGAAATATTGATGACATATCCCATAAAACGCTCAATAAAACAGTCAATGATTTTTTTTAAAGTGCTTGATTGGTCGCGGCCTTGTCTGCTTGGTTGCATTGACAATGGGTCTCCTAATCCAAGTAGAAATTTTCATCACGTGGTGCTGCTTCACACCAGTCATTTATTTTTATTAGTCAGTTATTATTTTTTTAATGCATTCTGCCAAGAGGATTGTACTAAGCAGTATTATTGTCAGACTTGTATGTGACTGGCTGTACAGCAATGAATTTTTTTTAGAATGGACTCCTAGAATTCAAGGCTATAGAGCACCGAAGTGAATACATCACACACACATTTACATGCGTAAAAGGCATTAAAACAAAAGAACCAGCCCGTGAATTAACTCATGAGTGTACTCCATTTGTTTGCACAACACTTCCTGGTTTAAAAGATGGCACACTTTGGGATTTTACCAACTAAAAGGGCTGGGGTTTAAACATTAGGGGTATTTTCACATACGTGTCTCTCTGGGATTGTGAGAGTGAGTATTCTTGAAGATGAATGCTTATCATCATGCTGCCATAGATCAAGGAATATGCATATTACATTGAATTTGAATAGTTTCCACTTCAAAAAACTTTATGTATCCACTTTTGCAACATAAAATGCCTGAAACAAAAAGTAAATTAATGACTTACATGTATCGCCAATATAGACGGTTGAAAATTAGCAGCCTCCTATTTAAGACTATATTCCATGCATTTGGAAAGGCCTCCTGTCATGAAATGAAGCAAAAAGAATGGAAATTTGGTTAAAAATGTTGACTTATTTTCTGTTATCCCTATTGGCATACTTGCATGTATTGTATCCTAAAGTTGTGAAGTCTTCCTTAATCAGCAATATCCTTCAGGCAAAAATTCAAAGATCTGGAGCAGGATCGACTGGCTCGGTCCAGTAGCAGTGACAGCCTGAATCACGCCCAGCAATTAGCAGCAAGAGACAAGGTTCGTCAGTTGTCTCTGGAAACCAACAGAAGACGAAGGTAAGTAGATGTACCTGTACACTAAGACTTCAGTACATACTAATTTGATTATGCTCTGTCTTGGAATGGATAGATTTCTTATGGAAAGACTTGAACATCCTTGCAGTATGTGACCCTGTCACATGACATACGATTTTGTAAGTTCAGAGCACATTCTGTAATTTCTAAGTATGATTAACTCTAATTATCTGCCAAACAAATAAAATCCCAAACTCCATTTGAGTGATATTTCCATATCGAATTACACAAGTCAGGTGTAGTGGACACTAAGATGTCACACCTATGGATGTTGAATGTATAGAATAACCCACCTGTGATCGTGCTTGTGAGTTCACTTGGGGTAGGTTCATATGCAGCAAGGTATGAGACGGAGAGAACCCCCCCCTCTGTGTTGGTCATTGTCTCGGAGGAATCTGGGGAATTCCTTTCAGACATCTTGGGGGGATNCATTTCTTGCTGGGTATAGGCAGGTTGATTTGGAAACATGACTACAAATCTAGTATCACACGTACGTACCAGAGCTCTGCAACCTGCTCCCCCCCAAAAAACTCATTTAGTGGTGTTTGTGGACAGAGCCCAAGAGTTAAAAAGGCGCCTAGAAGCCCAGAAAGAGGCCAAAAGGAGGCAGGAGGTGTTGGAGGAGAGACGGAGGAGACAGCAGGAGGCGACTCAGAGGTACCAGAGGGGTCAGAGGGGGTCACCCAAGACAGGACCAAGGATTACGTCAGGTAGATACTAGGGGAGTTTTGTTGGAGTGATGGGCTGACTGGAAGAACTGACAAAAGAATCTATTTGTGACGGAGTTAATAGAAAAATGCATATACACGTACAATGCTTACACGATAATCCAAATAAGAATGCTGAAAAATCACTTGCAAATGCTTGAAGATTGGAATAATTTTCATTGGCTTTCTGATGCACAGGTAAAGCTTATAGTGAATCCAGACTTAAAGATGGAGTCAACATGGCCAGAGGATTTAGTCAGAATGCAACCCATGCAGGTACTTTTACAGCAGGTTAAGCCACTTACACCCTTCCCACTTTTGCCCACATCCCTGCCCCTTTTACTGAAGATACTATTTATGGAAATGATTGAAAGCTTGCAAGAAACTTGATTGAATTATTTATGCTCTCCACAAAGATGCACACAATCAGCTGCAGGCTTCATTCTCATGAGGAATGCATTCTCCTTACCTTTTTGTTTTTTACGTTTGATTTATCAGGAAACTATGGCAACCGAGCCCCAGCTTTGGAAGAGGCACTGCGCATGGTGGGAGTCAACACTGCCCCGGCCAGTTCCATTGGCTACAAGGGAGGTGGTTATACAGGAGGGACGGATTATACCACTGAAAACAGAGGGGGTTACAGTGACACAGGGGTCGTTTTTAACAATGAGCATTATACTGATGACATGCCACCTCGGAGACCAGTAGTGGACTCCAATGGCAACACTGTTGGCGAAAATAAGGGCCATTATTACCATGGTTACTCAACAACAGCAACAGCGACCTACAACAGCAATGTCAATCAGGAAGCCACCGGGGTGCAGTTTCAACAGACACTGAACGAGAAACAGAAGCAGTTGATGGAACAGCAGCAGGCTGCATTGAACGAGTTCAACCAGGCTGTGCTGAATGAGGCATTACCATACCAGAGGGAGGAAGAACTGCAGCGCAGTAGCAGCTTGTCCAGTGTAGATAGTCTGGAAGAAGAACAGCAGAAGAAGAATCTCGGCTTTGATGGTCGCCGTCAACAGCCAGAACCTCCTGCTTACAAGTCCGCCCACTCCAGCTCGAAGCCAAGAAATGATGGGGATAGTGTAGATGCCTCCGTTCCAGTTAGAAATGCCTACGGAAATGGTAACTCAAAGCCAAGCAAACCTGAAGCAGGACACAGTGCAATATCTGATACTCGCTTATTCACATCCCACGCCACATCTGAACAGCAGCACCCACATACCGCAGGCACACAGAGGGGATTGAGCAATGGAGAACTGCTGGTGGAGGAGACTAGCGAAAGTGATTTTGTCCGTGAGCCTGTGGAAACCAAACCTACGCTCCTTCACGGGACCAAAGAGTTACATTCACAGCAACTGTCCTGTGGACCGCACTCAACACGGACATCCCAAGCATGGACAGAAAGTCCTCAGTTTCACAATGCCTACAATGCCAGTCACTCATCCATAAAGTATACAGCAGGACCGGTTACCGCCCATGCGGGGCACCGGCCATTCTCAGCCAGGACTTCGGCCACCTCTGTTTCATCTTATCCAGCGAGAGTTTTCGAACCTCCCAGTGATCACCAATACAGCGGACAGCAGAAACCCGAGCCTGAATTGAACAAACGGACTGGTGGCATGTCAAAGTACATCAGCAGTACTCATGAGGATTCCAACTATGTCAGGTCAAAGTGTGGCCTGTCGAGTAACATTTCCCAAGGTGTAGATTACCAACCTACTGATGGGCCTACGCAAACAGGCAGCCACCTCCAAGAAGATGGTCCAGGGACAGTAACACTTGGCAGCACTTTAGAAACGCCAGAAAAGATTGTAAAAAGCATCTTGAAAAGAAGCCAGGGATACAATCCCATGCCCCAAAAAGTGAAACTAGGAGGAATGAAGGTCAAAGACAGTTTGGAGATATCCCGGGCAACGCAAGTGACCAAAGCTGACCGAAAGTCGGTAAGATGGACAGATTTGAAATACAACGAGGCAGATGAGGTCCGATCAGACGATGTGAAAGTGGGAAAGGAGCAGAAAGTCTCAGTTGAGTCTGCCAAGGCAGAGAGCTCAAACTCCACCAGGATTCAACAACATGATGGTTCCGGGAGAGCTCAGTTTAAAGATGAGCAACAGAGTGCAAGTGCTGGAACACCACCGAGGGGTCCAACAAGGCTTCAGAGGAGGGCCCACAATGCCTCCAAGCCTCCCCCTGGCCGCTCAAACGCTGGCAGTTCTACAAGGCAAGTTGAATCTGAAAATCCCCAAGCCGTGTCTAGAGTCATCGGCAAAGCGATGAACCACCAACCTGAATCTAGCAACAGGCATATCTCAACTACCCATGAAGACAGCAGGGTCTACCAAAATGGAATCCGTCTGGACAAGACTCCAACCGACGAAGAAATCAACTGGTTATGGGATAAAGTCCGGACATGTTTGAACACCCAGGAGCAAGGTGGAGTTGGTCCAAACTCGGACATCTCAAGCAGGCAACCAGCAAGCATGTCCAAGCATTGCATAGATGGTAACCGGTTAACAGCCAATCTCAGGGTGTCGGCCCAGGGTCACGTGACCACACCCCAAGACCACTGGACCAATCAAAGGAAGTACAATACCTACCCAAGAATTCGCACCAGCAGTGACTCCAGTGCCACTTCACTCCGCAAGACTGCATTGTTGCAGCAGCGGAGGCAGCACAGCGCTGTAGGGAATCTTCGCACTGGGTACCAGGGAAGGAGCAATCAGCATTACACAGGTCCAGTACCTGGACTTCATCCAAGCCCGCCCTCTGCTAGTCATCATCAAACAGGCCCGACTGTCAGCAACCAAGGACCCATTAGAACAGCTTCCGGAATTCCTCATGGCCAAAACCAAGATGGTAGGCTTATGTTTTATCATTGTTGAGAAATCAATAACTGGGATTGATATTTGTTGATTTGATCTTAACCTTGTATGAGTAAAAACCTTACTTTAGATTCATGTATGCACGTCAGTTAAAAATCCCTCCAGTATAAAATGTTTGAAGGGATAAGTCCCAGATTTTTGTTTTGTCATACAACTTTAAAATATTTTGGACTCCTCTCAAATTCTCAGCGATTTCTAAATGAAGGTATGTTTATGTATTAATACATCAACTATCTTGTTACATTATTTGGGTTTTCCTTAGGTTTGTTGAATTATTTTGAAAGTTTTAGTCCATAACCCCAAATCTCAGTTGAGGTCCTGTATACCGTCTGCCACCAAATGCAATTTTTCTAATTAATTCTTTACTCTTGCTTGAAATCCTAATTTTGTCATCTTATTTTTTGTTAGTGAGTGATAGCCTGTTAGCGTTCCAGCAAGCAGAACGCCTAGCTGCCCAGGAAGATCTATCCGAATCGGAAATAGCAGCAACCATGGAACACCAGAAGAAACAAGCATTCCTCCAGAAAGGTAATTTCTGAAAACAATACAAATTGAACAAAAAGTCAGTTGCTTGAAGGCGTTATTGCAAACAAATGCTATATAGAGAAGGAACTAAAAAGAGTGAACAAGAAGTGAACATCACATGACATTGTGGCAAATAGCCTGTTGCTTGGTAGCAACTCCATGGAAACGACCTCTGCAGTTCTTCATTCATTACTAGCTTAGCCGACCTTTCCTACACTTTTCGCAAAGAGAGAATTCTGTTATTTTCCATTTACTTCCAGCACCAACTGCATTGTCATTAGAAGAACAGAGGATTTTGGAGTCCCTGGACAAGCTGAATGCACAGCTGAGAAGTAAGTCATGAAACAGTTGCATACCAGTGATTCAGGAGACATGAAATGGCAGTTGAGTTTTAAATGTAATAGCTGTACCACTTTTTGAATGCAGCATCAGGCATGTTCACAAATTTGACAATTTCTTATTCCCCTGTGTTTGATTTCAAAATGGCTTAAAGAAAATGGATCTACAATCCTGGACAAGACTGTTAGGACACTTGGCAATAGCCATACACTCTCCAGCCTCCTCCCCCACTCTCCCCCCCCGGTCAATGTTGTCATGTCCAGCCGAAGTGCAGACCGTGCACATAGACCCAACATTGAAAGGGGGGTCTGGGGGTTGGAGCCCCAACGAGATTTGTCCAGGATTGTAGGCTCAGTTTCATCAATGACATCCTGTGTCTGTTTATTTTGTAGCCGTGACCTCGGAGACTGATGTAGGAATCCAACCGTTCATGATGCAGCCCAAGCCACCCCCTCAGGTCAGCAATCAAATTACTTGTATTTTTGCCCACCTTGCCCCAAGAAAGTCATGCACCAGTAGCCCTGACCAGTGAAAATGATAAAAGCGTCCCAATAATGAGCAAATGTTGGAGCAGGAACATCACCAGAGAGACCCTCCTGCATGAACAGCAGCAGTTTTGGTATTGTCTTCATGAATTCATTCATAATTATTCAGTCTTAAATTTGGTATTCTGTTCCCAGGGTTCAGGATTCCGTAGCCAGCGTCCTATCAGCGCGCGACAGCGGGCAGTAGCTGACCCAAACATGACCCATCGTACGAGGACTCTCTCGGCAGATCGGAGTAACGCCAGGATAAACTACTACCACTGAGCAGATGGAGACAATATTAAGGAGAAAGTTTTTAGACTGGAGGAAGTCTACGGCCCAGTCAGTCTGTGTTTGGGTTTAGATTTAACCAGTATTGTAATACTCCGCTGACTGAAGCAAGTTGATGATTACATTGACTGAGAAAGGAAAAAAGTTTGGCAAATTTGTACAGCTTTTTTGTAGGAATAGTCTGATACTGTGAAAGGTTTTTGGCCAAGTTTGGGCACTAGTTCCTGAAAGCATTGAAGGTGAGCAGGGAATCTTGCCAGTGGATGAATATTATGAATTTTAGAGTTGAGGGTGATGATGATGATGGACAGCATTTGAAATTGATTTTGTATTGGTGCTGATTCTTGGGAACTCGCTTTCTGAGAGGTCGGTGTGTCTCTCTTGTGCTTGAGCTGTTCTAGTCTCCCTGAAACTACGAAGGATGATGGGCACAGGCCCTGGCTTAAAAAGGAACGTATCTTGCAAAAGTGGCCTCGATGAAGCCACCAAAACACAGGTGATTTTTCTCGCAAAATTCTGGCAGAGTATTTTTCTATTTATTATTAATCATAATTTCATCTCTGAAACAAGACCACCAGATAAATCACTTTTAGATGTTTCTCTCAGTGCAGGTGCCCATTTGAAAATACTTTTAACAGAAACATAGGAAGAAAAACGAAAATAATTTGTTCCTTCAATTTTCACTGAAGATGAATATTCATAAAAATATTTTCACAGTGATGTTTTAGATCAAAAATGAATTGTGTGCACTGCAGGTACTACCATAAAATATTGCAACATACGATGTGGAACTGCACAATTTATACACAGGTGTATTTTAAGTGCCAACATCTTCTTGTTTTCAATAGAAGGATGAAAATGAGGGATCCCCATTTTTCACTATTTTGCATCCATCCATTTTAGCCAACGTTTTTGTGCTGTGGGATTATATTTTAAAATTGTACTTAATTTAAATTTTAATGAAGAATTTTTAACACAGTGAAAAATTCCCATTTGTTGTGCTGCTTGTAACGTACTTGCTAGTCATTGAACTTAAATTTCAAATATCGAAATAATGTGTATATAAAAGAGATGTATGTTTCTCAAAGATATGGAATGGCTGTAAATTATGTTTGTTGAGTACACTGATGTCCAGTTGGCAAGATTTGTTGGTGTGGGTTTGTGCAAAAGGTTTTATTTCCTGATGTGGAATCTTGCATATTTTTTAAAGAATTAGATTTTTTTTCTCCCTGCACATGTTTTTGAATCTTTACAGTTGTTAGTTTGTTTCTGTCTGAATCTGAAAGAAAGAACATGGGACAATTTCCCAACTTAACGAAATCACACCGCCATAAAGAGTCTTGTCCCTAGACGATCTGGTTCGAACACGTCATTAATTGCATTAAGTTTACCCGTCTACCTGTGGAGCAGACGATTGGCCCGATTTTTAAAGGTTTTCATGAACTACACGTTTCCGTCTGCGAAATCGACTCAAAAAATTGCGCAAGCAGACGACTAGCTTTGTTCGTGTTATGCTACGCACCGTCATGCGTGTTTGCACATGCGTTCTTCGAATTCGGTGCATGTTGTTATCTGAAGTAGGCAATGTGAAGAATTCAACAGTTCAGATGTTGCTCTTTTTCCCGCGCTTTTGTCAGAGGAGAGCTTGGGTTCAACAGAACCAGGGCCGAGTTGTCTCTCTTGAGTTGTATACCTCATGATTTTTGTAGTGTGAGGATCTAGGAGCAGCGAGGAAGTGTGATTGGAAAAGTTGTTAGGGCCACTCGTAGGGAACGACTCGTAGTTTCGCAGTGTGTGGTTGTCATGCCGTTGAGTCTACATGTACCATGTTTTTCGATGCCACTACGTTGGTCCATACTCCTTACAGATTGATTGGCTGGATGTTTACAAGGATTACTTTGCAAGGTAAGCAGTTCAGCAAGTACGATTATAAACTCTGAACGGGACCTTAAAATATTTTGAAGTCATTTCTAATGTCTGATTCATTTCCATTAACAGAAATATACCGATTCCCAGCAGAAAACCTGGACCTGCCCGTGTAGGCTAGGCCAACGTTTAATAAAGTAAACTCGTAGTCATATGTAGTGTCAACATTGCCATGATTGCTTTATCCGTGTATTATTGTCTCCTAACAACAAAACGATTTCGAAACTGAGAAGTCTCCCCACCGTTTGTTGTGTCATGCCGGTCAGAAATTGCCTCAAAGAGTTTCCAAACGTGCTTGTAGTTGTACCCCGTCGTTATTATGTAACCATTATCAATCTCAGGAAGGTATATGGGCTATTCGCGAACATTAGCAGTGCATTGAATTCACCAATTTACTCAGGTTGGTGCCGTCTGTTTTTAGTGTTATACGTCAGGTTTAATGTAGGCCTACCCTGGTTCCAAAGACACAATCACAAGTTTGAAGTGTGATAGAACTACCAGGAACCATTAGGTGTTGACACGCTGCTGGAAAGACTTCCATATACGGACGCCTCTTGACACCCAGTGCACAACTATGGGACTGATCTGAGAAACTCTGTTTTAAAAATAGATTTTAGGTCATACAAGAGAGTTGGAGGCTAAAAAGAACCACTAAAATACAAATGATTAATGTGGGATTCCTTACTATAATTACAAATCGGGGCTTTAGAAAACGACAGCGCCCTCACTGGCATTTATGTGTTGAAGACATTTTCATCAAATCATCTGGTCACCTTGCAACAGGTGTTTTCCAGCTGCTTGTCATTTGCTCTTCATTGATAGCTGCCAGGGAGGGCGCTTTCATGTTTACTAGACCCTGGGCACATAATACGATAACATATTTCTAAAATATAATGTCTATATATGTCTTGGTAATATTAAAGATTATTTACAGACTTTACGTACGGTTAATTCACAGAGACCCAAACTTGTGAGATAACATCACAGTGTGCCGTTACACAAATTATTTGTGATTTTTAATCTCTAACTGGGAGATACAAGTCCTTGTGCTATTGCCAAATTTTCGGTTTTCGGTTCGAATGCACTGAGCAGTAAGCAAATTCCGTGTAATTAAATCATTCCTGCCATCCGGGATTCTCGCAAAATGACAGGTACTGCGCCGGTGAAAACAGCGACCTTGGCGACATACGCACGCACCAGCCAGTCCAAGGATCGGGTAATAAAATCTTTTCTTTGATCCGCACGTACGCGCGCGCTCGCTGCAGTTGTTTTCACCGACGCGGTGTGGTTGCTCCCCGTATTTTTATGAAACTCCCGGATGTCCGCGCTGCCCCATAGCTCCACGGAGGCCACTCGCGTTCCAGGTGTAGCTAAATCTTGACGTTACGAGTGCGGGTGTCTTGTCATTGTACATGTGCCAACAGAATGCAATGTACAGTCGAATACCAATGCTGTAGTAGTGAAAATAATTTGTTAGTACCAATAATGGAGTTTACATTTATGTATACAGTGCATACTTTTGTACCACACATTATATACTAAGAAAAAAGTTGGGCGATTTGGTGGTACTATTTCGAAACATTTTGGAGAAAAGAACATGATATTTGGAAAAACTAGATTTTTTTTACTTAAGGGTGGTCATATTTATACACTTAAAATACTATTGAACCAAATCTGCTTAAATTAGTCTTGATTGCAAAATACTGTTTGGAGTAGCTTATTTTTTCATAATCAAGTGGATTGGAAGTTTGAGACTTATTCGTAAGTGCTTGTCAGAGCACGAATTAGACCGTGTGGCCTGCTGGTTGATCATTAAGCCCTACCCCATCATAGGACCTGCCTGGGTGTGTGAGGGCCGGGGCTACTGGCCCCAGACATCCCCCGCCCGTGGCATGTGCCGGTTGCATAGATTATGGCACTAGTGAGAAAACGGGTTATAATAAATTTCCCACGTAATCATTCTGTTGCCTTCCAGTAACAAAATTATTATTCAAGAGCAACTCCGGAGCTGTTCTTATTGACTAAACTCATATTCTTTTTTTTTTCGTCTTGTGATTCGTTTTGAAGATGGGATGAAAGTTGATTTCTATTTTTGTCTGGAAAAGGGACAATAGAACCAAAGATCCTGAGTTCCACACGAACACACATTCCAGTATTTTTGTGTCGTCTTTCGAACCAATTTCCCGACAAGTTTGCCCGAAAAGATGAACCGAAAATGAAAAACATCTTTAGTCGACTGTGTCTTTGAAGTAGTTCTCCAACCAGTTTCTGGTGGCCTCAGTCATAAGAACATCGGGGTTCATCATCTGTTTGCCAATGGTGTCGCCGACATAGATGACAATATCTCCTTGGAAGATGAAAACTCGGTCAGGATGTGCATTGTACACCTGTGGAAGGGATAACATGTACGAGATATTTTGGTGCATGCCCTACATAATAATAAAATTACCTCTTTGAATTGAAACGGGATTTAGAAAATTACCGTAGACATTTGAATATGTTTTCTGATGCACTTTGGGTTAACTGGTGTCTCTATTCGTGTATGTATGTGTGTGTGTTTTACCTGGGCAAAGTCATTCGTCATGGTATCCGTGACGATACGAATCAAGCTGCAGTCCAGAGGATCATCTGTAAACGTATGGTGGTGCTCTCTGTCCTCTTCCAACAACTTGCTGCAAAGTGGAAACAAAGTCTCCGGGAACTCAACATTTGGAATGAAAGACAAACCCAACTTGTCACTGCAAGTGCAGGCATTGGCTTCAGTCAGTGGTCTTGAGTATTTTGGGGATTTTTTGAAAGATTGTGTCTTTTTCCAGTTATTTATTTTGTGAGACCGAAAACGGGTCAGAACTGTGTATGGCAAAATAACCATAGATGGTAGCGTGTGTCGTTGGATCTGGAAAATATCGTCCCAGTCACCATTTGGGTACAAAGCGTCGTGGTAGGACTTGAACAAGAATAATTTGAACACCGTCCCATAGTGCTTTGCAAAATTACATCGGCTATAAGCCAATATGGCAGCCATGATGGAAGATCCGTGCTTGTGCTGAATTCTGTTTTTTCCTTACTATGCGGCAGCTACCCTATCTTCTTTGGTCTGGTGCTGGGGTACTTTGAAGGTGGTGTTGAGATTGAAGTATTCTGCGGGGTGAGCCTCGGCCAGGTAGATGCAGAGGAAATCGGCCCGGTCCTTATACTCGTGAAACAGTTGGGCGAGTGTTCCACCTAGGACGCAGGCCTGTAAGCAAGCAGATGGAGCGTTAAAAGTCGGCATAGGTCTAGTCAGTCATTTCAAGTGAAATTTAACAGCTGTTTATTCTGACATGATAGGAAGTCCTTGTCCTAGAACCCCTTGTTTATCGTGCACGAAACTTCAAAGTAAAGTTTCGCTGAGAGTGTGTCAAACTCCGTCACGTGACTGATCAACCTGTTGTGCTGCAGATAGCTGCATCAAAAAAATCTTAAATTGTGTCTTGACACATTTTTAAGGCTACTATAGTGCTGAGTGTATTATATGGGCCATTAAACAGCACACAGCTCTCACTTGCTGTGGTACCGGTGTCATTTTCCCATTCAGTTTGACAAATCCAAAAGTCCGTGGGTAAGTTCGATCAAGGACCATAGTTAACCATATTTCGACAAAACTCTTATCGAATGCACGCTAGTCGGCAATGGTTGGGCTGGTCTAGCCAACTTTTCGCATCGTTGGTTGCCACAAAACGTTTTAATAGCACAGTGCAGGGAGGACCAGTTATGAGAAAAATGCCCGAAAATGTATGTCATTAGTAAACGACTATTTTCACTTTTATTTGTGCTATTTTGCCCCGTCTGCCTAATGACCTGACAACGGTTGACTGGGTTCGTTCGCTTTCAACGTCACTGCACATGGGCTAGGTACGCCACGAATCATAATTTTAACCGCTTGTTAACTAGTGGCCGAACTTGCTCCTGATGACAAGTAGTAGGTTAAAAAATGTTAGTTATAACTTATATACGTTTGCGGTAGCACCGTGCAAGGATATCCCTTTCTGAGCATGAGTGGTTCTGAAAAAGAACCGGAAGGTACTCAACGTCAAGGACAGTATGCTCTGTCCGTCGACCACACATGCTCAGAATTGGAAGAGAGATCCTTGCACGGTGCTCTATAACTTAACTAACTTGATACCGTAAAGAATCTTTTGATAACCTTGTTTGTTCGTTTTTTAAGCTGAGGCTGTTTTCGTCGCACGAGTATGGGTAACAAAAATGAAAAGAAAATGATTATTTGCTATTTCAAATGCAAGGAAAATGTACTGTACCTGAAATGGGGGTCAAGAAAGAGATGACGCAATGATGACAAAAGGCCTGTCTTTGTGAAGATGCAACTCAGATAATGTGATCAGCTGCTTCGTCTTCATCGTGACCAGGTGAAGGTCGGGTCGCTGATCATTGACCTTGATGTCATCGACCATGCGCGGTAATTTGGGAACTAAGTACTTCAACATGTTCATAATCTACGAGAAAGAAGGAAGGCAACACCTGTTTAATATAAAGGAATAGGGGGGCCTATAACTGCTTTCGATTTAGGCCCATCAGTTATATCAAAATCAGCATTTAACTTTACAACTGTAACCGTTGGGATGCACTTTACCATGGTTGTTTCATTAGTAGGCAGCATAGATTGATCCATATTAAGCCCCGCCCATGTGGTCTTTTTGCCAATCACAGCAGTCATTTATACCGGTTCCTAAGTAACTTCGTCATACATACGGACGCGCCACGATTTGCAGGCTCCCATTGGACGATCGCTGAAGTTGGATCGATGGTTCCATGATTTAAACGGCGAACTATGCACATAACTCGCTGTGCAGTGGGCGTGGTTTCAACTGAAGTGACGTCACACTTTCGAACCAGATAGCGGCTGTATTATCGGTTGTGGCATCGGAGAGGACCACACGTTGGGGCATTTTTCTGTTGTTAATGCGTTGGTTGCAGAGAATGTGTATTGAAATTGTGAAACAAAGCAAACGATGAGGATGCAGAACGGACCAAACACGTATACATGTGGAAAGCGGCCTTAATTTGCCCACGTAGTAAGTGGGACTAACTGGATCAGTAGCCCTTGTCGCGCGTGTCCCGGGGCTCTCTTTTTCCAACACGGTCAAGCACACGCACGAATGATTACAGGACTAGTGTGCCCTTCAAATCTAATTCTTTGTCGTACTTCTATTGTCTTCAATCTCTTTCTTGCCTTGTTGCAACTTTATGGAAGCTGTGGAAACTTTCCTTCGTTGTCATTGACTCTGTTAAAAACTTAGAAAAAATTGCGTTTTGTGTAAAAAGTGTTGAAACAGGCACCATTTGTCTTGTTTCTAAAGGTTCTTGAGTGGTTGAGTCACGTGTACTTTCTTTAATGACGTCTGGTTAGGCCTATTTGCTGTCACGGGAGATGAATTTAGGATTTATGTTTAGGTACTGTTTTGAACTATAGTGTTCAACATTTCTGCCTTCAGTCACGCTAGCCTCGTTCTTTGTTGCTCTTTTTTCCGCTATTGGATACACATAAAGTTTTCGCCATCGAGTTTTATTTAGCTCTGGGATTTTTGTAAGGGCTGGGACGTGTTTGCTTATTTGTATTAAGTAAAATTCTTTTTAGCTTGTCTGCGTACTTCCAAATACCGTAGGTGCTGGTGGTTTGTTCACAAGCATTTCCTGTTGGTTTGTAACAAAGCTCATTTGTCGGCGACACTTTTGTGTTTGTGATTTGGGGTTATTCTACTTTAGGTGTAGACTTTTTCAGGATATAACCTACTTCATGTTTTATGTAAGAAAAAAATAATGAACTCGTCCTACTTCTGCGCTGAAAGAGGCTTATCATAAATCAATACAATCCATGATGTCTCAAGAACGGTCCACCCTGTTCAAACAGCGTCATTTTGCCAATCAACTACGTGACTTTTTGAAAACCCCGATAACTTCCATTTACAAATTGTCGGGGCAAATCAACAACGATTGTTGCAATTTTAAGGTGTTGTTGTAAGCTGTCAGCAAAAATAGAAGGTTCTTCCTTTTGTTGCTCAAAAGTTTGTGCTGTATGTCCTGAGATATCACCCCTAATGGTTGTTTACTTTACGATAAACGACAACGGCAGGTGAAGAGGTGAAGACCGCATTATGCTGTGCTAAATCTTCAAAATTGACTGTGTGACCTAAAAAATGGCGAAATAACCGGTTCCTCTGTCAAGAAGGCTGATAGGATATGAGAGGGAATGAGGTGACCCACTTTTCTTGAGGAGATATCAAAAGTTTGAACTGATACCGGTTGGCAATAACGTTTGTTTTAGTTGAGCTATGGCCATCCAGCATGGACTGGGGATTTTAAACTGTAAAGTGATCATTATATCACAGTACATCATCTAGATTTTTGTTTTGTCCCGTATACGGGGTTCCCACGGCCTGGAAAAGTCATGATAAGTCATGGAATTTGTTTTCCTTTTTCAGGCCTGGAAAAGTCATGGAATTTTGTAAAAATGAATAAGGTCATGGGAAAAGTCATGGAATTTTGTCATGGAAGTCATAAAACACTATGATTTCTATTATCAGAAATAAGCGCATAAAATCTGTGATTGTATTTGCAACCTAAAAGGCCAAATAGCCCAAGAAATTGCGTTATTTGGTCGTGGATTTTCATAATTTTTCATGGAAAAGTCATGGAATTTAATTGTTATAGGTGCAGGAACCCTGCGAATACAAAGCCTGGTACATTGCAGTTGAGGGGAAGCAAGCGACTCTCCCCCTCTTAATCCCTTGGTGGGAGTTGATCCTCTACCCCGGTTTAGTTTTACCTCTTGGTCACTCTTGTATTTGGCCATGATCGGCATCAGAAGACCGGTGAATTTACTCCAGTCCTTCACGTGCTTGTCCAAACCTAGTTCCTCCAGAGCGATGCGGTCGGCTTTGTGCTGGGCTCGCTGTAGCAAACAACAAATTGTTATTGATAATAAAATGTAGTTGTTAACATGACGACATTGTCTGCATGATAAGGTGGTGGTATTTTGACAGATAGCTTCTATCATTTAGGAATTTTATGAACCAAAAAATTCAGCTGACTTCGTAATTATGCCGGAGGTTTTTTTTTAATCCTCTTGCGAAGTATCCAAAATGTCACCTCTAGTAGGTGTCCGTGCCTCTGTTCTCAGACGACCGCAGTCCTTCCTTGATTTACTTTTTCTGTCGCTTTTTTTGCGAAGTGTGGGTGACATAATAATCGCTTGACACAAAGTTGAACCGGCAGCAAGGTTTACACAGCGTCGGAAGACGGGCATAGCTTGGATTCGCCCGTGCATGTGATTGCTCGTCAGCTCCCCTTGTTAAACTTGCTCGCGTGATATATGGATTTGCCCAATAAAGAGAGCCCGTATGAAAGTTGGAAAAAAATGAGATACAATCTCATACGGTTCAGTATCATGTATCCTGTGAAGTTTTAGAGTACTTTTGGGTGTGAAAAAGCTGTGAAACTCATGTAAAGAACCGTGATCAAATCGGCAAAGTATGTCAAATTTTCAGTAGTCTTTCGGCTTTCCCATATCTGTGTTCATCCATTACAGCCTGAGATCCAGTGACCGTTTCCTCATGCACTGTACCCCGAGTGCGGGCCGAGAAGATAAGAGCAGACTTACCTTGATCCTTCTCAGCAAGTTGGGTTGTGTGGGGTCGTTGATTTCAGCGAAGGCCTGCTTGCCACGCTCTCCCTCCAGAACCTCTCGCTGCTTCCTCAGTACTCGCTGCACCATGGCCCTGTCTGACAACAGTTCGTCGTCGATTGCATTCTGCATGATGGTTAGCCCCCTCCACCTGTGCCGCGTAACAGGAAACTTTACCCTGACATGTACCCTCAGGTGCGCAACCTACGTGGCTTGGCCCTCTTTAGGTTCACTTCTTTCTCGAGGCTTCTCTCCTGGGTTCCCCCTCTTCGGTGGACCTTGTGAACAGTCACTACGTGGTTATTGTCAGTGTCCTTTGTGGCTCATCTCTTTGAATCTGAGGTTTGAGATCGGAGTCTCGTTGGTCTGCAATTAGCCCCTATAGGATAACCTCTCGTAACGTTTTGGGGATTGTCTGCCGTATTGTGGGTTTACTTTATTTGGGTGATCTGTATTTAACCTCCAGTGCCAGGCTAAAAGTTCTCCTCTTGCAGCTTGCTCAAGGCTTTTCCCAGGATTCTCTAGGTCTCCACCTTTGAGGGTCTTTCAAAGTCGCTTCTTAAAGATCACCTCTTACGTGAAAGTTGTAATTTTGTGGGAATCCCTGCCACGGGTAATTAAGCACGAGTGCCAGGGATCATCCCTGTTGTCTTGTTTCTTACTTTGTTGTTTCTTATTTAGTTGGGTAGGTCACCTGCTCCACTCCTCGCAAAAATATCCCAACTTCTCATAGATGACTTCTAAAGAGATGTTCTTGACCTTTTGGGAGGAAGTGGGGCTAGTAAGCACTGTATCAAAGGAGTTTTTATTACGTCCAATTGAGTCTCTGACATTGGTTTATTTTATCGGTATGCATTTCCGTGAGTTTTTGTTTTTTGTTTTGCTCGTTTTCAAGCCATGAACAAAATGTTTTCTTCATCGTTTGTCGCTTTATTTCTGGCGATTTACTCTTGACTTAAATCACACACTGAATGGTTATTCCTACCGATGGCAAATCCAACCAGATTCCTAACCTCAAGGGCTAGAGCCAAGAGACCGAAAGATAACCACAGTCACATAAATTTGAACAAAATAACGAAGTTCCAGTTTAACCATTCCTGCTATTTTTAAGTAGTAGTAATTCTTGACAGATTCCAAACAGAATCTCATATTCGACTGACTTCATTTCAGGAAGTGAAAAATATTTCTCCATTTGTTGATATAGTCGGATTTAAATATATGGATCTATGGCTAGTCACTCTAGCTCCCATACAGAGCAAATCCAAGCCGTTCGATTTTCATCTGGTTCAAGGTTGTACAGCTCAGGTTCAGATTCAGATGTCGTCATAATTTATCAGCTATTTTGTTTTTTGTGTGAGCCACTATTCGAAAATTCCAAGGGGAGAAATTGGTTAAAGAATAAGGACTGAAGAGATGGAATGATACTTACCATGAATGATAAGTGCAAGTGCCAGGTGTCAAGTGTGAGAGCTTCCTTGCACGTCGCTCAGCGGGGGATGCAACGAACACCACCGATGTGCCTCCAAACTGGTCTCTCCTCGCCCAAGTTTGTCCTTTTTATTGGGCACAAATTGGTCCTGATTTGAATATTATGTCTTGCTCTTCCAGTCCCCACGTCGTGGTGAGCCAATCAGCTTCCGTCCGTTGGGCCAGAGTCAAGAATATTTGAATATGCATCATCAACTGTGATCCCCCCGTTATTGCAGTGACACGATCTTATCGAACTGGAGCCACCTGAGAGACCAAAATAAACCAGCCTGCTTGCAGACGTATAGGCCTATATGTAAACCCGTACCGTCTAGTTTGCCTTCATGACAGCATGTGCGTACCGGTAGGCCATGCGTGGGTGTCTGTTTAAGTGTCTAAATGCATTGAATTGGAACCCAGTGCCTTTCACGGCAAAGTCCACCGACAAATTTTTTCACGTAACGTTGGCAAAGCTAAACATTTTCTTTTCGTAGAGCTTAAAGCACAAAACACCCTATTTTTACGCCTGATTTCCTTAGGGTATTTCTAGATTGTACCTCATTAAAACGAAACTGTCCTCGATACCTCCGCTTTCCGTTACTGTTTTTAGGGAGGAGATTTTGTGGTCAGTTTATACCAACTTCTCTGTCACCACAATAACATCGAAGTGTGTTGGATGTAAGATAAGATTAATTTTTGGTTGCTTTTCCTTCACCAGTCGCACAAGTTTCATGACTAGTCTTTCAATCGCCACGCATCGGTGAAGTATCGTATTTTGCGCAAACAGATTGCGCTCACAACTGCTCTGACGTCGATCTGTTGAATAGCACGAATGGATTCTAGAACACATTGCGTACTTTGACCCAAAAGAGGTGAACGTGCCTCCAAAAATGTGGCAGTCACTATTTTGCCTGGTGGAGTGCGTAGTGGCGTCGATTTCTTAATCGTCCATTTGGCTTATTTTGGTATACGTTTTAAGCCTGTCAGCCCGTCGAAATGCTGCGTGGCAAGTTACAACTGTCTGACGTGATCTTCAACCTCTAAATTCTGATAAAAGTTTGTATGAACGCTGTTGCTTGGAGCGCCAGTAAGTGGTGCAAGTGAAACGATCATAATTCATGAAGGACTTTTTCACGCCATTCAGGATAAGAAACAAATAGTAACACATTCTACACACCAGTAACAGTGTCCATGGTGGTGGATAAAGTCATTGTGTACACGTGCATGAGGAGTTACATTTTTCTCTCAGTTCAGGGCCATTCTTGGGAAAGAAATCTGCTCATCCGAAGAACTTTGGGACTAAAGAACTCTGATTGGTTTCTCAGCCTCGCAAACAAAAGCCGCACGACTTCAGCAGTCCCTAATAAAAATAGTGTAACGACGCTGCAGTTGCCAATCGCATGTATCTTAACTTCCATTCTTGCATGGGTCTCAATCTAAGCCCACATATTATTGCTCAATGTTACGGGGGGGGGGCAAACATAGTTACCCGTGTGAACAGAATTCTAAGTCCATTTTCAGCGTGACGGCAAAAACGTAACTCGTTGACACGTAGAATAAATACCAAGCACAACATGTTAAATGCAAAGAATGCTTTTGACACCATGGCTGTTTGTATCAGGACGGGCACGCTGTCACGATCGAATGCTGACAATAACACCTTGAAACCCCTCAATATAAAAATGCTTACCAAATCTATCAGATTTTTTTACATTTCTCTTTTCCGCAATGCGATGCAATTGATATAAATCCATGCCTAATCCCAGCTATTAAAGTTACTTTCAATAAAGGGGCTTAGAAGGACGAATTATTCAAAAAGTGGAATTTATTCCTATCCCCAAAGCTGGCTCGGTACTTCCTTCTGGGTTGGTATTTCAATTATGGCATTCAGCCGTATAGTTCGCGAAACCGCTGTCGGTAATGGTGGATAATCACGGTACTTCAGACTAGCGTTAATGTTCTTGGCTCGCGTCCATGTCACGCATTCGAAACTGTAATAAATTAGCATTCTCTTTCCAGACATCCACACCTGCAATCTGATGACTTTAAGAAAAACTCGACTAAGGATTAATCCCCCCCCCGCAGAGAAATTCAACTTTGTGGAGATGGCATAGGAAGGCATTTTAACGACGTCGGCGTACGCTATCTGAAGAGTGGGCTGAAAAAATGATTTTGATTTCCCAGGAGAACAAACTCCATGATGGAAGCCTCTATCAACGATCATTTGATCGATTTTATTCACAGTGAGTCACCACTTTCTTAGCTCTAAGTTGGTATTCTCAGATTTTTTAGGCCGCAGATCTTAGAGTAAAGCCCTCAACCATTTTCTTAATATTTAGTAAAGCGTATGTCAACATAGACGGATACTCCAGTTTCTGTGTTGGTTTTTCGCTCCATATCATTTTCAGAGAGGAAAAAACCTAAAATGGGCTAAGCCCCCTAGTGTTTCCGCCCTGGGACCTCGGCTGTCCCATGGGTCACATCCACGAAAGTTGATCATAATCAAAAAAGATCAACCCTGTCTTTTTCATACAACCCTGCAGAGGTTAACAATAAACACACCCCAGTGTCAACGGGCACTGATGGAAGGGGACACGGGTGTTAGTCTCCAAACGCATCCGCTGGTCTGTGTTTCTAGGTCACCTTCACACCTTCGACGGAAGGGCTCAATTCAAGGCATGTAAAAAAATTTGCAACCAATTCAGCGAGCCGCCAATGTACTGCTCCACTTACCTACTTTTCTGGCCTTATTGCGACGTCTCTTACGTCACGTCCCTGAAATGAAGTGCATGTGGACCGATACTTGAAGTTATATACCAGTACACACGAAGAAGTAGGCCAACGCACAAAGGAAAGTGGCCTTATTAGAATAAGAACCCATTCTGAACGACGCCAAACTTTACTGGTGGGACGCAAAAAATTTCCCACCTTCAGATTTTCTTGGTCACGCCTCGAAATACTGTGATAGTCACGAATTCTTACTATAGGTATTTGCTTTGATCAGACCTATTTTTAGGGTGTGGGGTTTCAGGGGAGCCAGTCACCCCTAGTTGAGGATGTTTATTCATACATGTGCCCCGGCCCACTTCCTGAAAATCACAAAATAGTCGCTCGTCTGGCGAAAAGTCTTTGCGATCCAATAAAAAAATCCAAAACATAATTATCTTAATGTTACAAAGTAGCAAATGTTCGTGCCAAAGGAAATGGGTTGGTTTTCTCTCAAGCTCAACTCTTTGAACGTTGAGACGATAATGCCCTTGACAGGGATTAACAAATTTCATGAGCTTTTTCTTCTGATGGCCCGACTGGTGGAAATTCACGTTCTTTAATCTCATTGGCTCTTATATTCATTCCTTGATGGCAAAGAGGGTTAGAACCTAACCAACCACTATACGTGTAGTAAGCGTTCGACCTGATGATGGCGCAGTTTGGATGTTTTTCTTATCTAAGTTTATTAAAACATCCGAAAAATGAGATCAGGGGGACAGTGGTGTTCCGTTAAGCACCCCAACCCAGTTAGGCGGATCCAAGGAGCATAGGCCAACCCCTGCCTCGAAAAGGATCCCCATTCACCCCCCCCCCGTTTTTAAGTCGTGAAAGACGATTGTTTTTGGTAACTTCTGTTCCCCCGCCTTCATTCCACCAGCATATAAAAGCCCTACAATGTAGCTTCACCCCCCCCGAGAAACCCCATAAAATGTTCCATTCCTTTAAAAAACCTGTTATGACCCACCCCAACCCCTGATTTTGGCTTCCAAAATGCTTCTGGATTCGCTCTTGACTTATAAGTTCACCAGTCCCCGCGCGACCAGTCTACAGCACACCTTTCCCAAGACACATATTACAATTCTGTCTTATTTCTAGGGTACGTGGCCCCATTTTGTCTTATCAGAAAATCGGATATTACACAAAAGGGGTCACTGACTACAGAAACAAGGATGGAAATCTCAATTCTGGGCCATTTCACGGTATCTATTACCTTTTCATGTCCTGACTCTATCCTGAGAGGAATTAGGTTTTGACCGTGCCCAGACAGAAAATGTTGTCAACGTCACCCTCCGAATGAATCAGGTTCTATTGCGACCATAAATGGACTATTGTGGTTTATCCTTCATTTCTTGTAGTCGTGCTTTTTGTTTTGTACTTTGCTTACTCGCAGTGTATGACCACGCGCGTTCATGAAAGTTCGAGCGCGTGCACATTTTGGCAAATCAGGGTATCCCACTGGTGTAAGAGGATCTAGGAAAGCAACGCGCGCGTCACGTGCCCACGACCGAGGTGCCACTGTAGTAATGGATTCACCTTCGAAGAAGACTGTTGAACTGAACAAAAAGGTTGTGATTTTAACATGATGGTGTACAATTTGTGTTCATGGAACTTGACTGCAAATAACTGCATCACGAGACAACAATTTATGAGTACTTCCAACATAACAGCTCCCACATTCCCCCTTTATCATATCTGGATTCCTTGCAGTTCAACGTCCAGACAGCAAATTGTCGATATCTTCTTCTGTCGAACAATGGTGATAACCCTCTTGCCATTTTTTTTATCACACCCTTTAACGTCAATCGTATATAAGGTTTCGATCAGATGACGGGGCTTTTGATGAAATCAAAATCGTGCATTGCCCGTTTTCGAGAATAATTGCGAATGCTCTTACTGGGCAACGTGTGGGGTCGAAGCTGAAACACAGTGGACCTTCATAGTCTATTGCCAGCCACGGGAACAAATATTGCAAGTCTTTATTTTGAACCCCAAAACCAATTTAGACCAGCAACTGAAATTTTCTCAGAAGGTGAAAAATTCCGGAGAAAAATGACATTGAAGTTTGTACCCCTGTTCATTTGGACCCTTGTTATGTAGCTTCATCGGGTCCATCGGCTGGACCAGTTTGCAACAGACTTGTGGGTTGCACCACTTGTGGGGGCTATATAGGTACCCCAACCTGGGGTATGTAGGGGACACTAAGTACTTTGGCAAAGAGATCTGAGAGCGTGCAAATTATGCATGACGCCACGCCGTGGGATGTTCCACTTTATGGGGTTCTCCGATCAACAGAGAAAACAATTCTGGTATACACCACTTTTAAAAGGATAAAAAAGGGGTTGAGCGATACTTTGTGTCGCAGTTGCGACCTCAAAAAAACCTGCTTATTCTAATTATTGCGATCATAGGAAATTAACATCAGCGTACGGGGAATTCACACACATTGCCGACCTTGCCGAAAACGGGGATGATTCATCGATTGATTTACCAACCCAAGCTTTTCTGACCTTAAACCGAGAAGTGCGTTTGGGTGCTTAGTTAATGACCCTATGCCGTGTCCTTCACACTGACCTGTATGAGCGCTTTGCCGCCAGTAGTATATGGACAAGATAACCTTGTGACATTATTATTTATGATCTCCCGTTGGTAGAAATTCATTCAACTTTTTTTTTCATTTTGTACGCCGTTCTTCGTTTATTTCAAAAGTGACATCGCAGCCATTTACATTCCAAACAGACGTTAGAGCCAAAAGGCTGTCTGCCCAGCCTGGCTGTTGTACACCGCTGAGCGTGTACCTCTGCACGCGCGAAGCTCAGTTTCTATAGTTCCGCTTACACTTCCTTGCAGTTATGATTGATTCCTCATATTGTATGAGCAGGTGTGACAGAATTTACTTCATGGCCTATTAATTTTTTTATGAACAAGGAGTGCCGGAAGCCTGCCTCAAAAAAGAACGAGTACAAATCTCGACCTTTCCATTCACTTTACGGCAGAATGAATTGGGACGCAATGAGAAAACAACAGTTCAGTCAAAATAGGCGGAACTGGGTCACTTCTCAGCAGGGAGGCCCATTTCTGTAATTGTCGAATTTGTGTGCTTGTGTGTTGCGTGATCATTGGCATCGCAAGGAATGTTTCCAGTGGAGGGGGCATCCATCGACAACAAACGTACAAACTATCAACGATAAAAGGGAATCAGTTTCAAGCAATTTGGGGATTTTCATTTCCTTTCCTCCTCCTTTTTGTTTCTTTCCTTAAGTCTTCCCTCTTTTCTTATTCCTTTTTCTGAAGGGGGGTGGGAGTGCCTAGCCCCCCCCCCAACGACACGCATGCATTTGCTTGCTCCTACAATTCCACAAAAAGAGCAAATGTCGCGTAACTCATACACGTTCTCCAGAATTTTGGTCAGTCCCTTCTTTTACAGAATTTCGCTGGAGACATTTTGCAAGACTTACAAGACTTTTGCAAGACTTGAATAGCTTGTATGTTTGTGGTTCTTGATTTACAGTCGTGTTTTTGAAATTCAGCAGAAGCCAGAGCCACAGAATAGAACGTGAGAGTATACATTTTATTCCACAGACCTTACAGTATACAATGTGCCCAGGCTACCAAAGACTTCATGTGCGATTTTTTCTTTCTTTCTTTTTTTTTCATGTCTTGACAAACCCGGCTGGGTCACGTTCTTGTCGGTGTCTGTTCGGGTTTGCGTAATCGTTGCGTGATTAGAATTCAAATGTTCTCACGCGCAACTTGACCCATTGTCCACATTTTGTTATCAGAAACTCTTTTTCAGACAATGTCTGAAAAACGATGTCGATAACCTGTTTTTGTGGGATCTGGATGTGGCTGATCGAAGACCAAACAACCAGGTCGGTTCACAAAGGAAAAAAATATAAGAAGAGAAGAAAAGTAGTCGCCATGTTTGTTATTGCTGTTTTTGTAAGTGTGTTTTTGGAAGCCACTCCGATTATTGGCATATTATTAAATGACAAAGTAAAAAGCACCTATGTGTGAGCTACTGCGCATAGAGTCAATAAGCAGCGAAGAACACAAATTTGATTTTAAAAATTAGCGGCAGAAATGTCATTTAGAGATCATCAGTTGTGTATTTTTTTCTGTCTTGCTCCAAAGACGATGCTGTTTATTTTTCTGAATGTGGTAGAGTGTGTCCCAAGCTCACCAATCGTGCACGACATCTCCACAGAATCAGATCCAATCTTCTTTTCCTAAATGCATTTTGGTTATCGCATTCAGAAATAAGATACATTTTTTAACAATGAGAGATCGGTCTCTGAGCATGAACACCAAGGAGAATACCAACCCCTGCCTTAAAAACAGTTGTCTGAATACCAAGGAGAGAGTAAGTCCTTTGGATGTTCAAACCAGATTTAGCGTTCACAGTATTTTTTTTCTTTTAGACGCCTAGGGCTTACTCACGGGAGGATATAATTATTGACTGGTGGTGTTGAGCTAGGCAATAAACAGACAAGGTCTAGCTTATAGACCGTTGAACTTGTTTTTGCTCCACCGTTGAGACTTGGAGCCACTCTTAATTTCCTGGAGTGTACATGGTCGTCGTCGACTCCGTTGAGTAGATTTTGTTGCTCTCTTCCGTCTCAGACCTAGTAACACACTTCAGCAAACCTGTGGCATAACTGGGTCTTTGTCATTTTGGGCAAGGGCATGAGGTGCTGTTTAAAGATATAAAGGCTGGTTCATTCTGTGCATACAATGAGGGATCTTATATTTTCAATCAGTCAGAGACACCATTCTCCTGCTTACTATTCACGCCACATTTATTTTAAATTTCACCCACAAAACCAGAAACTACAAAACAGACGAACAGACGAATAGTGGAAGAGGCTGCAAACATGTGAAACCTAACAGACATCAAACCAAGAGGTCGCCCCACATATACGGTAAGCGTTTACCTCAAGGTTATCATAGATTGTCCCAAATATTTGCAACTTCCTGTCACTTTATTCACTCTGTGATAATATTTAATTCCACTGTGATTACTAAACCTCGGTCAAACGAAAAAAATCGTCGTCTAGACTTGATCAGATGACGAAAATGTTCTATAAAATAAAAAAAAATGAGATACTTTAAAACACTGGTGGCAGCAGAAATACAAGTCTTTTCACAGTATTGTGCAAGCTCAGAACTATGCTCGCTTGCTCACGACGCAAAACAGACCGGTATGTCTCCTGCTATCATCGTCTCAAAAGTCTCTCATCGATATTAATTGTTACCCAATTTTACCCATGGTATATATGTTATGCACTCATCAATTAATATTTCGACCCCCGTCATCACAGTGTTTGCCCCACGTGAATTATGACCTGTGCAGATACCGGTATAGTTTAAGCTCCGGAATGTCAAAATCGCTTCCAAAAAAAATTAACCCTACACCATTTCCTCCCCTTATAGTATGTCTTTTTTGTAACTGGTATATTTTTGGTGTTTAAGTGTATAACATTTTAGGTCAGCAAAAGTGTTCACAAAGTTTACAAGAAAATCCAACGTAAATAATGCAAAAAATACGCCGTCTGGTACCCCTATCAATACGCATTATTACCCGTCAAGCACCACAGACGGCGACCTGTCTCTGCAAGGACTTAATCAGGGTGAGGCCATACAAGCGTACAGTACGTGTCAGGCCTGGCCCCTACGTAACTCGTAAACAATGGCGCCCATGCATCGGTCGAGAGCAGCTGATCTGTTTTGGATTTTTCGTGCTCTGTAAAAAGACTTTTTTACAATCGTTATTTTTCCTGTGCACATGAGATTAAGCGGGAAAAATTCAGCTTACATTCTGCTCAGATTAGAAACTAATTGCAAACAAAACGACAAAACCTGAGAGAAATTGATCAAAATCACACCACTGTACATTTTCAATGGCCCTTGTCGCCAAGACCATATTCGGATGTCGATTATGAGTATGGTAAGTTGGACTCTTCCATCTGTCAACAGTGCGGTGGGCGTGACTTAATCCCGACCATCCTTCAAGTGTACATGTAGTCCACTTGCGACCTTACAAAACCTATAATACTAAATAAAAACTTTTATTCGATTCTTCTCTATTGTTCGTTTTAATATCTACTGTTAATGAAAAGCAATCAATTTGTTTTTTTTATATCATGGGTCGTTTTCTGGTCGATACCTCACGAAAGCTCTTAATTTGGAAAAAAGCAAAGTTTATTTTTTAGACTTTTTGCGGATGGAGTGTGTGCATTGCCCCAAAACATGGAGAATAATACTAAGGCCGTGTCTGAAACGGGCTTCCAGAGCTACGGCTTGGTCTATTGTCTGCGCGTCTCCACGCATTTCCAATGGAGCGAAGACCTAGACCTAGCTCTAGACAAGAGATTCGGATGCAGCCTTAGTTTTGTACGGTACCAGTACTTTTTTTCTGGGGATACCATCTTGGAGCCCGTATCATCGAAAACATTTTTGTCCTAAAATTTAACCAAGCCTTTCCTGCAACCATTCTCGTACCTCGTCTGTCATCAACTTGTGCGGGTCGTGCAGCTGGTCTGTTATGTCACGGCCAACAAACGTCACTTTGCCGTCCTCCACAACGATGATCCTGTCGGGGTGCGCATCGTACGCCAACGCAAAGCCGTTGTTCATGTTGTCAAGGACGAGTCTGAGTTTTGTCTGACTCGAGAGGTCATCGGTGAAGATGTGGTAATGGTGGGAGTCTAGTTCCATGAGTGTTCTATTGACATGAAAAATGGCAACATTGCTTAGTTACACGTATTAAGTTTGTTATTGGCAACTGGCTTCTGTAACAGTCATTGGCCAAATCTGACCGATGCTAACAAGTTAGGATTGGCCGCAATACCCAGATTGATATGTGGTTAAGGGAGATATCCCTAAATGTGACGCGTAAGCTGCAACATCCCCCTGAAAATCTGATCACAATTTGGACAAGTCTCCACAGCGGACAGGTGGCCTCAGTGGACGCATCGTGTTAAACCATTGGCAGGTGACTGCTTCCAATTAACAGGTTTCTGCAATGTGAAGTTGGATCAATTTACTGACAGTACAGTAAGAGGTGTCAAATAGAGAGCTAGACACGATTTCTATGTTAACTGCAATCTCAGTTCGGATAAATGTGTTAGGATTTGCTTCAAACATTCCACTTTTATTACTGGGCAGTCTCCATCCTGTCTTGAATTGTCTTTTCTTGTGCCATCTGGTTGGTCTCCAGCCCAAATGTCCATCTGCCGCTGGGATGCGCCTCGGCGAGGTACACGCAGAGAAAATCGGCCTGGTCCTTGAAGTCTCTGAACAACTCGTGCAGAGTGCCTCCCAAGACACAGGCCTGTCAAAGGAATTGAAACACGTGGCAGGAAGAATCAACTCATAGAAGTAGGGCAACGAAGAAGGAATAGGAGCTAAAAAGTGTTTGAGAAACTCCAGGTTCTCCGGAAGAAATGCCTTGGTTTTGGCTCAGCATGGTTTGGGTTTTCGTTAATTTGCCTAAGCATGGGATGTAAAAGAGGAAAATCGAAGGCCGATTGATGCCAAGCTCGGGGGAAAAAGTCTGTTAGTCTAACAGACGGCTGTAAATGAGGCTACTACTCACCTGAAATGGAGGTCAGGAAAGTGATGATGCGATGAGCACTAGAGGGCGCTCTTTGTGCACGTGCAGGCTGGACAGTGACACCTCCTCCTTTGCCATGGAAACCAAGCCCACATCTTCCATCTCACTGCCAACCTGACGTGTAAAGCCCCTGCGCTTGATAATCACCACGAATCCCATTAATTCCTTCATGACCTTGAACAGAGAGACATCAGTGCGGAAAGAAATTGAATGGAAAGAGGGGCAAATCCAACTACTCCGGAAATCAATTGTCCTGTGTTGTTGCTCATGTAAGTTTTTAATTCTATCAGTTTTAGTGTTAACTAACGTCACACGTGCAAACGACTGGAAATTGTCAGAGCGTGTAGATCTCACAACGAGAGTGTTGATATGAAATCAACATGTCACAAAACATGCACAGTTTGCGGAAAGGGTCGTTAGGATGAAGCCTCAACTGATTATTGCTTCCAGTTCTATGAATGATTTATGTATGGCCGTTAACAATAATTCACAACAAAATTTAACAAATGGTTACATTCTAATGCCAATTCGTACCACAGGATCGAAGCTCCACTTGTAAACCAGCGTCTTCAGTATTCCGGGGAATTTGTTCCAGTCAGTGATGCTTGAAGTGAGACCTAGTTCCTCCATAGTGAGTCTGTCAATCGATTGCATCACTTCCTTTGCGAAGAATATGTAACCATTTGAATATCACAAAAGTACTTTGTCTAATAAAAACAACTGACTTTTATCATAAATTAGCATGTTTTGTTTTGAGGTTTGTTTATTTTTTTATTTTTGTCTTGACCTGATTACCTTTTGCTTTGCAAATGCTCCTGGCTTGGTAGGGTCAAAGTTTTGACGGAACAGGTCTGCCGTATCTTGCCGGTTCGAAATCTCTTTGAACTTGCGAAAGATCTTGAGGGCGCCGTCCCGGCTTTCGAAGTACTCCGATCCCTGTGCGTCGGGTGGCAAACCAACCTAGACAATAATGCGCAATACTGGCGATTCACAAAAGTGCGCCTCCAAGAGTTTGCCACGCGTTGACCAATCAGTGTGGTCGAAATCTGTCGATCCAATGCGCGTTTGGAAAGGGTCGACACTCGACAGATTTCGTGCATTCTGATTGATCACTGCGTTGCAAACTCTTGAAGGCGCACTGTTGTGAATCGACCGTATTAATTTCTTTCAAAGAAGAATCACAGTTCGTTCTTTGCACGCTGTCGCAGAGCCTCGATCTGGCAGCTTGTAGAATCACGTCGAAATTGCATCAACGCAGCTTTTGAATATTGTCCAATCGCATGGTTAAGAGCTGACGTAGCACGCGCAGATTGACGAAACCACATACGCGGGAATCACTGATCAAGATCGAGGCTCTGCATGCCTGTGGCGGCAGCGTGCAGAAAGCGAATAGTGCGCCTCCAAGAGTTTGCAACGCGTTGGCCAATCACGATACGCGAAATCTGTCGACCCAACGCGCCTTTGGAAAGGGTCGACAAATTTTGCGCGTTGTGATTGGCCAACGCGTTGCATACTCTTGAAGGCGCACTGTTGTGAATCGCCTGTATTGTAATGAAGTTAAAATAAAAAGCAAAATAAAAAAATTGAAAGTGCAGTTGACGTTTGTCGGTATAGTTACAAATGTGAAGAAATAAAACGCCTGTTTTCAGACACTAGTTCATTGTTTTGCGCGAGGACTGGTTATTTGCCAATTATATGTCCAGAATGCTTTTATGATTTCAGTGAAACGTTGGCCATTCTGTAGTACTGATCTGGCCGGTGCCATTCTGTTACAACTAAGTTACTTTAACTCTCAGAATTAGTGTTCGGGCGAAAATTTGTCTCCCCTAACGTATGGTGTTCTGAAGTGGGCAGCCAAACGTCGTGTGTGCGAGTTTGCACGTCATGTTTTTGAGTTTCAACGTCGTGTGTCCGTGTTTGATCGTCGTGTCTGTGAGTTCGAAAGTCGTGTTTGTGAGTTTGAACGTCGTGTTTGTGAGTGGTCAGGGCTAATTTCATGGATCATTAGCATGATTTTTTTCCTTTGATAATAATAAGATTTACCAACCAAAATGTTCATGTGTTGCATATTACTTCAAGTGACTGGTGTTCAGCTGATGTTCGCGTATCATAAAAATGACATGGATTTTTGGCTGGTAACCCGTTTTTCCTGAGCAAGACAATACTGTGCTAAGCAAATATTTGTGCTTAGCAGGTTCATGAAATTGACCTCTCACAGACACGATTCAACCACACAAACACGACGTTCGAACTCACACACAGGACGTTTACAATTATTCACAAAGACACCCTACGTCGTCGCACCCTACATTATGTATGCCAGACATGCACACCCAAACACGACGTTCAAACACACACGTTTTGCCTGTCCGCTTTAGAACACCATACTAATGTGCTTTCCCCTGTATAAAAGAAATGCGCCTTAGGCATGTCCCACGACAGACGTTTGCAGCCATTCACAGCGCTGCAAAAACCATTCAGATTTGTTCCCCCAAAATGGCGGAACTCCTCGCAAGTACGTGTACTGCTCGAGCGTTTTTCACAGTATACTATAGCTACAAAAGGTGTGACATTTGATCCTTTTCCTTCTTGGGCATGCATTATACAAACCATTTCGAAAAAGTATATGGCTTCGAATTATGCACACTTCGTGCTCTAAGCAAAGTCGTTGCCGGGCAATGTTACTTACTTTTTGCGGAAATTGAAGGCCTGTCCCTAACCGCGGCCCATCGCCGGGCTCAGACATGGTGTAGAAGTCCTTGATGATTGCCCTCCAAAAATGTACACCAGATTCTCCGGAGCTTACTGCATGTAAGGAACGACGGACCCGCGCACTCGCTGCCTATTGCTTGAAAAGTCAGTCACAGTTATGAAAAGAAATCTATTTTTGTGCTTCCATTCATTTTGGTCCTATATGTGAACATCACACTCCAAGGATACGTGAAAGAGGAAAAGCAGGGTGTTTATTTATGTCGTCACAATCGAAGAGTCTGGTATCGTGGTGTAATCTCACCCTGGTAGTTATATTTGTATAGTTAGGTATACGAAATAATGATAGGCACAGACAAAATGCAGAGGTAAAGTCCTCTTGCATAATCCTATTATGTGTGCTACAGCATGCATTGGTCTCATTTGGAGAATAAGCTCGATGCACCTTCAGATGTATTCAACCCAGAGTAACGAGTTTCAACACTAGATGTAAAGGAAGGACCAATTTCCCAACTTCCGTTGTGATCTCAGCTTTGAAATGATTTTGAATGTCACTCTCAAGATTTAATTGTATAGAAACGCAGGGTGCTGTTGTGCTGTTGTCGTTGTTCATAATTGAACCAAGGACGGATCCATGCAGGGGGCTGGGACGGAACGGTTCCACGGTCCTCCAATAAAGAGAAAAAGAAGAATATGAAACGAAAGAAAGGCGCGTTTTTGGACGTTGGTCTATTTAGTTTGCTGTTCTTTCAAAAGCGCATAAAAAGCCTGAAAATATAGCCGAAGGAAGGCTGTAAAGATGATATGAAATATTTCAAATTGTGGCCCCCCATTATTTGAGTCTGTCCCTGAAAACGTGGTTCTGAATCCGCCCTTGTATTTCATTTAGCGGTTTTTTTTGTTTTGTTTTTATGTTTTTTTTTTTAAAGCTTGTTTAGGCATACGCTTTGGGTAAATGAGCTAGTTCGGTATTGCAACAGTTCATGCTCAGTCCGTGAACAGCTACGCGCGCGCAATAGTCTGTCCTATCCATTGATAAAGGAAATCAATAATCCTATCGGCGCAGCAATACGCTGACTCGCGCACACACTTTGTTCCCAAAAGACTTAGGTTTTTGAAATACCGAACTGCATGCTCATTGATGTTGTCCCCTCTGCTATATTCCAACGCATATTCTGTACCGCTCCATTGTTGTGTTTTCAGTCATGCGTGTCTCTTTCTTGTTCTTAATTTTTTATACACATATTGAATTTTTAAAAGTGCTTAAGTACACCTTCTCATTATGCATTCTTTTTTAATAGATCCGCGGTACAGGTCTTAAGTCTAGTTTTCAAAAGAATTGAAATATAAAGGGAATGCCCCTTGCTGTATTTCCAAGCCGTTTTTACAAATTTAAAGTTCCCGCACGGAGAGCGATGTACCAAGTACCATAACAGCCGGTTTCTAATTTCTTTTTCGATCAACAAGCCTGTTGGTTGTAGAGTACACAAATCGACTCCTCCTTAGCCACATTCACCAATTTGGTATTCTCATCCCTGAATGTCTTAGGTCTGTGTATTCTAAAGTCGACATATCCTTGGATAATTGATTTATACAAAAGTTTGTTATTTTTTTGTAGATTCATCAAGGCACCCTTTTTTCAGAAATTCTGATTTCCTGTTCCTCCAATGGTGCCAAACAATGATTAAAACGGCGTATGTAACCATAGTTAGTTTCCGGAGAATTTATTTTGTAAGAAATTAACAAACTGTGGTCTAAGGACGCTCTAAGGCAACTTCAAAAGTCATTGTTATTAATACTACAAGGCAAGCACTAGACGCCTAAGAATCCGAAGCAAATTTAGAGTAGAACCACCTCCCCTACACATGTCTTCGACAGTTCACTCCAAGCTCGCTCTCCCGTAGAACGTTGACTCTTCAAGCTTCGTGAGATCGCGGATGTTAAGTCCCTCCACGGCTTCGTTGAGCACACAGGTCAGGTTTTCGGCGAAGTAGTTGAAGGAGCCGCAGCGAGCATCCCACAGACACGCCCGGGCACACTCGGTGTAGACGCACTCCGTCATGTTGGTCAGATTGTGGTCGAGCAGGGCACGCCTCTTGAAGGCGTACATGTGCAGTTGACGATGGTTGCTACCACCATTGTCTTGGGGAGTGGCTTGATAGATAACGGCAGACAGAGCCAACATAATGATGAAGATGTGAGCCATGGTGCTCCCTATGAATTATTGTGTAAGGACTTGGAGTGATGTTGAATTCCTCTAGATATTTCACAGCAGAACTCGACCACAGTTCCAACTCTACCAAGTGTTGAAGAAAACGATAGTCATGATACTGCCGATCTGCCTCCTAGTCAGTATTGTTAAGGATGGGTTTTTTCTACCTAGCTGTTTACTCCAAGGAGCTGTTTTAAGCCAACCGAGCGACACCTCGTACCGTCATTGACTCTCTCTAATGGTTACGATGGTTACACCTGCTTTAAACATTCATAACCTGATCCACTTAATCTGATCTTCACCCAAGGTCGAAGAGAATGCAAACAGAGGCCTACCTTTATTGAAATCAGTTTCAACTCTATAGAGGGCGGGCTGTAAAAAATTCTTTTCTCGATGCGTCTACTAAATCAGCATAGGCCTATTCTGCACGCAAACTCGTTGTTATTTCGTTGAACCTGCGGGTAATTTATAACAAGAAGTACCATAATCAGGATAGATTGCAGAATCATTTTCAAATGAATCAAACCTTTGAGACACGTGGCTTCTAATCTGGGCATTTCGTTCAGAAAACCCCCTTACTTGTGGGCCTGTTGTGCAAAGAAGCGGGCAGCAACATTCCGACTTGGAGCCGGAGTTTAACTATTTGCTGGGTAAAAACTAACAAGTGTCAAATTGAGAAGAAAATTGTTCAAGCGGTCAATTCCTGTATTTAGAATGAATGCTTAAGCCAACCTGTTCTCATCATTCACTAGGTGGGGCTCTTTTTCTCCGATTTTGCTGGAAATTACTATGGCTTCGGTTTTTTTTTAATTAATTAATTTATTTATTTTAGTCTCATAAAGCTGACAGAGGGCGCCGTATTAAAACAATGGCGTTTTTAATGCAAAGTTACCTATCCGAACCCAACAGTCATTACGATGTTAAGTAGCGATTGTGGTACACGATCCCTGATATTTTCGCTGAGTTGATTTTTAGGCTTATTCGTCAACACTTACTCCAAGCGTATGCGCGTCAACACTTACCCCAAGCGTTGTGCATCCGTCAAAATCGCTCCCGGGGCGAATTTGACGGCCAAACGCAACGCACACGTGTGTTAAGGCGCCTTTTTTTTGGGGGGGGGCGCGTTGCGTAAACAACGCGCACATGTATGTCACTCTCGCGGACACGAAAGTCGACTCCATTAACTTAGTAAACACGCTTGTGCGTTGCGTTCGGTCGTCCAAATCGACCTAGGATATTAGTTGACGGATACGCGCATTATGGAAAGGCACCTTTATGCTAATAGAGTCGATGTTTGTGTCCGTGAAAATGAAACGCATGAACGCATTGTGTACGCAATACATCCACAAAATGCACATGGAAAGGCGCTTCATAGATTCAATTTTTGTGTCCTTGAAAATGAAACATATTAACGCATTGTGTACGCAATGCATCCAAAAAACGTACTTATGGTAAGGCGCCTGAACGGTGCATGGCTTTTTCAAATACAATTAATACCTTGTTCTGTGCTTCAAAATGAATACCAAAATTATCAGAGTAAACGGCCTCAACACTTGATAGCCCTCTGATATAATGCAGAGTAATCTATAATTTCTTTCGTAACTTATCTTTTGTATTCGCTATCAACACGCCCGATAGTGTGGACTTGGTCTTGATCGACCCGTATTGGATGAAAGGTTAAAAATCCATTAATAACGTTGCCTTTATTTAAAGAGTTTGGTCATCTTTAGTATCTGATGCCACTTCACGTAAAAGAAGATGCAAATAATTTATCTTGTAATCGGTCACTTCACCATCTGTTGGAGTTTCCTGTTTCTGAACCCAGGTTACTTTTTTAAGGGAGCGTCTCAAAAAGTCGATAACGTTTGCGTTGGACAATGCCCATTGGACCTGTTCCATTAGACCGTTAGCTTGTGTGTGAACCCAGAGCTGGACCAAGAGAGGGCGCAATTTTTAAAGCAACGGTGATCCTTTTTGTGGGAATTGCACGTCGCTGGTTCACGTCGCTGTACCAACAAAATGAACACTCCCACGAACATAGCTCTTGTAAACCTGAGAGGATGTTTCTGCTCTAGGGGATAGTCTGTTTTGAGGCAGTATTCCGGTGGGAATTCCCTGTGAAGCTTAGCATGGTACCTTATTATTTTCAAATAAACAACTGAAATCAAAGGTAGCTTTTAAAAGCGACAGTTTCATAGAATGTGTAAGTACGTGCAATACTATTGTAGAATATTTATTATCTTTACACTGGTAATATTTGTATTATGTACAGATCAGTTGCGATAAAAAAAAGGAATTTTGGCCAAGCATTGCGAAAAGTGTCAGGTAACTTTATAGGAGCCAACGAAATAGTGTCCACAAGAGACAGTTGTTCACGCCTTCACATTTGCAGTGAGAAGGGTTTGTTAAAAAGTAACGAAGTAAGTTGGTCCACCAAGGTGACTGAATATTCACACGAAGTCAGCACATCGTCCCTGTTTAAGCCCCTTTGAGTTGAAACTTTTTTAAATTTCAACGAATCTAAACTTAAATGTCATATTTTTTAAATCTAAAAACACTGTTTGTCACTCTGAATGCATGTACTGTCAACCCTGCTTTCCGATTGGCCTGAGAAATAGCCTTGAGACAAATGCATAGACTGTTATCATCAACCGTAGAAACTCGCCCTTCATCATAAATCCAGTCCTGAATATTCCTTTGAGAGTATGGATTCTCTGTTTCTGACAACATAGCTGCTTGATGCTTGTTAGGCGAATTGGTCAGCATATTCTGTGTTCTGTACTCTATTTTTCTTCCAATTCCATTAATTCGCCAAGATTAGCTTTCGCCAGGTTTTCGTGGAGTCCACCATGATCAACAATGACGACACAATGACTTCAACTAAATTTCATTTGGCAATATCAAACCAAGTCTCGGCTGGAGTGCCCTACTCTCCAGTTATGTGACTTGTTGCTAAAATGGGATTAAAAATAACCTTAGTCAAAAGTGATCCCTGTCCTAAATCAGGAGAGTTGATTACATAACCGGGGTATTTTTTTCCGTGTGAGATTCGTACTGTTAGAACATTTAAAAGACTTGGGCATGCCAACATTACTTGATTTATGCCTTGGTATCTTTTAATCAGTGTTGTGGGTGCTTAAACGGTCCTCCCGATCTAACATAGCCTTGCTCTTTGTTCATTTTCTAACTTCCCAATGCCGACAATCGGGAACTTCACTCAACAATTGCCCGGTCCAACTCCCGGGCAGACGTTCCCACTGAGAAGGACATGGTCCGTGATTTTAGGTATCCGAACCCCCCACTGCCGGGCCTGGTCCTGGTGATGTTACCGGGACCGAGTAGCGACACAGTCCGGCCCCTGAACTCCGGGAGGTAGGGGTCTTCCATCAGGGCCATCTGATCATCCAACTCGCACAGGTCGCCTTCCTCATCATACACCAGCATCAAGTCATTGGTCTCCCCCGTCTGGAGCGCCTCTAAGCCCCCGGCGTTGGACTCGTACCGGTCGAAGGAGTCCACAGAGGCTGCGATGTGAGGCAGTTTGACCGCTGGACGCTGGTCCGAGGTGACAGTACCCTTGAGCTTGTAGATGACCGAGCGGAGCTGCAGAAACTGGCGCATGAGGGACTGATCTTGTTGCTTCAACTTGGTCTGTGGTTGAAAAATGTCAAGAGTATTTAATCTGTCAATTTTGACGTTAAACATGTTGGAACAAGAATTTGTTTCAGATTCAGTCATAACTTTTTTTGTGAATCAAAACGCAGATTCTTTTGTCTGAAGCCGGTTGTCGCGCTGAAGATAGGGCTAACACCTCTTTATTCAAAACGTTCAATGACAGTTATTGTTTGGTTATATCCTGTCATTCAAGTGTACTTTTTTTCTTCAGCAGTTTTTTACTACTGCTCAATCTTTGTATGGCGAAGTTCATTTAACTGATACGATCGAAAAGTGAAATCGAAACTTGGCGTGGCTGTTCTGTTAAGGAGTTGAAGCTTGGTCAAAATCTCTGCCACCGCACTTTAAACACTTGTCCTTAATAACTTCAAACCACGTGCGTCACTCGTGTAATACAGGCATGGATCCTACCAAGCTTGTCACGATGTGAATTCCCTCTCGCCCTAGGAGATTTTTCTTGTCCTATTAAACTGAAAGGAAATTTATCATGCCCACAGTCAGCCTCTATCAGCCGACGCCATACAGCTGTGGTCTTGTGCGGTTCTATAGCGACAGATGGTGAAATCACATCTTGGTAACTGATTCGTTAAAGGAAGCGACGAGACACGAAACTATATGACGCTTTCATTCGTCAAATAGTTGGATTGCACCATACACTGCTTGCACCATGGCAGACGCCTCGTAAGCATTAGTGACAATATTTTAAATCTTCACAGTCGGTATGATCGTTTACTTCGTCGGTCTTGTTACCATCGTCATCGTCCTTTTCGACAATACAAGCGACGTATTCGTCAATATTGTTTGATGCCACCACCTTTGCCATTCTTTGTTATTATTATCTTTGTCGTTTGTACCATCGTCCTGATGCAGATATCATAGCTTCAGCTTTAATATGATGAAGTCATAAATTTCGACGTATTGCTCAGTGCACTATGCTTGGCTAACGTCATATTGCAATGCCTGGAATATGACAATTGGAATTCCTTTAAGAAGCAACGTCTTTGTCGTTGTGCATCGCTGCTGTCATTACGACAGAACATGGAATTGTTTTCAGAGAAAAGTGTTATTAAGTGAACGCACGGTTGCATTCATGCTTATGTTGAAAACTGTCTCGTTTATGGAAAGGTATATAAAACGAATTATACAATCCACGTTTCAAACTAAGTGAAGTTCATATCTCGATGCTGACTGTTTCTCGAATACATTTTTTGTTTTGTTTTCGTATTGACAAGTTTTCAACGACATATTAATTGTGCGTGACTAGCCATTTTTTTTATTAATTAGAAAAAACATGCATTATTATTTCTATAATGTTTTGGTTTCTATCGCAGCAGTCTTTTTTACCGATAGCTTCGGGGCTGTACGTGCTCTGAAGTCAATGGAGATAATTCGATGTGCCGTCAGACGTTGAGCAATATCGTGTGATTTATTCACCGCCGAAGGGCTGGAAATATTCCACTTTATTTATTGCGAGTATGTAGTTGGTTGGTGACTGAATGTAAGTTGAGTAAAATGTTTCTTCAAAGGAATTTGATCAGCCCTTCTGCTAGTATTTGAGTTCGTATATAGACAAATAGTTCATATTAAGGCAGAATGCTTCATTCAAAGCATTCAGGGCGGAAATTAGTATACGTAATATAATGGAAATGCACTACGGATAGCGTATAGAATTCTTAGCAAGTGAAACGAAAATGCATGCTTCCTGATTCAAATGAAAGATACGTGTATATGACAAACTAGCTAGTATATTCAGTGTTAGAAAAGTTTTGTTGTCTGTAAGTGGATAACTTAACAAGCGGAAACAATACGAAACACAATCATGACAATTCAGTGAGGTGTCCAAAAAGAAGGAAAAGAACGCATCGTTATGTCGGATATCGCACCATAATGAAATTAGGAGATTTCCCCGTTTGCTTCAAGGACGACGAGTTTCCAGATAAAACCAGAAAATAAATGGACAGATAAAGATAATACGTCGGACATCTTTCGGTTTCAACAGTAAATGTGTAAGTAGTTTGAACTGGGTTATGATTATAGCAACTAATGGCTTTTATCACCGTGGCAAAATCAGGTTAACCTCGAAGCTTTGAACTCGTGTATTCAGTACAACACAAACATTGAGATAAATGTCAGACTGATCATTGGGACTACACATCAAGCAGATTTCGTCTAATCATACTTCATTTCCTCATTACCCCCAAGAACTTTGCAACTACAGTCATGGAACTATGACACACGATTGATTTTGTAGTGGTAACGTGCAAACGTGACAGACCGGCTTAATGGGGACATTGCGGTTCTAATGATCTCCCATAACTGTCTCGTTTGTATAAGTGTCTATTATTTACCCGAAAATTTAGCCTAATGTTTCTGTGCAGCAGTTGGAAATGTCAGAAACCGTAATTAAAACAGCCTTTGAAAAGACGGGGAAAAGGCAAGCAAACCAGTGTACGAAGAAAACTATATCCAAACCAAAAAGGAAGAAATTGGGGAAGAAACGAGTGCACATAAATCAACACGGGAGTGAAAACTGTGTCAATGAATGTTTTGAACGTTTCAAAAGGAACAATGTCTAGCTGGTGGGCTTGTAACACCTTGGCAATTAGCCATTCACTCCGACTTGGCACAGAAATATGTCTCCCTGATGAAGTGTCCCTGCACTTTTTCAAACGTGATTTCGCACGTCTGTTTCGTCTGGAAACGGTCTCCCTCTAAAAGCTGGCAAATCCCTGCCCGGGGCGTTATGGCAGGTTTAAGACATTGCCGGCCAGACTATTTCTAAACGGATTGCGCAGCGGCCGTGACCGCCTTAACTCAATTCTCGCCAAAATAGCGCTCGCTGAAGTTAGATCCTCAAGAGTGTTTCCCGCCAAAGCACTCCTGGAGAAACAAGGCATGAATTAAGCTTTTTGGAGAGAAAGTCTGTTCCACAGTGCCATGTACAGACCAACACGCTATTATCCTGTCCCAATTCCACCTGCGACGTGGGCAATCAAATCGAAGCGCTGTCCCAGAGAGGCCCTTAATGAAAATTTATTTCATATCACATGCGAGCGTAGACCAATTACTGAGTGTATCTTTGTACATGTTCCTATTGGGTTTAGCCTAAGTCGGAGCGCGTTATTTATGCGCGGTTGTCCTGGCACTGGCCGTTGTTGGAGTTGTTCATCATATACGCATGCCCACTTCTATTTGCGAGTATGGAAAAATCTTTTTTTGGGGGGCGGCAGCAAATACAGAAGGACCCCATGTGACCTTTTCACAAATGACCAAAATGGGCGAGTTGCCACAATATGCAACGAACAGGTGGTCTGATTTGCACAAATTCTAAATACTTCACCACCAATTCTTGAACTTAAGGCTATTGATCGAAAGATTGCAACCATCTTCGAACAATCAGTTACCAATATGACAAAACCGACAGCTCTGTTTGTATTGGGTGTCGAAGTAGCCGTTCGGACTGTTTCACAAGCGAGTAAATGATTACAAACTCAAAACATCATTTAGACAAAAGTATACCAAAAGTAAAACGAGCAAACAGAAGAACCAGGACTTCGTGGAGTGTTGGCCCAGTCAGTCTACTTGACATGCCATGGCCTATATCCTTTGCTTGGAAATACCTCATCCTAGATATGATTTTGTGAAAGAAAATCTGTGATAAAAAGACTACAGGCTGAATTTGCCATTCATTTCAAACTCAATTCGCGCGATAACAACGTTACACAGGCGCCTTCTAACCGACAATTCTAACCTCAAATTCTACATGTCTAAAAGACAGGATTTGGAGGTGTCAGCTGATAACAGCCCACCCCTTCAGGTGACCAAACACAGGGTCAAAATGGTATCAGATCCCTGTAAACTGTTGGAGTACCTTATTTATCAAAGAAGTATCAAAGTAAAGATTACCTGAAAACAGTGCCGCAAAACACCGCCGCGTAGAGGCTGACAACGCAAACATTGACTAATGCGAATTCGATGGCTACTCGGAATATTCCAAAGCGCAGGTTGTTGGGTATAATACGAAGTCCATGAAATTTCTCTGTGTAATTGAGTTTTCTTAAAGTTTGACACCGCATCATGAAATCTGAAGGGTGTAGAAATCAACTTTAGCGACATATGAAACATTCATCCGATGACCCAGATTCCACAGTGATCTATTGATTAGGCCCACAGGTTGAGCCTCTTTGTGTTATTTGCGTATGACGTCAGTATCGCAATTAAGGCATTTTGAAAAGACTAGCAACATCCAGTCGTTTCGTACAGGAACGCAGCAAATTACTAAATCATAAAATTAGACAGATTTTGTTTTTCAAAACTGTGACTTAACTAATAATACCGGCAGACTGACGTAAAGGTTACAGACCATGCACTCTACAAGTTTTTGTATTTCCAAGCAAAATGCAGATCTATTGTGGTTCTTCCCATTTTTAACCATTGATGAATTGTTATTATTTATGGGCTTTCAACTATATGATTCATATGCCTTAAAAAGTTCCGTTATGTTTCCTACTTACAATTTCCTCTCTAATCCAGTTAATATTTTGTTCCAATCTCGCCTCTCGCTCCTTTCTGTCCAGCTTCCAGCGGGTAAAATCCAGGGATCCCCGTTCCGATGCCGTCTGCCCGCCGTCCATTCCGCGGCTGTAATAAGGCTCCCCAGCCACAAAAGAGCATTTGTGATTGGCCGTCTCGCTTCTTAAGCGCGTCAAGGCTCTCTCTGGGTCACATGCCTCATTGTCGTTGATCGTCGTCACCTCATCAAGAAATCGGACACTAGACTTTCTTCTCACGACGGTGGGGCCCTCATCTGGACACAGGTCCTCCCGAAAATCTGCAACCTGCAGGTTCAGTCGCCCGATGGAGGCATAGCTTCGGATAGGATCGCCCATAATTACCTCAGATTGTCGCCCTGCGCGAAACGACTCTTTATAACAGCGCCCAAAACATGGGGAAAACAGAGCTCGTTGACGCTCTGTAGCCCTATGCAGTGTTAGGTTTCGATCTCAAAATCCTGTTTTCAACGGAAGTGAAACAGGCAGTGCTACGATCCATGCACACTTGCTCTGGCCATGATAGTGATTACTGGAAATGCCATGGTCTTCCTTATTATATACCCGTTTCCTGTCAGGATATCCGTAGCAGTGTTTTTGACTGAAGTCATCTTGTTCATAGCCTTTTATCCAGCGTGCGGTAGTTTGCTTCTGCACCGCGGAGTTGTGCAGTAATCTAATAATATGTTGTTCGTCCTTTGAACCCAAACAGCCATACTGCGCTGCTTTGAAGCGGGAGACGTGCGTCAGTGTTTTTTTTCCCCACTCGGCACAGCATGTGTGCTGGCTTTATTTGAGTCAGCCCGGGTTGTAGCTTACTTTTGGGTATCAGTTTACAAACAAGTTGTTTTCTTTTCATTGTGGACGAAATAATGTGATTTTCAGCCGTTGCTGTGAGGTGTTGACTAGCACTCAGTATTTCAGGGAACTGTGCGAGACACACTCAAAGTGGTGCTGGGGGTTCACATCCCACCTTTGTCTTTTTGCATGGGCTATTCCATTCCACGGCAAACATTAGTTGAGAACACTGTCGATACCAGTCATACTGTTAACTGCTTATAGGGAGGGGAATTGTTTTAGCTGGTCTTGGCCAATGAACAGATCCCATTGTTATTGACCTTTCTCTATGTACACGACACCTTTTTGTCCCATGCACGGGTGCAGATTTGGTTACCGGGTATCTGTGAAAAATTTCCAATGTGTGGCCCTCTCATCCTACAATTTACGATGGTATTTTTCTTTGCATCTCGCTACCTTTTCAGTACCTGCATAACAAAGCGTCACCGTCTTTTTCCCCCATGAACATTGCTGCAGGCAGATGCTGTCTAGACTTAGTGGGTGACTTATTAAATTATTTTCTTATCTATAGTTTCACTCTGAGCAAGCAGGCATATCCTTTTAACAGCCCCCCTTCCACAACATTTGTTCCGTTTACCCGTGGGTAATGCCAAGTGGGAAAGCTGAATGTATCACCAGTCAGTTGGCTCATACCCTAGAAAGCCGAGTCAGATCAACTTCAGATGAGTTTACCGGCGACCAGAATGCGCATGCGTGTTAATAAGTTCTTCTCAAGACAAAGGACGCCAATCAGTTAGTTCAAACATATTTGCGCGCCTGCGTAGTTCACACAAGGGGAAGTTCGAAAGTCCATATTGGAAATTTCTGCATATTATTTATCAATTGATCGATCCTTTTAACAAAGTCATGCCAGAAAAACTGACTGATCGATCGCAATTGATTGATCGAGTGATCGATTAATCAATCGACTGATTGGTGGGATTGATTGGTTGATTGACCTTTTGGGTTGAGAAATCAATCATGTGATCGATCCGTTGATATATTCGATCTATTGGCCGATTGATTAATTGGTGTATTGATCGACTGATCGGATGATCGGATGATCGATCAATCGATCATTTAACTAAGTCAGACTAGCAAAATGTAACCTTTTGGGCGAGCTGCGAAGCAAGTGCGAGCGTACCAATTTCAGTCTTCTGTCCTTCCGTCCGGCCAGCCGGCCGGCCGTCCTCAAATGTTAAAGCTACGGTTTCCTAGCAGGTCCATAAGTGCTAAAATGTGTCATTTAGGGCTTGTTTGCTTCCTCTTGGAATTCTATCAGTATTTAAATAGTCTCGTATGGAATTAATGCTTAGAAACTTATGAATTTAATAAAAAAAATTATAAAACTTGAATGTTGTATTCAATATATGTCATATTGTGTACTTACCCTGTAGTACATGTACATATAGTACATATGTACTGTGCACTCCTGTAATGTACATGAATGTATGTATCTATGTCATGAATGCATGTATCT